TGGAAATGAATGTCTGGAGCAGGAGAATCGCTCACATGTCATAGAGTGGGAAACAGTACCGATTGTGAGGAAATTGCTGTTAGCTCGCAATGTATGAGCTATTGTCAATAGTATACAGCATCATCCTTCCATCCTTCCAGTCATGCAAAGTAGCTGAGTTACCCAAAGGGGTCCCTCTGCATCTTTTGCTCTGCCAGGGTCCAGCTACTTCACAGTGAACAAAGACCACTCTTCATATAGCATCACGCTTACAAACCTAAAGGTGCCAGTATCTCCAAACTTTACAATGAAACGTGGGGTTTTTATTATGGGGCCCGGCTTTTGGCCAACAGCACTTGTGTGAAAGTTTCGCTCAATGTCGCAAACAGCCCAAAAATATTTTTGGTCGTCGTCGTCGAAGAGGTTGACCCCGGACCCAGTTTGGCTTGGTAGCGACAATGCGAAATCTGGATTGGCAAGCTTGATCATGAAAACTGGCACCCAAGGTGCAGTTGACTGCTGAGCACATTGCCTATCCAAAACCCTAATGCTCACATTGTAAAGTTTGGAGATGTTATATTGCCTTTATGTTTTTAATGGTATGTTGTAAGCGTGATGGAGTTGCTTTTTCCTAGTGGATGGTGTCGGCTGCATTAACGGAAAGATGAAGAGCTGAGTGAAACCGCACGTGCTGGTTACACAGACACGTCCTTGACAGGTTGCTACACAAATGGATGATGATGATTGTCTTTTGTGAAGGTACGTAAGTAAACAGCATCCAATAATGAAGGTGTGTCAAGGTATGGATCACATTTGCATGTAGAAGAAAGTCGAGCTGCATAAACCGATTTGTATATGTAAAAAGATACGTATACATACTGTATTGAATGAGTCACTCACCCTGAAACTCATTGGAGGGATCTCTTCACTTCTTCTCTTCTCAAGCTCATACCACTTCCCACTCCTCCTTATTGTATCACAAAAGCCATGTACTTCTTGCATGACGATAATCGGACCACCTTTATTATTCCATCTTCGAAGCAATAGTATGTAATCCACAAGCTAGCAACCTCCAACAAGCGTGTAATAAATAAACAATGCTTTATTTCATCTAGCTACATTGCCACCATCGTCGGCTTCGTCGTCTGTCATCATTCGTACTGGTGCTCGTGCTCGTCGGCAGTTGTCAATCTCCTCGTCGCAATATCCAAAACACGCAAGTAGAAAAGAATGGGATCTTGCAGGCTTCCTTTTGAATCTGGTTGTCGTTACATCATTGTCATTGTTGTGGATGAGGTGATCGTAATCGCCATTGTTGTGTATGTGGTAATCATCGTAGTCGTCGTCTCTATAAATAAGAAAGCAAGCAAGTTAGACCATATGATGCCGGAATGATGACGATTTGGTATACCGTTAGGCGATCCTCTCTAAGGAAGAAAGCAAATCAGAAGGAATTCACAAACCAAATCACCACCATACGAGCAACGTTGGGCGATCCCTTGTTCTTGAGAAGGCACTGCACGAATCACGCAAGGCCAGTTCGATCCATGGCAAGAAAGAACACCACTTACGTAGAGTCCAGGCTCATAGTTGTCCTCATTCATCCTCCCCAAAGAAAGAATGATCCCTAATCCTTCCAATCATTTTCCCACCTCATGAAAAGAAATCCTCAAGGGAAAGGGCGAGCCTATCACGAGAAGAGCGTGTTCGTTCAACACATTCACAAGCTGTTGCAAATCCCCTTTTACCTTAACACGGTGACCATGCTCTTCCAAAAACCCATCGTCGTTGACCCATCTCCTCAACGCAGGCCTATAGAGCCCTGGACGCGTTCCAAGAAGCTTTTCCAGCACACTTGGCTAGTGCAGAGCGACGCAGCGACCACTTGATACCGGTTGGGACTTGAACCCAAAGAGGTGATGATGATGCCCCAAGTTGCATTGCCTGACCAAAGAAACCTATTCAATTCATTATTAGCACTCATATACAATAAACGCGCTTTTTCATTGTTTGTCTCATTGCACTTGCCTTTTCCATATACATAAAGATCCCTTTGTTGTTGGCTACTAGAAGCCGAAAACCATGGTGTAGTATAGTTGAGCCGAAACAAAACGCCAAACCAGCCAACGGCTTGAAACCAAACTTGCCCTCTATACAAGCTCACACGTCATTGGAACAAGTTCGGCTGCAACATCGGACGCTGAATGTACCTGTTGACACCAAGCATAGAGCGGGAATAGCAACGGAACAAGAGGAAGCAACGGTGTCGCCATGACAACCACCAACCACCAACCACGCTCATTCCTCAGCACTTGGACACACTCACTTCCTGACAATGCATATTCAGAACTGTATTAATACCTCACAGCCAACACGAGCACTCTTTTATAATACATTACCTTGATCGGCATGTCGTGAATGGGATAAAGCAGTGGAAGGTATCATGCAACACGAAGGCTGTTGGGCCGTATGGTGAATGTCAATTCTTTTCAAACACAGCATTTTTTATTCTTCTTTATCGCTATTCATGTATACATGGATAGCGCACGCTACTTTTTTTATCCACTACCATATACACAGAATGATTTGGAATGATAATGACGCCATTAATGATATATAAAATGATACAATGATACAAAGGAATGATATAGCTGACTATGTACATATACAATAAATATCCACTTTTCAATCAACACTGAAAGAGCTATCAGGATGAGGAGGGACCAGTCTCAAGTGCAATCGTTCCGTGATCGGTACACGCAGTGGTTCTACTAAGATGGAAAGGTTCTTGTCGTCGGGTAAATCTTCCAGTATGTCTTTGATCATATTCTCCTTGTGACTTTCAGCAATCTTCTTCATGGTCAGCAGCGTGTCCTCGAGCCGTTCCTAAGTCCATTGATATTAGGTGAGTGATATGATATCACGTATACAATATTTTCACTGTACCTTGAGCTTCCATAACATTCGTACAAAACTTACAACGCATTTTGCACCGTTGCTTGATGATGTTGGTATTGTTGCTTTCTCCTCCCGGAAGACAACGTACAGCTTGTTCCCCTCGTACCTTACGCTCCAAACTTGAATGCTTTTTTCTAAACTTGCAAGTCAACATCACACATCTTGAGCACGACAAGGGCAACATCCCCATAAAACTTACTGGATACATGCATAAAGTAAACTTTCAAATTCGTGAATAAATCGAGATCTGCTGCCTTGTGTGTGTCCGCGATTGTTTTAAGCATTGCCACTGCACCGTAGAATTCTTTATGGAAATCCACCGCTTTCTTTCTATCTGTGCAAGCATCCAGCGCATTTGACGTCTCCAATAACATGATCTCAAGATTGGAAAATTCAGGTGCCCGAACCACACCATCAGCGAAATACACCACATCGTCACCGAGATTCTCCCTTCCTGCTTGTAGACGTTCTTCTCCTTCATAAAAAACTGCCCTTGTTGATCCAACGAATACTCTGTAGATGATCACTCATGGTCTGCAATAATTGCCGCCTGTTTTTTTCGGGTGATAGCGCATGATGCGCAATATACAAGTCTCTAAATGTAAACCCATTCTTGAGCAAACACCGTGTATAATCCATGGTGGTTGTAATCGGTGAAGCCCATTTCCTAAGGTAAGGCGCAAGAATAAAAGGACTTCACTATATGCACCATGTCAAATGCACCATGCCAACTTCAGCGCCCGACGTACGTAGACCATGGCGCCGTAACCAAAAGATGCATCGGGAGATAGCTATATCTATCAAAAGTAACAAGGTAGCGTGTATGAGTAGTGACTCTTCAAACAACATGATTAGGCTTTACATTTTTACAAGGATCCAACGTATCACAATGAGGACGACGTCAACAACAATGAGAGCAGGATAACAAAGAAACCTTATGAATGACCACAACGATCAGCGCTTATTCACAAGGCTTGCAAGAAATGGGATACGTACATACAAAATCTTGGAGTTTGACCTTGTAAGCAATCAACGAAGAATGACAGAAGAAAGAGACGTGTGGGAGTATGATGGGCGGCGACAACATCCTTTTATTGTTTGCGTTGGGCGTGGGTATTTCTGTGACCACAAAGAATGATAAAATGCTTGATGGGGATGGTGATGAGCTGATAGATTGATGGGGCGCCCTCACAAAGAGCCAACTTGGTATGATTGATCGTCGTTGCATGAATCAGGATTGATAAACAACAAGGTGGCAATAATATCCATCATCATCAAACAATGGCATCCAGCTGCTATCACGGATCACTTGCTATGCTCAATCCTCACAAATTCAGCCGTCGTTGTTCGATGATGTTTATAGGCATTCCTTTCAGAAAGAAACGTTGAGAGTCGTTGGCAAAGAAAGAGCCTTTATTGTTATCACCCTAATATGGAATAATGCATGACCGGATTTATGCACAATGAACACTCCCCATTCATTCATTCAATCGCTCTCAGCGTGTTTGCTACGTATGTGTTTAACACACACACACACCAACTACTCCAAGTTGTATGATCAGGATATACCTTGTGCCTTTCTACGGTGAAACATGTATGAGAGGAGAAAAGAGTTGAGCTACAGGACACTTTTTTTTACTTATGCCAAGCACCTCTCCTTTTGGTGTTGAAAGGCCGCTTTTTCTATGGAAGCCATTCAAGTGTGTTACATTCAAGCTGAAAACAACCATCAGGACATTTTTTGGTAAGCATGCGAGACATAGTTTTTATTTGTTGGTGGAATATTAGTAAGCGTTTGAGCAAGCAAACAAAAAAAGGGTGTCTCGTTGATATGACTGAAAATGGAAGTGAGCGGGAAAGGGGAGGGATAAAAGAAAAAGACGATCCACGGAGTGAGCGGAATTGCGTATGTCCACGTACACAAACACACACATGTGGTTTCTGATCCGATCCCATGCGTCAAACAACACCTTTTACTCACCCACACGACGCACGCCCATTTATCGAGATCAATCACCAATTTCTCTTTTGGTAATGGTCGATCATCTGGTAACCCCCATTTATACATATATACATCCCCGAAAGGCCCTTTTCTCACATTGATCTCCACCACTATCGCCATTCACTATAGCAACGGTAACCATGTAACATAGCAATAGAGTTAAAGAGCGAATGAATTATCCATGATTTTGGTTGTTTCTTGCTTTGCATTATGTGTCATCGGGAAGCAACGGGGTCCCCGAGCAAACGGGTAATTGTTCATCACATTGGGTTTCTCACTTCCATATATATAGGTGGGGACCTGGATGAGTTCAATCCCTCTCCGCCAAAAACATCACGCAATCTTTTTATTCTTTCTTCTTTCCCCTTACTTTTGCAACAACAACAACAACAACCACTATGCCAAAGGGTGTCATCTATCTTACTCCTGAACAAGAAGCACGTCGCGATCAACTCGGTTTGGAAGCTGGTTTGAAGGGTGCCGCCATTGGTTTGGGCATCGGTGCCTTGGGTTTCATTATGGTCACTCGCCGATCAGCCGAGTTCCGAGCCTTGAGTCGTCCCATGCAAGCCATTATGCCTACTGCAGGTAATGTAGTTGGGGAACAAGATCTTCTATTCCATTGTATACTAAGATGGGTTACATGATAGCAACGGTGTCTGGTTATCTCTTTGCATCGGATAGAGCTACCAGTGCATATGAAAATGCAAACCTTGGCTACACTGACGAGGACCTCCTTATGCAACTTCACGATGGCGAAGAACAAGCAAAGAAGACTGGTTTCCTCGCTTATCTCAATGAGAACCGATGGAGCGTTATTGGTAAGAAGAATACAGGGATACACAAAGAGTGAAGATGATTAATCATCTTGTATACAACAGGTCTTTCATGGGCAGCTTCCATGGTGGGTGCCTTGGGTTACAGCTTCTCGAACCGCTACTTGACTACGCAACAAAAGGTGGTGCAAGCCCGTATGTACGCTCAAGCAGTGACTTTGGCCGTGTTGATGGCATCCGCTGGTCTTTCAATCTACATGGGTGAAGATAAAAAGCCAAAGGATTTGCCTGATGCTCAATTGCGAGCTGTGCTCGAATTGCCTGTCGAGGAAAACAAGCGTGTCACCAACACTACCAGCACCAAGCAACCCATGAACTAGAGTACATAACAACATTACACACATATTCACCTTACATTGAAAAGACGTCCAACACATCCACAACAACAACAACAACACGCATCCACCACCATCACACATCACCACACACACATCAGTAGATAATAGCATGATTGGAAGAGAAATAGCGGTTATTTATATATACCAACAATGAAAAGAGACATACTACTTTTTTGAACAAAACAACAAATGGTGACAAGACTATGTAAAGAGGATATCATATACACTTTTTTCGTGGGTAAATGGATAATGGAATCAATCAGATGAAGAGATAAATCATATGTTGTGTGAGAGAGACATGTACAGAATGCACGTGAAAGGGGAAAAGGTGGGTAAAAAAGCATCTTCTAATCGATATGCAAAAAGATGAGGGGGATTGTTGTATACAAACGCATGAGATGCGCTTTTAAAATGTGTGAGTGGATATGATGGTATAGAAAAGAAAATGAAGAAAATGACATGATGTGTGGATGAGAGGGAAAAGGTTAATAATGAATGAGTGCATCTGTGGGACGAATGGTAGAAGTAGCAAAGGGTTCAAAGTAAACATTGTCATCAAAGGTGTTGTAAGTCAAGTCGTAGTCCATGGGTACATCATACCATTGGGGCCATTCGGTCTTGATCTGAGGCAAAGGTTGTTGTTGTTGTTGCTGTTGATCCCAAAATGAGCATGCAGTGGTGGTTGTTGATGAAGAAGAGCAAGATGGGATGGGGGTATCCACGGTGGGTGATGAGTAGCAAGAGGATGCTGCTGATGAGAAATTGGTCCAAACGCCCAATTTGTTGTTGTTGTTGTTGTTGTTTGTTGTGTCACTGTAATAGAAACCAGTCGTGCCATAAGCTGCTGCTGCCGTTGTGGGTGGTGGTGCCGCTGTAGGATCCTCTCGGGTATCATCCTTGTTATTGCCACTGCCACCATCGCTGCCTCGTTTGTCATTATCATGATCACTGCTGTTGCTGCTGTTGCCACCACCATTGTGATCATGTCCATCAGCGCGTGTAAAAGGTCGTTGTCGGCGTTCATGCGTCTTTTTGTGCTGAGCAAGATTGTCGGAGCGAGAGAATCGTTTGCCACATAGGCTGCACAGATATGGGCGTTCCATGGTGTGTGTACGAAGGTGCCGCTTAAGATGCTCAAGTCGCTTGAATAGTTTCCCACATGAACCAAGAGGGCAAGTATATAGTCGAGATGCAGGATCATCCACTAAATCGCTGGCACGATGTCGTTGATGATGATGATGGTGATGATGATGATGACTATAGTATCGATCCTGTGCTCGAGTATAGCTTGCATGAGATGAAGAAGTGGTTCGCCGACGACGTTGCTTGTAGGTAGGTGATCCCTCAAACAATGAAAAGTGACCAAATACACTGGATGCCTTGCGTAATACGGGTGATGTTGATGCTGATGACATTGAATCATGTTGCCAACTTGGTGTCGTAGCAGTGCTATTGGTGGTGGTTGTTGATAAAAGTGGTGCAGAATGGGATGATGAAAGTGGACGAGGCAGCATGATGGGTTGATCATCTGATGTTGAATGTGGCGAAAATGTGCACCTTGGGCTATTGCTGTTGCTGGTAGTAGTGGTGGTGGTATTGCTATTATTGTCGTTGGCGAAACATGCATCCAAGTCAAGGTCGCTCAACAAGTGCTTTCGGAACTCGTCAAACATGGCTTGAGTGGTATCCAAGGAAATGGAAATAGCAGGGTTGGCAACAGCCATCGATGTTGGTTCGAAGCCAAGTTTTTCACGCTTGAGGTCACGTTCCAGAGCATCAAGAAAGAGTCGATCATGAGGAACAGCATACCAATGAAACACCTTTTGCTTCTTTTGTGTGCGAATGCAGTTGTGCTTGTATAGCAAATCAAGGAATGGCGACTTGGGTTCTTCGAGTGTTGCATCTGTGCCAGGCTTCAGATTACGCAAATCGCTAAAGACACCTTCCTCGAACTTTTTGAGATTCTGTACGGGGCGACCAAATGCATGAAAGCGAAAGACAAGGCTTCGTACAATATCGGTGCCCGAGATGAAAAAGGCACACTTCCATTGGACACAAGAAATGGCATCTCCGTTGCCCGAAGGAAGAATATGACGTTTGATAGGTGGTTCACTGGCAGGCACATCCCACTCGTTTGGTGCTGTTGCCAAAAAGTATTTGAGCTGATTGATCATTTCGAGACGTTCGTCGACATCTTCCTCGGTGGGAAAAGGCAATCCACAAGTAGTGTCGCGTGATGAGTTGGATGATGCTGATGCTGATGATTGTAAAGGTGATGTGGGTGGTGAGGCGGTCATGTCGCTCGAGTGTATGTATGTGTGAGAGAACTCTAAAGGGATCCATGTTAGTTACATTGTTGTTGAGTGACATTAGCTTGACATGTATACTTGCCTTTGTAGACGCTGTGATCAGCAGATAGAATGCGTGTGTGCGTTGTGTGAGAGAATAAAAGTAGAAAAAAGAGAAGAGTATTGATGACCCTGGTTGGGATAATTGAGTCAGTTTATATATGCGTTATGGATAGAGCGTGAAAAAAGTTTTTTTTTTACCTCTCTCTTGTACCAAGTCATCGGGCACATTGTTTATGTACACTCCCACCAACTCCTTCAAACACTTGGCTATTGTGCAACATAAGGTTTGCCCAACATAAGTGTTTCAGATCCACACAATAGCTTTAATGACGTCAAGCCGAGAATATGGATTGGGAAGAAACGAGGAAAGAAGAAATTTATGCATTTGCTCTTGTTCTCTCCCCCCAAATGCTGTTACTATCAGTATTCACCACCCTTGTTCTTTTGATCGTCTCATCATCAGTATTGTGTATCGTCGACGATATGCAACCCAAGCTGCTGTACGAGCCAAATGCACCCGATTATAGATCTTCCGAGATCGTGCGTCAGTCGCTGTTTGACAAACTAGCCGTGGATGCTTCTCTTTCAACTTTTATGGATGTCTTGACGCAGGTGGAAAACGTGTTGAAGATGGTCAACAATTCAGAGATTGAGCAGCCATTCACGTTGTTTTGCCCTGTCAATGGAGCATTTCAAGCGTCATTGCTGGAATGGCGAACGGACAACTTGCAAGATTGGGAAAAGTTTCTCCAGCAACACCTCGTGCCAACCGCCAAGCTGGATGTCCGCCACTTGAAAAAGACTCAGCAACTGGACACAATGGTAGATGACCAGCCGATCCATGTAAAGTACCACTATTTCCGTGATAAAACGGACCTCAATAATGGCATGGCAACGGTGGACACGGACCATCCCATCGAAGCGGCCAATGGTATTGCTTATAAGATTGATGCTGTTTTACGCCCTGTTCAAGATAACAATTGAATACACACACACACACGCACACACGCACACACACATAACGTACCCTATGCATATACACATTTTTACCCTGATCATAACAATAAACAACAAAGAGAACGTTTCTTTTCCTCGGGATTACCCCTTTTGCACGACCCAATTCTCTTTTCTCACACTCACACACACCATAATCGCACTAAGTGTATATTAGGGAGCGCCACAAGGTTGCATTAAATGTGTACTTTGGATGCCAGCACACCAATTTATTGCTGTACTCGCCTTTTTTATGGTACATTACCACATGTGCATGCTTCTTCTTCCATCATCTAGAAATTCGTACCCGTTTATGCGTTCCCTATGTACCCACCTACTTGGAATAATGGAATGTAAAAAGGAAAAACATCCCATCAGCACATGGCGTAGTTTAGCATTTGTTGGATCTGCCAAATTTTATCGAATGTCGTACAAAGAAGGGCGGAACAAAGAGAGAGGGGGTGGTGATGATGAGGATGATGATAATGATGATGATGAATTGTAACCACAAGATCACACATATACATACACACATACACTCACACACCAGCAGCAAGGAAAAAGAGAACTAAAGTGGGATGATTCCCATGATGCATTCTATACATTGTTCATGTGAAAGAGGATTACTCCTCCTACTATAAGGATCTTTTTTTTTCTCTTTCTCTCCCGCCATTTTTTTCATTGCTTGCATATGGACATGATTATTGTTCTATAGCCACCCCTTCCGAATGCAATGTTACCTAATTTGGATCTTGTGTTTGTTTTTCAGTTTTTCGGATCGGGTTTGCCGTTGTCAAACTAAACACTCTTGCACAAACGACTACTGCGGCCATCATCATCATCATCATCATCACCCCCACCTTCTCACACACACACACAGCTTGTTTTGAGCCCACCCACCTCCTACTTGATACACGCTTTACTTTTGACACATGTATGCTCATTGTTTCAATCGTCATGTACCAACAACTACGTCTTTCTCCAAAAAAGCGCGCGCATTCTCCTATTTAGGGCGCATGATGACAGACGTCTAAATGTGGGCATATGACTCACACACTACACATGGGCCAATACCACCGTCTTTTTGGTGAAAAAGTACCACCCACCCACCAACCCACCAACCAACCCACCATGCACCTACTATTGCGATTTTGAGATTCAATATTAGGGGGATTTCTAGAAATCTTAATAGAAAGGGCGTATTCCATCAGCCAGGAAAAAAGAAAAAGAGAGACGACGGGAAATTGATGCTGTGTAACGGAACACCTGAACCTAACCAGCGGAATCGGGCAAGATGGGCTGTTACCCGATGCAGGATCACTTGTGCATTTGTCTCGAAACGCACGGTGGCGCATGTAAATGATCCTCTTTTTGTACACCACACTAATGTATGTGTGTGTGCCCACTTGCCTGTATCAGAAAGCTCTTTCGGGGGGAGGAAGGACGAGATCGAAGCAAAACCGATAAAAAAGAAAAAATAAAAAGTGTGGCACGGTGCCAGTATATCCTGCCAAGACAAATTGTTATTCATGTCGTCCCAGAAGACGGGTCGTGTTACTTTTTTCCTCTAATAATCACAATCTTTATTATGCAATGATGGTATATAGCAAGTATTATAACACACATTAGTATTAATCTTGTTGTTGGGTGGGAATTCATGATGATGGGGTGATATCTCCTTGCTGGTAACCATGGCAACAGAACCGTCTCAACGTCGTCACCAGGACACTTTGGTTCAATGGCTTGGTCAAGTAATCATTCATGCCTGCATTCATGCACAAGTCTTTTGCACTATGTTGGATATCCGCTGTAAGTGCCACAATGGGGAGTTTGATGCTGCGATTCTCGTGTGCTTCCATTTTGCGGATTCGCTTGGTCGCTTCAACCCCATCACACTGGTAAAACATATGCATTTTAGCATTTGATTCTCCCCAACCATTGCATGCATGCTACTACATCAATCCATACCTTTGGCATATGGTGATCAAAGAAGCCCATCTGAAAATAGCCTTCTGGTTGCTTTTGCCATATGTCCACAGCCTCCGCTCCATTATTAGCACATGTCACGTTGAAATCGAACCGAACAAGTTGCTTGTAAATGAGCTTCTGAGCCACCGGGTTGTCTATTATGTCAATTCATCAACTCCCAATTAGTCTCCCTTTATGACTCATTCACTCTCTTCTTTGTCTTTCTTTTACCTTCTGCAACAAGGATGTTCATTGTTTTGAATAATGCACGTTCTTGTTCGGTGATACTTTCATTGGCAGGCTTTGAAACAGGCCGTGAACTTCCTCGTCGTGCTGAAGGATAGGGCGAAGAACTTCTGCTTGATGATGGATCTTCTTGTATGGATCGAAGAATGATACGCAGCAATTTTTGTCGACGTACAGGGGCAGCAATGGGAACCACATTGTTTCTCTCGAATAAATTATGACGCTGTGATGGTTGATTGAGCACCACTGATACTGTTGATCTCGTATGGTTTCTAGTGTCGCTATCATGTGCTGCATTTTCAGCGAGTAATGGAACATTGCCAGCGGCACCACGACTAAACGATTGATGGTTACCACCATTGGTAGGATAATGCATGACGATGGTACATTGAGCTGCATCCACAAGCCGATACATTTGATCTAGCCATGTGCTGAAATCGGGGTCATTGGCAAGCAATACATCAATCACGATCACCTGACGAAGCTTATCGGCCATGGTACTACCACCACGTTGCTGACCTTGAGCAAGAGCAGAAAAGTCGCCAAAGTTACATGCACCTTCCACTGATACATCTGGCAAGAAATTCTGAATCATTTCAATGGTGGATTTGTGCTTGGCTGCAACAAGCACATGAACATCAAGCAAATGTCGAAGCATGTCATGAAGGTCCCGGTCTTGTTGTGCAGATTGGCTGACCAAGGGCGATACTTGGATAGAAAAGTTAAAGTTGGAACCCTGACCAGGCGTGCTGGTAACACGGATTTCGCCACCCATGAGTTTGACAAGTTGTAAAGAAATCGACAAGCCCAGACCCGTGCCGCCATATTTACGTCTATTGTTTTGGGTGTGTGTGTGAGAACAACAACCATCATAGTGGTGGTGGGAATGATATGTATAAGCTTACGTTGTGCTGCCATCCACTTGCGAAAACGGCATAAATAATACTTTTTGTTGCTCATCGCTGATCCCAATGCCGGTATCAATCACTTCAAACAATAACTTGACATGGTCATTTTCCTTGTCACGCTCTTCAACCGAACATCGAATATGGATCTCGCCTTCATGAGTAAACTACACCACCGGGCAAACATGTCAATCACGCTTTTCACTTGTGCTATCACTCTTTTTGCTTACCTTGATTGCATTTCCCAACAAATTGATGAGCACTCTACGTACCCACACAAAAAACAAATGACCATCAGTTTTGATTCAACATACACATGACCGTCATCTCCACTCACTGTCTAAGCCGGTTGGCATCACCCATGACAACGGATGGTACATCTTTGGCAAGCGCATAAGTGATGTTGATTCGTCTTTGAAAAGCAGTGGCCATAAGAATATCAATCACGTCGCCAATCATGTCCTCAACGACCACAGCCGATAAATCCAAAGACACCTTGCCCGCTTGCAACTTTGAAAAGTTGAGCAAATCGTCGATAATCTTTAGCAGGTTCTCACATGATGATTTAGCAACCATAACCAAGTCATATTGTTCCGGATCCAATCTAAAAGTTGAAACAAACAAATAAATCATGTGTGTGTTACCACCACCAAGCAATCATTCCACGCGCTTCCCATGATGTAAATGATGCTATACCTGGTATCAGCAAGCAATGAAATCATGCCATAGAATCCGGCAAATGGGGTTCGGATCTCATGGCTCATGTTGGCCAAAAAGATTTCACGCAATCGGGTAGCCTTGTCAGCCTCAGCCTTGCTTCGTTTTGCATCGTCCAATGCTTGGCTTTGCATTGCAATCATTCTTATATTGGCTGCCGTGACACGTTGATTCGATTTGAAGAGGTTGGCATTGGTAAGCGAGATACCCATTTGTTGACACAACAAGCTGAGAACCATAATATGGCGTCGTGTAAATATGCCAACTGGGCCCTCGATAAACAGACATCCAACAACAGAGTTTCTGTGAATGATAGGCATGCAAATCACCGACTTGTTCCCCGCATTCTCAAACCAAGGGCCGACTGCAAAACGTGGATCGCGAGCAACTTCAGGGATAAACAAATTCTCACGTGTATTGATGGCATGGTGAATAATCCGACTCGAAGTCATTGCATCATTGTCACTCAATTCCCGTGGTGGATCATACGTCGTAGAAGTTTCACCTTCTTGCTGACACCCATAGGCACCAATGCCATACTTTTCCTTTTCCTTTCTCGGAGTGTTCTTCTCCTCCTTGATAATGATCACACCAGAATCAGCACCCGAATTCTCGAGAATAATCGTCATCATCCTTGTCAACAATCGATCCGACTTTACTTCAGATGCAAGTACTTGAGAGCTTTTGAGGATAGATGCCATGTCAATCTATGGTGTGTGGTTGTACAAATGAGAACATCGTTATCGTGTGGGTCTATAATTTCACTTACAATATCCAACGTCATCAGTGTTTGTTCTGTGGTCACGGGTGGGATAATTTCGGTGGAAGTGGCACATGGCGGCTCATCTCTTCCAGGATGGGGTGATGATGAAGTAGCAGAGCTCCAAGTCTTGCCATCCAAAAAGGGTGTTGGATCAGTCTGAACACCAGCTTCTCTACACTCTCGTCGATCATCATTGTATTCGGCCAAGAGGGTTGCAAACTTTGTACTGAGATGGCGTGCTTTGCCATACGATCCATGCATTGTATACAAATCAATGGCCTATTATTATAAACATGAACAATGAGCATCATAATGAATGTCTAAATTTTGATTCTTTACCTTTTTGGTCAATCCATACGCAAGGTTATGCATGCCAACACGGCTGTAGAATGCGCCAGCGTATTCATGCACAACGCTGAGAATAAAATACCATCCACCTTCTCGAGCTTGGTTCATGGCTTCTTCATATAAGCGAATCGCTTCCACAACACTTGTAGGTCCACCATCAAGTGAAGCCAACTCGGCTTGTACTAAGGTCCAATACATGACATAGTTGATTCGGCTGTGTACCACCCACTCGTGCAAGATCTCCTGATTCAGCCTGATTTGAGCCAAATACTCCTCACGCTTGTCAAGACTGACACCTTGTCGGATCTTATCAATCAATGCGAGCGAGTAATAAAACAAGGATTCTCGGGTGCTCTTGACACATGGATTGCAATGGATCGTGTTGTAGCAGAAATGGCCGACCTCGATAGCTTTATCGGTGTAACCATAAAGCACCAATGCAAGCAACTTGTATGACTCGTACCAATTCAATGCAACATCGGCATGAGCGTGTTGTCGACATGTTTCTTGTACAAAGTGAGCGTCGTTGAATCCATCATCGCCATCAAAGACATTGGGTGTGTCCACATAGGTACGACCTTGAAGTGCTTTTACCACCCGCACGATAGCAATGATCTTCATCAAGTTGATCATCTTGGATGACCATGCGTGAATGTCGTGATATGTATCCTCAGCTTGTCGCAATACATCGGCCAAATTGTATCCACAATGAAGCATTGTCACCGCAAGCATGACTTCATGGTACTGAGCAAAAATACGATCACCAGCACAGTGCGAAAGTGAGGCACCAGCCGAATACCAATTGACGGATTCCCGATTGTGATGATTCCATTGGCAGCAAAACATGCTATACATCATGTATGATCTTCCTCGTCCATAGCTTCCACCATACTTGTCAGCCAAGACAGTGCCAATTCTTCCAATTTCCTACATGATGATGATGTATCCTTATTAGACATCATTCCTTAAAACCATAAATACAAATGATATTTACCTCTCCAAAGCTGTATCGCTTGAAAAGATCCACATAGCCCATGCCAACGATAGTACATGCACTGCCCGTAAAAGGTGTCATACCCCTCTCGATCGATAGGTTCAACATGCGGCACGCCAAAAAGTACATTTCTTGCTTTTGCCCGGTCCAATACATCACATGAAGCCTGCCATTATGATTTAGTATGTATACGAACACGCACCCATGATAATACTTACAGCTCATCGGTGATGTACAATGATGCCGAAAGAAATGGATCATCCGAACGCTCGATTGTGGGAAGCTTGTTTATGCCAACTTGGTCGATGAGTCGCCCCAATTTGCTGTATTCTTCTTGTATCATATCCCAAGTGAGCGAAAATGTGAGGTCTTTGAAGCCCAAATCGCGATAGCATTCTAACAAGGTGTCACGGCTTTCATCTGGTTTCTTGAGCGCCAAGTAATATCTTGACTGGATCTGATAAGCAGTGACACGATCAAGGGGATTACGTGCTCGCGCATACACGGTGTCAAGTAATCGCTCCATGATCTCATAGGCACCATTGATAAAGCTCATAGCGAGTGCATTCGAATACAGTTGAATTGTCGTTGCATAGCTATCATCGTTCCATTCGGTTTCAGGATCACCCAGCTCAAGAGCAAGCTTATAGTATGCAAAGGCCATGCTATGAGCACCCGATGTCATTCCTTTGTTGCCAGCATTGATCATCAATTGCCGATACGGCGCCTTGTCAGGAACAAGTAGCAAAAGATCGGTACATTTGAGTAAATGCTCGGCCGTAAGCAAAGTATCCACCTGTTCACCTATAAGAAAGTTGTTGGTCACATGCTCAATTCGTGTGGATAGACTCCCCTCTTTTTTTTACCTTGCATCAAATGTTGCGCAATCTTGAAATGGATCTTTTGTCTCGACTTTGGCTTAATGAGCTCTGTTGCTGCTTGAGTAATTCGATCATGACTCCATTTGAATTCATCCGTGCCAACTTGCACCACGTAGCCTTCTTGGAGTACAGCATGTAATCCACTAATAGGGTCAACCCTGCCTGTATCGGTGGATCTTCCAAAGGACGTATTCTGTAGACGGCTTGTAGGCCGATTGGGTGGACGCACTATGTCACATTTGTTAATGCATAAAATCATAACTCCACCATCACTATCCCCGCCACCAATTAACCCATTTCTCCTTTTTACCTTTTCTCGGCCGATCATCCCATTCATTAGCCCATGCTTGTCGTGTGTTGCTGCTATCTTCTGATAGTGAAGTGTATACGCTATCGTCATCATCGTCGTCATCATCATCGCCCCGCATACTGCTGGTGCTGCTGTCGCCTTCGCTAACGCTCTCATCGTCGAGTTCACAATCCATCATGAGCGTACGCACCATTTCCCAAGAAAAAGAGTCACCGACAGAGGATGCAAGCTTCAATAAATGTTGACCATCACGCGATAACTCCTTAAGCTTGGCAACCATGAACCCCACATCCAGCTGAGAGTCCGCCTTCATGTTACTAAGCAACGTGCTCTCCTCGATCTTTTTCAAATCATAGGTCCATTCACTCGCTTCCCAATCGAACCATATCAACTTTTTGCGTTCAAGTGTTTGCAAGAATTGTGTTGCGTAGAATGCGTTGCCTTTGGTACGTCGATCAATCACCTCCGCCAGGGGTTGTAATTCGTCACGTGCCTCCGTATTTTCACGGGGTCGATGAAGGACATCGCATAATAGATCAAGCAAGGAGGATTTGTCGAGTGGCTCAATCTTGAGTAGCTGTATGTTGGCAACGTCATTGTGCAGTAGCGCTTCTTGTGCTTCTGTTAACTCTTGGTCGCGATAGGAGATGAATACAAGCACGTTGACCTTGCAATTGATAAGCGCCTGTAACAAATCCAACGAGGGTTCATCTATCATCATCCATCATGCAGGGCGTCAGCAGTTGTTTTTGGCCACTCTTATTTCCCACACTTTTTCTCGCTTACCAGCTTGATGCAAGTCATCCAGAAACTAAACTCGAAAATGATATTAACACACATGCATTTTCTGCTGCTGCATTCAAACCTCTCACATACCAAAGTTGTCATTCGCCATTGGCATATGGCTCGCATGACTTCCACATAGACGTTCTGGAATCTGTTGCGTGCTTCTATATTGTCAACTGCACTGGCATAGTCAGCTGCAGCAGCTGCTGTTGCTGTATTGGTTGCTGCATGTTGTTGTTGTTTGGTGGTGGTGGTGGTGGTGGTGGTGGGATCGGGTGTTCCATAAACAAGTGTCTTCAGCTCAGGGACAAGGTCAACAAGCGTATTGATATTGGAAAAATGAGCACCCAGCGCCATTTTCAAATGATCATTGAACATGCGAACTTCATCTTCAGGCTCTGATAGGATTTGTTGCAAGATTTGTGATAGCGGTCGAAGCACACCCACGTAGGGCACCTTGTTTCTTGAATCAAACTTGGCAGTGGCAATATACCTTGTAGAAAAGAGCACTCATTGTGAATAAATTGTCATAAAAAGATGTGTGTCAGCTTACCCATTTTTGCGCGCTGTGGGTTGTATTGATCGAAACAATGTGGATTTGCCTATAGGATATTGAGAATGTGGATATTCTTTTCGAGGAAATAGATACTTACCGATACCACCAGGACCATAGACACCAACCAATGTTGTCGTTTGTCGTCCTGGACCAGCCATGATACGACTACTTGCATCACTTTCAATGTCACCTAATGGGCTGCTGTAATGACTTGGGGCTCCAGAAGAATCATGCACCACTGGATCCCCATACTCAGATGCAGCAGCAGCTGACGATGATGTGGCACAGGATACGCTTGCTGAAGTACTAGTTGTCGTTGTGGTTGTATCACCTCCTGCTGAATGATGAGTGGCAGCTGATGAACTTAATTGCAGTGGCGGTGCAGCAGGGCTATTGGAATGGGACATGGGACGACTACTACGTTTACTGGACCGTGCTGCTGCTCCTGCTGCTGTCGTGGAACGTGGAGTGTTATTGGTGGAATAGTAGGTCATGTGTCGTTCGATGATGTATGTCATTTCGGAAATGACAACCTCTCTTCCATAGAGCGTTTTCGGCAGCGTAAAGACGGAGGCAATGTCATGTTGTGCTAGGGCAAAAGGGGCAATTGGCTAAAAACACATATTTGTTGTGCGTGTGTGTGTGAGAATGCAAACGTGATGATCAACAATAGATGATAGATGGATGATGATACCTCAGAATAAGCACCCGATGTAAGTCGCCTTAAACATTCCTTAAGATCGGATCGAATTCCATGCATGCTTGAGTATCGATCATCAGGCGTCTATATGTGAGTAGTAAAACGCCCATGAATAAGGTTGTAATGTGCATATGGATAGAAAAAGGGTCTCGGCTGAAAGAGTGCTTTGTCTCCTCATTATTCCCTCCGACACGACATCACCGTACCTTGTTTGTCATTTTCTCAACGATGGATGACACAATTTCAGGCACATCAAGCTGTACCTCGTGCACCAAAGGAACTTTGCGACTGAGAATGCCATTGAGAATCTCCAAGGGTCCACCATCAAAAGGCGTTTGTCCAGTGAGCAAAATGAAAAACACAATGCCGAGAGAGTAAATATCGGAACGATGATCAGCAGTGTACGTAGTACGACCTGTTTGCTCTGGACTCATGTACACCAATAATTGCTCAATGGCTTCTCGATGGCTCGCCGTCTTTCTCCATCCTTCGCTTGTCAAATACTTCTCACATGTACGCGCATTCGATCCAAAATTCCATAGTTTGACGCGATCGTTTTGATATTGAAATGCTGATAATCGTACTTCACCATGGAACGTGCTGTGACGATGGATAAATTCAAGACAATCGGTGCATTGGATAGCAAATCGTAAAAAGGTGCTCAAGTCATAAGGCGTGGTTGTCTCCTGGGAAAAGACTTGGATGCTGCTGTTGCTTTGGAGATGATGTTTACGCCAAAATCCATGCTTGTTGCTATTGTTGCCGCTGCTATTGCTGCTGCTGACACTTCTGGAACCATCCATGGAATAGGTAGCACCACCAGCAGCAGCTGTGGTCAATGTTGCGCTTGAATTGGATGTGGAGGATGATGATGCATAAGCAGAAGAGTTGTTACCGCTGATAGTAGTCGTATACGCGTCGTCTAGCTTTTGTTGATAGTTGCATCCTTCATCTGCATAAATTGCCACGGCCATGCCACTGGGGAGATTGATGTATTCGAGAGGACGCACTTTTATCATTGACATGTTGTTATTCATATGTCACGTGTGTGGTTGTGTCACTCATCTATCACCTCCTTACCAAGATAGTGTGAGCCATCGTTTGTCTGATATAGTCGCTTGATAATGTAGAATTCTCGTTCAAGCTGCAAACTCGCTACTGATACTTTGGCTACCACTGCTGTTTTATCGGACAATCTATGTATGTTGCGTTTGAGTGAGTTGTCGCCGCTTGTGGCGGTGAAAGGATAAGCCGGGCTGCATAAAAGATACCTGTAACCGAACACATAGTTGACATTGTCCCCAAGCGCCAGGCTCATGGTGGTTACTGTTCTAAAATGATAGCCTGTAATGTGAAGCGATCCTCCAGAGAGTGCACCGGCTAGTTCCACTGAAGTGCCATTGCTGGATCCTGAGCTGCTGAACATTGGGCAAATGTCGCGTGGTGGTGTATTGTTGTAATGTCGATGTCTAATGCTTCAATGGCAATACGCGTCGTCGTCGTCGTCGTCTTTGGTACAAGTTGAAGTGAGTAGTAAAGGGAGAGAAGGATATGATACACAAAAAGAAAGAGAAAGAGAGAAGAGAAGTTGAAAAACGTGAATGATAATCGTTGGGGGGCAACATGATTGAAAATATTAGGGGGAGGAGAGAGCGAGCAATGATTGTGCATTGCTAAAGGAGCACAATGTATATCGGCGCGCTCGCTAAAATAAAAAGACCTGCATAACACACATACACACACACACACACGCAGTCGAATGATCGAGATCACACATGCACTCGTTATGCACAACGACATCATTGTTATTCTCATTCACTCACTCACTCACTCACACTACTCTTCCATGATCATCCTGTACTATTGATGTATCATCCTTATTGTAGATAGCATGTATGGAACGTATGGCTGCTTTGTGAAAGCTGAAATGTCGCGCAACAATGATCACAAAACGTCAGTGTAAACCCCAATTAGGGGATTTCGGGGGAACATGAATGAAAAGGCAGAAACACAAAGAGAGTGCGTGTGTGTTGTGCAACACTGGTAGTCCGCATTTTATTCCCCCTGAATGACTTTCACTTGCAGCTCTGACTATTGATTCGCCATCTTTAGCATGCATCAGACATAGAATGCAATACTTATAAATGAAACACATCAATCGACAATGTCCCATACACAAATTAGGATGAATGGCTCACGCTTTAACGCCCCTATTTTTACTATGCTTATCAACCATGGGCCATGGCGACATATCGAGATCAGCACATGGCGGCTTGTTGTTAACATAAACCTTCCCCATCCTTATATACAATAATGAGGAGAATTATGTATCTACAAAAGTTTCCCCGATGTTGCATGAGGATCTCCTACATAGCCATTCTTCCCCCAGCAGCACCACATGGATAAAGGAGGTTGCACGTTTGATGTATCAAAGGTTGTTTCTCGGCGATGGCTATCATTGAAGGAAACCCAATGTTGACGCACAGACTTGTAAAAGGCTCATTCGTTGCTAGCCAACCTGCTTCCAATAGTAGCTTGCATACATGCAATTTATGACATTAGGTTTTACTTGACAAGTGGAGTTGACACAAAGATGCTCATCATTCCTGCCTGATGATGTGTCAGCAGCTTATCTATTATTATGGATCAGCTTTTAGGGTGTCACCACGTCACGATCTGCAGCTGGATTGTTAACATGGTAAGGTCACTAAAAGTCCACCTGTGGTCAGTGCTTTAGACAACTACGTCGTAGCTCTGTATCACCAACAAGACCCTCCTCCACCCTTTACCCAATTGCGGGATGAGGAGAGAGAGAGAGCAGTATGCTCTTTACAATGTTGAGTGGTCCACGAGTGTAAAAACAGCTATCATAGGGATACGTTAGCAATGTACTGCTTACGCGTCCCACTATACTAAAACGTTCATCACCTACATTTGTCAGATGGTCAAAGCTTATTTTTGAAATGAAGCCAATTTCGGAGGAGGAAGAAAAAGGAGGCATTTGTGCTACCATGACGAATATCGATCTACATTATCAAGGCGCCAATGTATACGTCAAGCGACACACACACGGTGACGGTTTTCAAGATGGGCATGCGGTAAAGAAAAATGTAAGGTAGATAACGTATCATGATCCTATCGAGTTTGGCTGCATGTGTGGAGGGCGGTAGAATCAATGATAATCATGATCCTCTTATTGTACGACAATGATGAAGCATTTTCACCAGTGTAACCACAGACCAGGCTATGCACATTAATAGCAGCGGCATTTGTGAGCGTGTCATGCGTCGTCTAGGATGGCCCTTTTGCTATATGAAAAAAAGGCTTCACGGTATCAAGGACTTGGACACCCATCCGATGAACGACGTGGTTATGGATATAGCGGTATCTATCGGATGCTGCGATTATGAACGGGATGCTTTGTGCGTATCCTTGGAGTATGGTTTGTGGAGGGACTTGGCATTTCCTCGTGTTAGTAAATTTCAGCCGCCGCTAAGCTTTTGCATGATCAGCCTTGTTATGCAATATCATTGCTGCTGTAGCCAAGGCATTGTGAAGGGGATGTTCATTGTATGCTAAAACGGCATTTGCTAGTGTCCGAATTTTCACATTCTTTCCTTTTCGCTTTCGTTGGGGATCACCAATCATATGATCATGATAGGCTTGATCGATATCGGTTGAATCGGTACATGTGTGATTCATGCAACTTTGCATCCATCATGCTCGACACACACACACACGCACACACACAGGCTGATACAAACGTGTGCTTTGCACATTGCACAAGCCTACACGGGCATTATTGATGTTGGGAACACTCCAATTTCGACCGATAAACATGGCACAAGACGTACAAGTTTGGAATAGTGTATACCAGCTGCGAAGCTGCAAAGGTGTTTACATGATAGCTCTCGTCGCAGATGACATTATTATTATACAAGTGACTCGAATGGCCCTATGCAAGGTTAAAACACTCAATGGAAGAAGGAAGTAATGATTGCGCAAAGCAACAAGCATGCAGCGATAGCAGTGGATGGGTGGTGTCAATACACAAATGGGTAATGAGAACAAATTCTCGGAAATGGGATCCGTATATATGTTCTCGCAATGTTGCCACGATAAAAGCTTCAGCTACTTCTTTTAATGCAAGATGAAAAGCAATGCTTTCTATTGAACCATGATTGCGGGAACGAGAGTGATTGAATCCTCACATGTTTGACAATGCTTCTCGCATTGCGTGCTTGATCATCGAATAATCGACCACCTGCGTGGAACAAGCAAGGATCTAAAGATGACACAAGACGTTCACAAAGATGCAGTTACACACGACGGGCTATTCATTGCCATGGGTGTAGGGATAAATAATAAACACGGAACGCTCTGCAAACAGGAAAGGTAGGCTTTTTTCTTCTTTGTGTCAATTTTGGGTCTCACGTTTGAGGAGCTGAATGAGGCGTATCATCAATTGGCATCTGACAATGGGAAAAAGGAAAGTTGTGAGTTTAACGTTTGTGTATTTATAATGCTACTGCTGCCTCGCTTGATACTTTAATCACTCCACCAATATCGAGTTGAAGGACCCTCAAAGTGCAAGTGGGCCTTTTTCAGGGCGACTGCAACCACACAGACATCGGTGTGCAATGTTTGACAGTAATTAGATGGCTGCGGAAGGCAATGTGGCGATCGTCATGTTGTTTTGTTTTGTCTCACTTACCGTGCACTCGACGATAAAGGTGGTTTGTTTCTATGTAGTTGACCAATCGGAGTCATTCCATTGCGTAAAGAACTGTCGAGAGGGCGCTTATTGCCATGGAAACAAAAACTGCCAGGAAACCCGCCCCAAAACTTTTGCATGAATGCTGAATTGGGCGTTATATGTAGCAAGATCAGCTCACATGAAATTATTGGATGATATCGGAATACACTTCAATTGTCAAAAGTGGTATGACAAAGATGTGCTGCTGCTGCTGATGTCGTTTTGTGCTGGGTCCCATCATCAATGTAGCAATGGCATGTTGAAGAATCCTCTAACAACAAAGTTTAAGAGCAATAGGCTGTGCTCGCGTGCACAGGCTCCTGTACCTCGACTTTAAAGTAGAATGGCCCCGTGAGCCTACGCTTGCTCACATGTTGTTGTTTACTTTTTGCACAACATCACATTCATTTACATCCATATTTCTATTCAATTCTTTCTCCGAGAAGATGAGAATATAAATCACCATAGAAACGCATTCAACATTGTTCAATCTCTTTTTTTTCATCATCATCCCAAAGTGATCCACAAACAACAGCCAGTACGTCTCTTTTTTAATCCCAATGAATGCCCTCCATCTCACACTATCGTTGCTATAGAAAATGTCCTTACCATCCAAGGCAAATCGGACCTGTCATCAATGCCATTTGACATTCAAGACCCCATCCGGTCTCAGGCGTCACCTTACAATTAGTAACGAGCACAGAGAAGAACACCGTCATTTTAAATGTGCCATGTCTTGTGTCTTGCCACAGTTTCACCCAGAAGATCAATAACTTTTGATACCAAACATTTTGTACTCACACCTCCTTTGTATCATAATGTCCTTTTCTCTATTTCCATAATGAAACCCACATGATGCATCATCATCATTCATTGTCTCCATTCATTGTTATCTAACGCATTCTTCATCATAGCACCTATGTGCACCACCATCCTCGACCTATTCACGACCAAAGAAGTATACGCAGTATGCCCTTTAAAAAATCCCTTTTTATATTCCATGTTGCCAATCATAGATACACAAATGGGAGAAGCGATTCTAGTCGAAGGGTGATATAGAACGTGAAAATGATTTGGTCGGTCTTCGTATTCCCCATGTGCCGAATCTTGAAGCAGACGCCAAAGAGCTGTTGAAATCCGTGCTCGATCCCATAGCAACGTATCGAAAACGTCGGCATAGTTGCTTCCTTGTTGTGTTACCATCCACTCCCAAATATGTTGTGTCCTCCATGATCCGCTGCTGTAAAAGGATGTTGTGGGATGGCGTTTCTACTAACTTCCTGAAGAGATGAATGATGTTTTTAGGATACAAGTAAACGGGATCTTACATCTATATGGACCTACCCTTGTTTCATCAGAACCTTTAATAAGGATTTGCTTGTTGATGGCTCCTCAAATCCACCGTGTCGTTTGTTGCATGCTAATGGATATCCTGATGCTAGATACCACAAGGATTAGAATCCATACCTTATTGCTCCTCTAAATGCTTTTGGCACTGCTGCATACAATAACTTGTTTCACCTATGTTCTCGATGCACATCACCATGGGTTGTAAGGACATGTAAAGTGCGTAACATCTGCTGGTGCGTATGGTTGAGCCCTTGTCGTCAAGACCTTGTATCCAATAGAGTACTAGTAACGAACCTGATTACGCCCATTTTGTTGGCTCAATAAAGTTGAACGTTGCAATTGCATTTAGGAACATGTCGTTGATCGGCAATGCAGAGGAGTGTAGGAATGCCAGTGATTGAGAAAGCAAATGGAAGGAAAAGGGGGAAGGGAAGCTGACTGAGACACGAGAAGGGCGAGTAGCAGTGTAACAAAGGCCGCTGCATTAACGTTGTTGCCAAGCGGAAAGTCCCCGCCAACATGGTTCGGTTGACAAATCTCATATGCAGTGTCAATCCCACACATCATCCATCAGCTGACATAACCTTGTTATAGCCATGATGACATCCGCATCATCGGTACGGGGAGCTTAATGGCTTGTAGTTGTTATTACAACAAGGAGACGATACAAAAAAGGAACATGTTGTTGTTGACGTATGTTTATGTTTATGGATTGTGGCATATAAGATATACAAAAGAAAAAAGGAAACGCAGCTAGACAAAACAATCTACACACATGGGAGCAAAAGCAAAAAAAAAAAAAAGAAAGAATAAAAGTGGGTGGTGGGATACAACAAAAGAGAGATTGGGGATAGGGGTAATACACAAGTGTGGATCGTCAAGCGAGAGAGAGAGAGAGAGAGAGTCTTTGTGTTATTTACTCGCCACCATTGTAGATGAGGAGATTGGGAGTGTCACTGGGAACAGTGCTAAGCTTATCCTTTGAAGCCATTTCAAGAATCTTATCTTTGATTTCCTTGGGGCTGGCGCCATTCTCAGTCATACTCAAAAAGTAGGCGGCCAAACCAGCGACATGGGGTGATGCCATCGAAGTGCCGGAAATGGTATTGGTGGCATACTTGCTACCCTTCCATACGGATTGGATGTTGAGACCAGGAGCAAAGACATCAACGCATTTGCCGTAATTTGAAAAGTAAGCACGCGTATCATAGAGAGTGGATGCACCCACAGTGATAGCATTTTCAGCAGCGGCTGGTGAATAATCACAAGCATCACGGTTGTCATTTCCTGCTGCAACAGCAAACACCATCCCTGCGTCAACAGCCTATAACAACAAACATGAGCATTTTTTTTCGTTTCAAGTGTGTGAAGAAACAAAATCAACTTACCCCATTGACGGCCAAATCCAATGATGGCGATTTACCACCACCCAAACTCATGTTGGCAACGGATCCCTTGTAAGTCTTGCCAGTCTTTTTAGCTTGAATGGAGTCCTTGGTATGTTGTTCAGTGGCCCAATCAACGCCACGTACAACATCAGCCATGGTACCAGAGCCATTGGAGCGCAGCACCTTGACGGCCACAGGAGATGCTTTCTTTGCTACGCCATACTTTTTGCCAGCAATGGTGCCTGCACAGTGTGAACCATGACCATTGCCATCTTCATCTTCATCACCACTGGGTACGGTTTCTCCCCATTTAGCACGGCCTTCAAAGTCAACATGGTCCACATTGATACCGGTATCAATGACGTACACCTTGACATCTCTTCCGGCAGCATCGGCGTCATAGCTATACTTGTTAAAGTCCGAGAGGGAAAGTCGTTCACGGTGTGAAATACGTGCGAGACCCCAAGGTGCATTACGTTGCAACTCGCTGGTGTAGACCATGGAGTTCTTTTCAACAAAGGCAACCTAAAGAGACACACAACAACAATGAGCATCATCATTATCATGGATGCCAAGTGTCTATTACTACTACTACTTACATCTTCGGATCGTCGAATCATTTCAAGCACATCTTGGCCAAAAGTGCCAGCGTAACCCTTAAGGTTGGGCATGTCATAAACATGACGAATACCAATGGAATCAGGATGCAACCAAGATTCTAGCAAGCTTTGGCCTCTTGATGCCGTCATGGATTGTACCCAGCCGGTGTGCTCTTGGACTCTTTGTGGTTGGATATGGTTCTTGAGCACCACAATGTATTGGTCTGTCACTGATTCGCTTTCGCTTGATACATAAAGAGGGGCCGCGTAACCACCATCGTTATCATCCGAAAAGTGGAATGGCACAGCAGCAGCCATCGAACTGGTGGCAAACAATAGAAAACCAGCGGCAATGGAAAGTTTCATGGTGTTGATTGTTTAGTGTGTGTGTGTGTGTGTATGTGGCAAGTAAGGTGAAAAAAGAAGAAAAAGATAAAAGAGTAAAGAAAAAGCAGGAGAAAGGGATCCCTGGGGAAAAATGTGTCAGCGGAGGTGCAGCCGCATATATTTTCATGCTGCACCCCGATAAGGAAAAGCCAAAGTCTGTAAATGACGTATAGAGCCGAGCACCAATCCCATACTTTCTAGCGCCATTCTTCTTGAAACACCACAATAATACTCTCACACGCACACACATTATCATTTCCACAACACACATGACGTCCACTGCACCACTCACATTATTATATTCTGTGTCCTCCTGCATAATCTATTATGCTATCATTGAAGAGGAAGAGGAGGGTCCCATTACTACTTTTTATCAACAGCAGCAATAATGACAACAGCAACAACCTGTGTTTGATATCATGCTTATCATGATACAGTGCATGAATGCCAAGGAAGCTACGCCTATCGGGCATTGGGTAAGATCGACTCAATTTTGTCAACAGCGCGCACACCCGGTGCTATCTGATATTTGGGGATGAACCATAATACAACAACCTTACATTTTGGCGGGTGAAGTTCACGAGGCCAGCATCACAGGGCCAACCCCCCTTCTTTACCCTTTTGAATGTGAAAAAGTAGGAATAAAATACCTATTGGATTCACCTGACCTACCCATGCGATTGCATGGCAAAGCATATTGTTACACAGACGATTCCTTTTCATTGCAGCATTGTGTGTGTGCGTGTGTGTGCGTGTATGTGATATCACACACCCATCGTCGTGTGAAGCATGTCGTAAGCCATTATTGAATCCTATAATGCACTTTAGATGGATGTATGTGGTCTCTGTATAAGCGAGCTATAACTTTTGGACGATGATCAATGTGCATCTTGTTTTGCATATATGTTGTTTTCTTTCACGGGTAATACGACGTATGTTGTTAGTCTCATCCATCATCATCTTATCATCACCAGCAAAAATTACGCAAAGGGGTCTCGACTGCTGCGTTGTGTATAGCGTTTTTTCCCCTAACCAATAATGATGATGACTGAGCACGGTCCCTCTTTTCTCATTTCACGGTTGCTATCGATGGGGGCCGTGGCACTCGTAGGCGTGGGTGTGATCGGATCAGTATCACTACATGTACTCAGTATATGACGGTGCAACATGAACGCTGTGTTGCCATTGATAAGGGTCTATGCTGCCGATGGCGTATTACTCAAAATGCCGCAACGGTCGGATGAATGATTTCACGATCTTTGATGAATGCCGCTTCACCACCTCCAAGATCAAAGGTCAACAATGCTGCCGGCTCATTGTTCATGAAAGGCTCATTATTCACTATCACCTTGCATCTTTGTCACCAGATGATGTTGGCGTAAGCACGTGATAAGTGGTAAAATGGTGTAAAAGTGGTGATGATAAACCTGCTTTTAGGCAATAACCTTCACCAATCATTACTCGGTTGGCGCATGCCCTACGAATTGCAAAAGGCACGCTGTACGTAAGAATTGAAGTCTTTACATTCACATCATAATGCCATTGTGCGACCTCTTTTAGAGAAAGAAAGGATCGTGTGCAACAGAATGGTTGCAGAATTAGAGTGCGCGTGTTGAAAGCTGGCTTGTGCACTGTTATGTACCTGAGATTGCATAGTGCAAATGAAAATCAGGGAGTGATCGGTGCAATAGGATGGGACAACAACAAGGAAATTTACGGGTGTTTCCGAAGAATGAAGGTGAACCCAATTATACCTTGACAAACCATAAATCAAGAACGCGTGCTGAAACGTTTTGGCGGGAGAAGAGAGCGAGAGAGCTCGCTAATGATGGTGACAATGCGAATTTTTTTTAAAGTTGAAGCTACAAAGACACACCGTTACATGGAATGCCAAGTTGGTACAACTTTTTTGTGAAAATCAGTGTGACAACAACAAGGAGTCCATCATGATGAAGGAGTAAGTTCGAGAGCGTTTTTAAGATGATCGGCTAAGATTGGACATACGCATCATCCAATCATCTTGCTATTCTACAAGCAAGCACGGTTGATGAATGGAAGATGATGGTGGCTGTTGTTGTTGTAAGTATGTTTATTGAATATCATTTATGGAGGGGGAGAGAGGACCGTGCACAATGACAACAAGGCATTACATTCAACGTGTATTTTTGCTATATACAAATTTTCATCCGTTGATGGTGTTGTCCAATGCGTGAAGAGTCCGCATGGGTGGGACACGGACCAGGGGGAAAGGGAGAAGACGAAATATGGATAGCTCAGCTATGTACAACGGTAACACACACGCACACCATACGCAATCACCTTTGATTGACCGCCGATTGTATCCTCATCCAGACGCTATTATGAAATGCATTGATCATTATTATGTGAACAACAAATGTTGCTTTGGTGGGTGTGTGATTGGCACGTGTAGAAATATCAAAGATCCCAACAACAGCAACAGCAGCATGATAGTGTGTTAATTGATGGGCGTAACAACAATCGTGTTCTCGTGGACAAAGCTGTGTGTATCTCCTAGTAGCATGGATGCTGATGACTATCACAAGATGTGAACATGTACTCTGCATAGTGTTGGCATCCCATCCGGTGCACCAGGATACAGGATGCACGTAGGTTGTTGAGAAGGAAACCACATTCGATGTGCATTGTCATCAGCAGAGTGGTGCCAAGTACATGGCATCTCTCTCTCATCACTCTCACTCTGTCGCTTGACATCAAATTGCCAAATTGGGATGTACCCAAACAGTTGCCCAAACAGGGTACACAATAATGATCACTAAGGGTATTGAGTAAGGTGTGTGTGTGGGGGGTTAAGTTATACAATTCACTGTTAACTCGAATAGTGTTGACAAGGGCAATAAGCACACTCGCGGGATCATCATCGGATGTCCCTGTTAAGGCAATCCCGCTCTCTTCTTGTTTTTAATCCCTCTCTCTTTCTCTCTTTCTTATATATATATAACTCCCTCTTTTGTGAGTGCCCGCCTTGTTTAATCCATTGTGCAGTTTTCCCCTCCTCTTCTTCCTCTCTCCCACACTTGGTTCCGATATCATTGATGGTGGTTCCAGAAACACTTGCAACAACAACCTCAACAACGCGACACAGCGTAGCTAGCAATGCGTCAGGCAACACTGTATTGAATCACAATGGGGGTCGACATCTTGAAATTGCTGCCATTGAGTCTACATTTATGGTGCACGAATACAATCGCAAGAAGCGTAAATGGGTCAAAAAAGCGAGAACTGTATGTAGTACTTGAATACATGGCATACACACGTCCCCACACACATTCACTCATCAATGCGTCTCTTAAGGTGTTCAATGTGATTGTGGAAGATATGAATGATAGTCGTTCCTTGGTGCGTTATATTAATGATTTCATTGAATTTGACAAGAGGGTAAGTGTCATGCGAAATGTCTCTTGAATTGGTGACTGAAACCTATCCAACAGATCAAAGCGCATTACCGAAAATGTCGTATTCCGCTACCACCACTCGTCGAACCACAGCTGTACGATCAACGCTCTTCATCTCCACGACGTAATAACGGTGGGATTACAGCATTCTTGTCACGTTTATCAAGCCTAAGATACACCAAAAGCAACTCACAAAAGATCGAATCCTATTTACGACGATGTGCTCTTCATCCAACGGTGGGTCGATCCAGCTTGTTAAGAGATTTCTTGTCGGCACAAAGGAACGAGGATAGGATATTACCATTGCACAGCATCTTGGAGGAAATTCAAGCGGATCATCAAGAGAATCAACGTCGAATGTCTCAAGAACAGCAGCAGCACGTGTCATCATCATCATGTCATCCACGCACTATTCCCGATCATCTCATTCCACCAGCAACAGAAAAGCACTATTCATCTTCAGTGATCATTCATGACGACGACGATGATGAGGATGATCGTATATCCAACATGTCCATTATGACAACACCCGTTGAACAACCACAACAACAACAATCATCACAAGAGGAGGAAAAGATTTGTATCCATGACTTTAGTCTCATCAAGGTGCTTGGTGGTGGATGTATGGGAAAGGTAAGTGGGTAGTCATGGAAACGAATATGACTACTACGAGGAGGGCTAATTGAGGGAATTATAATATAGGTGTTCTTGGTGAGACGACCCCAATCAAGCAAATTGCTGGCACTAAAAGCAATTCCCAAGCCGATGGTGTTTGTTCATAGCCAGATTGAGCACGCAAAAACAGAACGCCATATCCTAACGAAATTGGGTCAGGCACGACATCCATTCCTAGTACGGCTACGTTACGCATTCCAAGATCCAAAGTTCTTGTTCCTGGCTTTTGATTTTCATGCAGGCGGTGATTTGGCTACACAACTCAAACTCCACACACGCTTTTCACCTGAACGATGTCGACTCTATGCAGCTGAAATCTTGCTTGGATTACAAGAGCTTCATAGATGGGGTATTCTCTATCGGTAAGTAGTGGTGATGGTGAGGATGAGGATGATGATGGGAATATGAGGGTATGTGGTTTGTCACACAGACTCTAAACCTTGTTTTTTCCTTTTTCTTCCACCATTAGTGATCTTAAACCGGAGAACATCCTAATTGCAGCCGATGGCCATGTTGTATTGACCGACTTTGGGTTGTCAAAATGGTTTTATGACGATGAAGAAGAAAGGACGGATACAATGTGTGGCACGCCTGAGTACCTTGCACCTGAAGTCTTGTTGAGTGAAAAGTACTCTTATGAAGTTGATTATTGGAGCTTTGGCACGATTCTTTATGAAATGATTGATGGCTATCCACCCTTTTACGACGACAATCAAGAAAACATGTATATGCGCATTCTCTCTGCACCACTCGAATTCCATCGCCCTTATTTTGATTCACTCTCCAAGGATTTGTTACGTGGTTTACTTCAACGCAATCCTGCATATCGACTTGGATCGGGACCTGATGGTCAACGTGCTATCCGTAGCCATCGTTACTTTGCTCCACTCGATTGGTCAAGTGTCTATGATAAACGATATCGACCCTCGCATGTGCCGGATCTCAAGACAACCGCTGATTGCTCACACTTTGACCCCGACTATGTCCAACAATCACCACGACTCAGTGCACAACCCTCTGTGAACAATAGCAGCTTCATCACATCAGCCTTTGAAGGCTATTCTTATATCAACGACATGGAATCGACAGCAACCACTTCATCCATCATGTCATTTTCATCAGTATCCTATATGAGTATCGAGGAAGAAACACCCTCTTTTCTTTTGGATGGGGCTGCTGCTGCTGCTGCTGCTGCTTCGTCATCATCATCATCACTCGCAGCCAGTTTAAGCAAGAGTCTGCAGGACAGCAACTTGACCGATCCACATCCACCAGCATTGCATGAACAACAAGCCAATAGCAGTAGTTGTTTCTGGTACAATGATAGTGAAGTCGTGCAATATGATTTGGCCCCTGAAAGCGATGACATTATCCTTTCATCAGTAACAACATCCTCATCCGCTGCTGGTGCATTACAACCTGCCTCTGTATTCCCGCCTGCAAGAGGCTATTATTATCATGGTGGTGGTGGTGCATCCGCTTTGTTCTCCGTGGATGAATACAGCGAAGATAGCGGTAGTGATTATGATCATCATCCTTCATCGACATCTTTAAAAATGCAACAACAACAACAACGGCTAAAAATGATGCCTGGCGGTGGACTTTCTCGTCATTATGGTGCACGTCAAATCAACAATGTCTCCCTCTAATGTCCATCATTATCATAACGACCCCTTTCCTCCTTCTCCTCCTCCTCCTCCTATTCAATCCTTTGTGTAAAAATCATCTACTCATAGCACTCTCTACTCTCTCTCTCTCTCTCTCTCTCTTACTCTCCTTTTCTCTTTTTCCCCCCTTTGTCTTTATCCCTCCCTTGTGTTTTTAGTACTAGATGTCTATCCATTGTATCTTTCCCTTATTACTGTACAAAGTAAAATGTAATCCTACTTTTTTAAAGCTATCATGTCATGTATGTATGTACGTCTATGTGCCTCGGTATGTACATAATGCGTCGTGGTTGAGTGGATAAAAAGAAGGTCCATGCTGTGTCACCTTATCTTACATATTTCATGCAACATGTTGATCCGACGAAATGACAAAAGTGACAGACTTAAAAGGAAAATGCAAACATGGGACATACACACAAGGTATGTAAAAGGGAATATTTACTTGCTATTTACACCATTCATGATTATTGTACAAGAAGCGACGTTCACCCCACTCTGCAAAAATGGGAGATAATACGGGGATGGATGGTAAATGTTCTGCCAATGGTTGTTGTGGGGGGTTATCCGAATTGGTATGTTGATGATGTTGTACATGATGATGATGATGATGATGTTGGAAGTCGTTGGCGCTGTTGCTCTTGTGGAGAAGATTGCTATCATGATCCATACGCAGACTTGGTTTGGATTTTCTATGAAGACGATCGATGGTCTTGCTTTTGGAAATGCGTAAAGCTTCTCGAATATCTTGGGGTATGCGTGGTGTTGTATTGGAAGAGGACGACGAGGAGGAGGAGGAGATGACAGCTTTGGACCATAGTAGGCTCTTTCGAGGTGGTGGGAGTGGCAATACATCAAAGTCTTTTTCAGGACAGCACGTGCTGCTATAAAGAGCATGGTTCTTGTCCTCGCATAAAAAGGTCGATCGTAGAGCTTCAGATGCCTTGATACGACGTGAAGGATCATAAACCAGAAATCGCTTTAGTAGATCCAACATGGATTCTGTGGCTGTGGGAATCATCTTGGCCAAAGGTTTGGTAGGTGACTACACATGATGATGATGATGAGTGGGGGAGCGGGGATGATTGTTTGTTGTTGTTATGGTTACCTGTACAACAAAATCAAAGCCCATCTTGTGAGCTAATTTGACCCCATCGGCCCATTCTCGATCAGACACTGGCTGAGGATGTAATTGTTGCTGTTTCTTGGATCGTCGTTCCGGTTTGCCGAGAACCTGAGTGATACGATACAATTGGTCCACCTCACTACGACCCGGAAATAAAGGCCGCAAAGTCGTCAATTCAGCAAAGATAGCACCCACCGCCCATAGATCGACAGGATAAGAATAATGCGTGGATCGTAACAATACTTCCGGTGCCCTGTACCTGAAACGGAGTCATACATTCAGGAACATAAAAAAAGTGTCAGATTATGTGGGCGTATTATCATATCCCCTTGCTTATTACTTACCACCGTGTGCTCACATAATCAGTATACGGTGGTCGGCTTCTAAGTTCACGAGCAAGTCCAAAATCAGCGAGCTTGATTACAGGCGATAATGGCTGTTCATGATCCTTTGTTGTTGCCGTCGTCGGTGGGGAGCTGATCAGCAGGTTCTCTGGTTTCATGTCACGATGAAAGATGCCTTGTTGATGAAGATGCGCTAATGCTTTCAATATCTGTCGTCTTTGTTGATAGGGTAAGCATGATTATCATCATCATCATCATGGTAAAAGTAGCTTACAAAATGGATCGAATTTCGGCATGATTGAGAGGGCTGTTGGTTTCACGTCGTTGTTTGATAAGTTGATATAGATTGCCTTGATCCATGTATTCCATAATAAAATACAATTCTTTGCTCGGCCCAGTAAAGCTGTCGTGTAATTGTACAATGTTGGGGTGACGAGCAAGTTGCTTAAGTGTCTTGTATTCACGCGTGTTGGTGGATTCAGCTGAATGACTCGTCCGCTTCATCACCTTGATGGCAACCTAACCATGGCACTCCGCATGAGCACAATTCGATAGGGTATATGGCATTGCGTAGTGTGTATGTGTGTGTGTGGCGATGACGGTGTATTGTATAGAGAGAGAGAGAGGAGGAGGATGGGGGTGGGAGAAGAAAAAGAAAAAAGAGACATACAACTTGATGGGTTGCCTTGTGTTGAGCTCTATGGACAGTACCAAAAGAGCCTGTACCCACTTGTTCCAAGAGGTCATATTCGTCGTGGGGAGTCCCTTGACGTGCCATGTAATCAAAGTAAAGGAAGAGAAAGAGAAAGAGGATCTTAGTTCGGATACTCGGTCACCTTTGCACTCTGCCCTTTTGACATTTTTACGCCCGTTTCTCTAATCGGCAGGTCGTCATATGCGGTCTACTTTCTCCTCGCTCCCCCGAATTCCTCTTTGTACACCTCCCCCATCAATCTCAGCATTCAACATGAAATACACCATTGCCAGGGCAAGTTAAAAATAGTCTCATCATCATCCTCTCTCCCATTCTCTTTTCATCCATCTCTCTCGCTCTCTCATTTCCCCCATTCCAATTACATGTTCATCGGCGGCATATGGATATGGTAACAATGAAGTTGCATGTACTATCGTCGCTGATGTAAATCATTCATCTCCTCCTCACGTGCTTGTAAAGAGAAAAACACAATGGATCACATTTTCATGCAGATGCTGCATTCTCACACATCAAGTGATATACATAATAATAAATCGAATGATGATCATGGTAATAGTAATAGTAGTAGCTTTGTTTTCTCATCATCCAATAATCCCACGTTGACGTCAACTATACTAGAAGGTCCCAATAATAGATGCTTGTTGCTGTTGCAGCTACCAGTAGTGATGCCGTCACCATCATTGTCCATGACAACCCAACAGGATAATTCCATTCCCGCCTACGTTGCTTCCACAATGCATATTCTTGTTTGATCTCCTCGGTGGTATCGGGAACAACTTGCACCATCAGGTACTTGTGATCACTGGCACGATAATCGTCATTGCCACGAGCTCTCTTTACTGTTCTCAAACACCGCAGCAGTGTCCAATCCAGCTTAGCCTTAAACAATCCAAAGTACGCTGGATTCTCGAGTGTCACCTCTTGTGCTGACCAAGGATCATAAAATCCAGGATTACGTGCTTGGCGTAAAACGTCCTCGCTAAAGCCACTCAACCACCTTGCAAGCCTTTGGGGAAGAAGGAAATAGGCAGCACCCATAAGCTGTGTATTAACTGGTCCATCATGGTCGTGGAAAGATAACACGTGGCTGTCCCACCATCCACTCTCGGTATCGCCTAGGCTTAGGAACCGGTACCGATCCCTTGCGTACTTCCATGATAATCGTGCAATAGTATGAGCCATTGTGTTGAGATCGCCACCAATCACTTGATGCGGGATCCTTTTGCTATGTTGTCGGGCATCTTCCAGTACTTCGGAAAAGCTGCTTACTCGGCCAATAATTCCCGTAAAGACCTATCATACTTGCAATGTTAATCCTATGTAGATCCATACCTTGTTCTCTCCATATCCATACCTCCAAATGAACGCAATAACAAAGAATGGGTGGCATCTCTGCTGCATGTACAGTACCGGCCAATGTATATCGCTGCCTGTTTTTCGTTCCCACTTGTGAATAAGGAGAGAGTCCTCCACCATCATGATCATCATAAAAGTAAAAATACGTTACCCTATCCTTGGTTCTCGAAGCTTTTCACCCTCATGATCCCAATCATATCCATGGTATTGATGCTGCAGCACTCTGAATTCAATGTCATGCTTGGACAAAATGGCATTGCCATGCACGCCACCACCCTAAATCCCATATGTATGTGTATCAGCAACAATAAGAAACATTGTGAATCATGCAACTAACCTCATCTCGTGGCTGTCGTATCGGGCTATCGATTTCCAGGAACTCGCATACAAATCCACCTTTGACCTTCAATGCCTTGCATAGCTCTTTCATATGGTCACGACTCCCGGATCGACGACATCCAATATCAATCTCTTGCAAAATATACACGTCGGCATCGAGTTCTTTCAACGTATCAATAATGGCCTTGGATTCTAGCATCGAATGCAAAGCATTGTGAGCCATGAAGCTCGCCATGGTGGGTGGTGGTATACACGCATTCATTACCATAGTTGCGTTCAACATTCCACTGCACAATCTTGAGCGACGATCGTGAATTGTCGATACTGCTGGTGGAATCGCTTGCTCGGTAGTCAAACGTTAATAACTCGCCGGGAGCAACCATAGAGTTTGGTATGTAGAATGAAAAGAATTAGACAACCCCTTCCACACAGGCACCGATTATTGGACACGTGATTCTTACACTCGCCCACCCATCCTTTATTCTGATGCTCTTTTTAACATCTACCACCCATAAAGCAATTACCTTTGAATAAACGAAGAGAGTCTAATTGATTATACGCACACTTGGTTGTGGATTCACTCATACACTCATAGTACATGTGGCCTTGGATTAGCTATAGAAATGTTGTCAGTCGCAAAGCCATTGTCAGGCACGGATCAAATGCGGTTTATCGATACAGAGGTATTAGGTGCTGTCTTGGACTTTGTCAATTGGCTTTACTTGGAGTGTTTATCCAATCCTTCTCCCTGTTAGCTGATACCTTGGCACATGCTTCGTGATGTCAAAGATATTGAAAACGCCCCCAATTCAAAGCTTACATGTGAAATGGCATTTTTGCTCAAGTCGTGTAGTTGAAGACATTGGCCAATAGTGCGAGAGAGAACACCATAAACCTTGTCGTCGATCTATGATGCTAATGGTGTTGAGCCTTTACTATGCTTATCACCGGAATACAATACACGCCATTTTCCATATTGAGATACCATGTTTTAAGCTCTTGTTCATAAGTAACGCCCATGCTATCTCTTTAAGGCAAAGCGTAGACTACGTAATGACCTTTGTTGTAGAAGAACAATGTCATCTTGAAGCTTTATAAGGGAAATCTGCGGTTTGCATCCATTTCGATTTTGAGCTTGGTATTCTTGCATCAGTCGCATATGGTAGTACACCATGATGCAATCAAGAATGCAAACTTTGTCGATGAAACATAGAACGTTCCTTACATCGAAAACAAGGCAATATGAGTATGAAGGTGTTATTCGTTAAGCAGTGCGATCAAGTTTTCCTTTGGATGAGACGCATCAGATCTCACAATGAAACCCACAAGGAGAGTATGTGGCGTAACAATGAATAGCTAAAGATGACCAACTTTGATTCATCCCAGGGAGGATTTGCAGAGGGGGGGACTATCATGATACATCAAAGAGAGCCATAATTGTGGTTTTATTTATGTATGATGAATGTGGAGAAACCGGTGCTGCGGATAGGGTGTGTGTGGGTTGGGTAAAGGAAATGCTAAACCAGGTGAGGCGGAATAGGGTGACGCTCATTCATGCATAAACTTTCATAGAACTTGCGTAACCAAATTGGGGCGATCCGCACTTGCCTATTCTCCATGTCCATCCACTCGTCCGCTATAAAAGACGGCCCTCATTTGCAAGGCTATTGTTCACACATCTCGCCTTCCCTTCCATTCAATTCATGCTGGAGCGATTGCCAACCGAGATTCTATGCGAGATTGTCCACGACTTTTCTCGACGCGACTTTATTGAATGTGTACAAGTGAATCGCTATTGGCGTCAGCGTCTCCCACCCTACTCGAGTCACCTATGGAAGCATGTGGATATCAAGACCCATGACCATCTCATTTTCCTTGCACAGACCTCATGTTTTGGCCAGTATATCGATTCATGCAAGATCACCATGCTCAGCAAGGACGCATTGCTGTATCATGCACTCGAACAACTACAAGGATATCATTTACAATCTCTTGGTAAGTTATACATGCTAATGACTTCTTTATTGAGTCTTGTTATTGACGATCATGTAGTACTGGATTACTTCAGGATTGAGGATAACGAGCGCCTTATTGATCTCTTGAAAAATGTGAGGTGCGAATCACTCAAATTCACTGGTGTCACTGGTGCATGCTTGGACTTTGTTGGGATCATTACAGCTTCCAGTGGTGGTGTTGGTGGTGACGGTCATATGCGACATTTTGCATGCCATTACGACTTGATGTATCCGATGCTTATGTTTGATGATGATGATGATGACATGTGCCTATATCCTCCGCCGGCTCCTCCTTTGCCCAATACAAATGGTCTTGGATTGGTGTCCTTGGCATTGACAACCCAAAATCTTCAAGTTGACTGGATGGGTCTCTTACAACGATGCTCAACAACATTGCAACATCTTCATATCGATGTTACAGATCCCATCATCTGCCGCGACATAATGAACGCCTGTCCTCAACTGCAATCCATGTTTATTGGCGAATTTGCTGTACCTGAAATAGTAACGTGGCCACCACCACCACCATCATCCTCTGACAAGCCGGGTTTACGACACCTTGGTTACTATGGACAATGCCATGACATCGACATTATGGAATTTGTATTGGAACATCAACACACACTTGAGACTCTTTACTTTGATACGTGTATCCCTATACAAATTCCACCATGGAGCGACATCAATGCCTTCCAATCCACTTCTCTCAAGACTCTTGTATCCTCTCACACACATGAAACTTTGCCAGATACCCTTGTGCACTTGATTCGACAATCATCCAACCTTGAAACGGTGGTACTACATCAAGTGAATTCTGCCAGTGATAAGATATGGGATACACTTATGAACCTTGATACACTGCAAAACCTTTCGCTTCACGTGCATATATGGGAATACGACCCTAATCGTGCTTGGGAATGGCATACATTGATCCATCGATTGGGGACGATGACCACCTTGCGTCAACTAGAACTCGTAGCGCTGGATGGAGCCAAAAGTATTGAGTGTGCTCAGTTATTTCGGATGTTGGATGGGATACAACTCGTGAAGCTACGCTTGCTATCGATTCATGTATTGAGTGACAGGACATTGGAAGCACTTTTACCCCATGCGCCATTGATGGAACAAGTGGATATTGTCGACTGCCCTATTGTCACTACCTGTGGTATCAAGGCCCTTATCGATGGATTACCCAAGGTGCGCAATGTCACGTTCTTACTCTCCAAGGAACAAAGGATACCAGATGATGTTGATGAATTGACTAGCTATGCAAAAGGAAAAGGAGTCAAACTTGTTGTAGATAGCTTGGATTAAATATTCACGTTGCTTCCAATATAGATCTATCAATCTGCTTGCTATCAGTGATTTTACTTGCCACCTAGCAACTTGTATCCATAAACACATTTCTTAAGCAATACGATGATGTTCCAAATAAATTGGCATTTAAAGTCCCACTTGGCATTGCTGGCAACATGGTGCAAAAAAAAAGAGCACAACCGGATCATAATAACAAAAGCTAGATGTATTCAATATGATGGATGGAAGCATTGAAAGTTACAGGTGATGCTGCATGAATACGGAAATGGATCCGGTTCTTGAGGTTGGATGGCGTGGTGCTGCATGACGCCAAAACCAAAGCACTTGCATAAAAATAAGATGATGGCCGCTGCAGTTGAGTTATACGTAAATGGGTGATCGTTTCGGTAGCATGTTGTTGTCTTGCTGATGACCAAGGTGGACATTGGACCCCATGCAGTTGTTACGATCGCCCCATGACCCACTTTCCACCATCAACTCCAAATCCTTTCCTCGTTGCTATACAACACCACTCAAGGGTGTCGACAAACAAATAGACCACTCCTTTATTCAATTAACTATGCATAGAACCCTTTCCCGAATACAACTACATCTCTGTAGAGCTGTTTAAAGCCTTTTCTTTCCATAGAGACCCGGATCGTACTCTCGGCGTATTGTATCCAGGCAACCCATCATACCTAATAGGATTAAACTTGTGTGTCTTAATAAAATGCAGCGATTGGCACTTTTCTTTGTATCACTGACTCTTTGTTCCTTTGATTGTGCTTTACAACACGGTGCAATACTTCATCCTTATCCACTTGTCCTTGAATTTCATTCATTGTCAGCTATCCCTTTACTTGAGCGAGTGACTCTTTAACGATCCGTAGCCAACAACGCCTCCCAACGCTCCGTTTATTCGTTAACAAGAATACATTCCAATATACAACCATCTATAAAGTATACACAGGACGGCTATGATATCTATCCATATGCAAGCGTGAGCCTGCTTGCTTTTGCCTCAACCTTTTTCACCATCCATTACCTTTCAATCACATGTTCTCATTCCTTCCTTATAACGACGTTGTAGTATTGCTTGTAGCTAATCCTCGTAGGTGGCAACAAGGGTGAACGGCAGAAGAGTGGAAAAAGTCTAGCTTATAACAACCACTTGAGATAACCAACAAAGCACCCATTTCAACAGTACTCACGAATGTTCTTATAATTCACTGCTCAAACTGCTTGACCTTGTCGGCAATCGTCATCTAGAAGTAATTGTAGCAGTAGATCTGGCATGGACAATAAAACAAGTAGGCCTTTTCAAGTCCTCAATTGTTCCCAAACAACTTTTTACATTGCAATGCCGTGCTTTATTCGAGTGTTGAAGTTCATCAGTATTGTGTCTACAATTGCTTTTTTATCCTTGTGTTGTTGTCATGGTGGAAACAGTGTAAAGAAATAGCAGATAAAGATGGTTGGCAAGGCGACAGGACGATTTTGCGGTATCATGTGACCCACGATTGCGGGACTCGCGCGGCTCACGTGACTTATTTTCCTTTTTGGGAAGGCGAGCGGTTTATATAGTTCCGAGCGATGTAAAAAATAAGAACAACAGAAATCGTCCTCTATGGTCTAGTGGCTAGGATCCCGGTCTCTCACACCGGTGGCCCGGGTTCAATTCCCGGTGGGGGAATTCTGTAAAGATGAAATATGAAGATCCGTCGCTTTTGCACTTTTTCTTTTTGAGGTCACGTGACCTATCGGTCGCAGCCTTTGGCTGAACAATCTTTTTTTTGGGGATGTTCACGACTTTGGCTGCTGCTACTGCTTTCAATGGATGGTCCTGAAGTTAAAAAACACCAAGTGCTACTTTATACAAAGAATCAAACTATTTATTTGTTCCTTTAATTAGCAGACCCATTACAATAAAGAGTAATTCTATCATCTATGATTTGTATTTTCTTCTTCTATTTGGGAACGGGAGCATTGGCATCCTGATAATCCTTCAACTTTAAAAGACGTTTCGCGTTTTCTCTTCCAATAGCAATCTTATCACCAATGCTCATTTCAGTGCGGTTGTCAAACCAATCGCATGCATCCTCGAATGTTTCGTAGGGATAATCAATGCTAAACAGGATACGATCCGCTCCCACTTGCGAAATGCAAAAGTTGAGCGTGGCATTGGAAAAGTGGCCTGATGTAGTGATCCAAATGTTATCCTGAAAGTAATCCTTGAGGGTGCGTTTGGCAACCATGCCGAGTGGTTTTTCAATATCTTCAAACCAATGATTGATACGCCAAAAATCAAAAGGAATGTGCTCGCCTAAATGGCCCACAATGATTTGCAGCTTCGGGAACCGATCAAAGACACCATTGGAAATCATACCGAGGAGGTGCAAGCTCACATTGTTGGCAAAGGATAAAGGAGGGCCAATGAGATAACGTCGATCCTTGTATTGCTTTTCGTAAATAGCACCTTGAGGAGGTGCTGGATGGATGTAAATTGGGACATCAAGCTCGCATACAACTTTCCAAAAAGCGTCGTAGCGTGGATGATCATAATAGAGTAGTGTTTCACCATCCGATCCAGCATGCTGCACGTCGTTAAGCAACGCGCCATGGAAACCAAGCTCCTTGACACAACGAGTCAATTCCTCACCAGCCTGCTTGGGATCATGCATGGATAAAGTAGCAAATGCACCATAGCGTGTTCGATGATTCTTGATCTTGTCGGCAATGTAGTTGTTGATACGCGTTGCCATCTTTTCGGCAGAGGCTGGATCACTTTCACCTTGCACACCAGGGACTGTGTGGGATAGAATAGTGTATCCCACACCCCATTGATCCTTACGTTGAAGACGTTGACCAGTGATATCCACCACATCACTCGTGTATCTCTCAATGTCCGTTACATAAATAGCAGTGTCATCCTTGCTCGCCTCGGCAATGTCTGGTAAATTGAAAGCTTCTTCAAGAGCGATTTTTCCAAGCATGTTGATTGTTTGTTATAGAGTACTACTCATTCGAGTAAATGGCTTGCTTTATTTATAGTGTGCATGTGTTTGTTAATATGAGACAACCCATTTGTTGATCCCTGGAGAATAATCCGGTTATCTGGTTTCGCCTAATTTAATGTACGTAGCAACGCTATGTCTCTTGATTCATGATATCACGATGAACTTTTATTGCAAATAAAGCAAACATTGATGTTTCCTAACAATGAAATTGCAGATTCTACTCATCATTGGTGGCATCCATAATCCGACAATTGATTGTCATATGACACTCATGCATCCATGGTGTTACTTTTAATGCCCTTCATGAAAGCAATGTGATAATGGCTAATGCGGCTGTCAAAATGATTCATGCGGAATACGGGCAAATCGGATAAAAGGGATTCTTGGATTTCCAAAGTAGGGCGGCAGATCAAGTACCGCCTTGGCAAGTGTTGTGCATTATGAAAAGTGCCGACCATGAACGTATGACGAAAGAACAATGAACACATGATACTCCCCAAATCAAGAATCAAGATTGGGGTAATTGCAATCAGAAACTTTGTATGTGTGTGTGTATATATGCCGAAAGAAAGAAAGATCCCATTATATTTACACAACGGAAAGGGATGGAAGAGAAGAAATGGGGGAACATGGTTCAACAAAAAAAGATACGCACGCGAAGAAAAGAAAAAGAAAACCAACATCTAAAAGAAAGAAAAAGTAGTGGGGAAGAGAATGGGGAAGGGGAGAGGAATTATCTACTACTACTGCTTGTAAACCCAATTGCCAGAAGTAGGAGGATCGTACTTGTTCTTGACAGCCGAAGCGAGCATACGTTGCAAAGAGAAAACGGTAGGATGGTTCTCTTCCCAGTGGAAAAACTTTGGCTCCCATTGTGTACTTTGTTCATCACGTTCCTTACGTTCAGCACGTTGCTTGTTTTCAATCTTGCTCTTCTCGGCACCAGCTGTTTGGGTATCACCTGCACGGATAGCTTCCGACACCTTTTGCCACACACGTCGTGTTTCCAAATCACCTTGTTCCTCAAGTGGTTTGACGTTGATTGAACCTGGGACAACATCATTCACATCCAAAAAGTGAGCTGATGACTTGGTGCCATAAGGGGTGATGGTGGACTTGGCGCTCCATTGACCTTCGATCTTGTAAACGTATTCCTTGGGGTTGCCCATGTTTTTCCGGATGTAGCACTTGAAATGGTTCTTTTCACCCGAGATCCAACCACGAGAAGAGTATTCAATGGTAGCGTAATATCCAGTAGTCGATTGAATGTATGAGTTGCCAGTCAATTCAATGTATGGTGCTATGTATTGATGTGATGATGAGAACTCCTTATCCAATATACTAGAAGAATCCCATGAATAAAAAAAATTCCTTACCTGCATACCAAATACCGTTGACGGTAAGCGATGGGCTAGTGACCATGTACGTCTCATCGTTGCGATCATGAAGAGTAACCAAGCTTTGACCCACTTGATCACAGATCAATGCCGTGCTGGAGAAGCGAGTCTTTTGTCCAGTGTGACCATTGAAAGACATGTTGGCCTTGTCGTTCTTCATGTAGAAACCAGTGATTGGTGGATGATGCGACACTTGCTCACAAGTAACATGCGTTTCACCACTGCCGTCGACTTCACCCCAAGACATAAAGTATTGCTCTCCCAAGATAGGGTTGTATGGCTTCTTTTCCCATTCTCCTTTGGGTACACGGCTGGAATAGGATGCGTTCAAGGACGAGATGTACCATTTCACCAAGGCTAGCATACGTTGCAACTCATCGTCGGATTCCGTAATCGCGGTGAACAGGTTTGGATGCTGAACCCAATGCTGCCTGTAACACAAATGGTGAGTCCGCGTACGCGTATACGTTTCTCTCCATCTTGATGCTCATCCGATACTTACGAGTATTCAATCAAGGAAACAGGAGCAAGCAAAAAGGCAGGGCATGTCAAGGATGACAGGTCACCAGAAAAGGATGCGAGCGACTTGAGAAACGAGTGGAAAGCACCCTTTTGCTCAGCAGGAATCTTATCGACGTTGTTGACTTCGCCTTCTGCACCAGACATAGTTGTGTGTAAAAGTAATAAAAAGAAGGAGGAAAAAGGGGTGAAAGAAAAAGAGGAAAAAAAAGTGTTGTGCGTGTGTGAGTGTAAAGGCTTTGATCGGAAAGAGAAGCAGCACCACGAACCAGTACATGGGTGCTATTATAAGCGATGATGTTACACCACAAAAGAACATCATGATCAGCTGCTTTTCCCTTGTTGTAATCCATGCATCATCGTCATCATCATCGACATCATCATCGATCCCAATATCATTCATGCCAAGACTTTTTTATCGGATAAACACTTTCGGTGTCTTGATCTGACACACCCAACATAATTCCTTTCTTCTATTCTAGTAATTAAAAGATCTTGTTGGATGGTCCAAAGTCAATAGCAGGATCACTACAGGATATTATTATTATCATGTGAATAAATAGAATTGGTCCTCGCACATTCGAGATAGTATTACCATAGTCGGACTTGTTGGCCCTTACGACCAATGTCAGTAATACGCTCCACGTCTTCAGGGTCCATTTGGAACTGCACAAAGTTGTCCTTGATACGTTGAGGAGTAACCGATTTGGGGATCACTATACATAATTATTATAAGCATAAGCTATGCATAGCCTGACATCATACACAATGCACACTTACCAGCATATCCACGTTGCATGCCCCAGTTAAGGAGCACTTGACCAGGAGTCTTTTTGTACTTTTCAGCGATCTCAATAACCTACAGAAGCATCGTTGCCATGAGTCATGTGAGGTATTGGGCCCACAGGGTTGGATGACTTACCGTGGGGTGGTTGATGGCAGAGTCCTTACCCTTGCCAGGGTTGGAGAGGGGGCAATAGGCAGTGAGCGCAATGCCATTCTTGTTGCAGAATTCCAAGAGCTCTTCTTGGGGGAGAAGAGGATGAATTTCCACTTGGTTGACAGCAGGCTTAATCTTGCAATTCTTCAAGAGCTCTTCCAACATGGGAATAGTAAAGTTGGACACACCTAATAATAATGATTAGTTTCTTTCCTAATATTGATAAGCCATAGTGCTATTACTACTTACCAATGCTCTTGACCAAACCATCTTCGACAAGTTGTTCCATAGCCTTCCAGGTTTCAACAAAGGGAACACCAGTGACAGGAATATCATCACCTTCTTTGGGCTTCAAATGGTTGTGAGAATAATCGGTAAACTTCCAAGAAAAGGGCCAATGCATCAAATATTGGGAGATTTGCTTGAGATCCAAAAGCTCGAGGGAACGTTCACAAGCAGGGCGTACACGCTCAGGTTCATGGAAAGTTTGCCATAACTTGGTAACAACAAAGATCTCTTCAGGAGCCACATTGCTTTCACGGATAGCCTTGCCAACTGCTGCCTCAGTCCCATCTATGCAAAGTGAACCCAAATGTGTCGTTGAGTGATACATGAAGCGCCACATCACATTTGTACAAGCGCGCCGCCTACACGTGTCGTATATAGGTATACCACTTACAGACAAAAGCAGTGTCGATATGACGATAGCCGACTTCAAGAGCTACCTTGGCACCTTCATACACCTTCTCGGGAGCATCAGGACCTCCATATGTACCGAAGCCAATGGGAGGGAAGTCCATGCCATTGTTCAACTGCCAACAAACCGTTAAGGAGCTGAAATGACGAGATTGCAACAGCGTACAATACCTTAATGTCAGAGTGAGCCATTGTTGTATTCGAGTATTGAGGAGAAAAAAGTAGAACACGATAACGCTAACCTTGTTGCTAATGTCTTTCTGTCGTCCTGCTTACAAATCAAACCGCGCGGAACAAGATCAATGCATATCACACTCCACGTTTCGCGTATGGTGCCACATCCATTCCTCCTTTTAATACAATCCTGAAGCTCCAAAAGTACGCTATTTGTAGTCTTAATGTATACACGAGATGAATCAATAAACACTTTTAAGAGTAGCAATCGTTTACAGTTATACCAACAGCCAGCTTATGTAATGACCGGATCGAGAATTAGTGCATGTCAGGGATCGGAGTGTATATTTACGTTCGCAACCTGTATCCAAGCAACACCATCTTAGTTGTTGCATGCGCAAATCCTACCTTACAAGGTCCAATCGCAAAAGGGAGGTGAGCTATACAATCGAATGCAGGCTTTGTTCAAGACACAATGAATCCCTTCTCTTCCTCTCATTTTCCTTTCTCACAGCATTTACAAGTGAAGTTAATTGCTACCATCCTGTATTAACCTTTCCATACTATAATGCATCAAGTATCCACACACTACGACGTATCATTCGGAAGGAGGGAGATCTCTTACACCATACATAATGAGAAATGCCACACACAACAACGTCGCATTCGGAAGAAGGAAGATGTCTTACACCATACATAATGAGAAATGGGTGACCAACGCAATCCCGTATTCGGCAAATCCTTTAATCTAACATCATTCACAAGAGAGATCGAATTGCTGTAATAGGGGAGATACATCGATGTGGGAAGTTTCTATCCTTTGGGCGTGCGTTGTGCAAAGGTGAACGGATGGATGTGAACCGGCACTTGATGCGTGATGGCAAATCATATGCATAGTGTGCAAAGATGGAGTTGGATGATGATGATTGACTTGTTGCACAAAGAATGATGATAGCAGCTGCCATAGAATAGCATATAGAGTACGTAAGCAGATGCACCAACCGTTCGCGATGATAAGGTCAATGGACAAGTTGACATGGATACACTCTTTTCCACGCGTAGTATACAACCAGATCCTTCCATCCCATGTACCATACCAAGATCCATATCCATATCCAAAACAACGCGTATGTATTGCAGCGGATTGCTACACGTAAATAAGGCTGCTGCTGTACGATGGATATCTGCTGTTCACGCAAAGAAAGACTGCTGCAAGTAACTTGAGACAATGGCGTAAAGACTTTGCTAGCTGCTACGTGTTGTTGTGGCAGAGGAGTGTGTAAACGCGTGTGTTGTAGTAGAGTGACAAGGTTGTGGATGCTGCTTGAGACAATGCAATAAAGACCTTGCTAATAGCAACTGCTGTAATGAATGCTGTAACGTTTGATTGTGGCAGAGGAGTGTGCAAGAGAGTGCGACGAAAGGTGTGTCGTGTAGTGGGGTGTACACGCCACGGATTTGCCATTCAGCCAAAGACAATGGGATCAAGACAGCTGTAGGATTAACATGATGGGTGTGTTGAAGCAGGACAATCGTTCACAGGAGGTAATTGTACTCGAATGGGGCAACAGTTGAGAATGGGAAGAAGAGGCAAGAAACGGGGAGGGGAAGACCTGGAAATTAACTTCATTTTTCTTGTGCTTGCATGATACTTCTGTGTTTGAGCGTTGCTCAGCCAAATCCCCTCGGATCAAGAAAGTTGAAGGATGGGCATGCTAGGCTGGAGTAGGACAATCGATCGTATGCATTGGATTGGAGAACAAAGGTGTATGGGAGGAATGGGCTATCAACCAGCAGTTTACAAATAACTAATCAATTTAATCTTTCTTAGTTTGGATGATACTTCTGTGTTTGACCATAACCCAGTCAAATCCCATCGGATCAAGAGAGCTGAAGGATGGAAATGATGGTCTGGAGCAGGAGAATCGTTTGTATGCAACGGGTTGGGCAACAAAGGTGAATGGGAGGAAGTGGCTATGACCTGGCGATTTGTGAACTATGTACAAACATCATGCATTGACCCTTCCTTCTACCCAACCAGCTGAGTTACACAAGCACGATCCTCTGCATAATTGGCTCTGTCAGGAACAACCTACTTGACAATGAACAAAGACCACTTCTCATATAGCATCACGCTTACAAACATAAAGGTGCCTGTATCTCCAAACTTTACAATGAAACGTGGGGTTTTTATTAGAGCAATGTGCTCGGCTTGGCCAACTGCACCTGGGGTGCCAGTTTCACGATCAAGCTTGCCAATCCCAGATTTCGCAATGTCGCCACCAGCCAAACTGGATCCGGGGGTCGACCTCTTCGACGACGACGACCAAAAAATATTTTTTTGAGCTGTTTGCGACATTGAACGCGAAACTTTCACACAAGGTGCTGCTGGCCAAGCCGAGCCCATTGCTCTAATAAAAACCCCACGTTTCATTGTAAAGTTTGGAGATACAGGCACCTTTATGTTTGTAAGCGTGATGCTATATGAAGAGTGGTTTTTGTTCATTGTCAAGTAGGTGGACCCTGGCAGAGCAAAAGATGCAGAGGGTCGTGTTGTGTAACACAGCTACGTTTGCATGAATGAAAGGGTCAATGTATAATTACTTTATGGATCATCTAGGAACAGGCATGTATTGCTAGCTAACGGCCACTTTTATCCAATCATCATTGTTCCCAGATCCACTGCATGGGAACGATGCCCCTGCTCTAGACATTCATTTCCATGATTAAAGTAGGTTGATCCGAGCTGATTTGACTGAGCTGCGGTCAAAGAGAGATTACATCACTCTGGACATAAAGCACGCTCGATGTAGCTCAACCGATGTAATCTTGTGTGAGCGTAACTCAACCAAATCAGCCCGGATCAACCTACTTTAATCATGGAAATGAATGTCTAGAGCAGGAGAATCGTCAACCTACAATAGAAGGCACAAAAGTTGGGAATGCACAAAAGTGGCTATTAGCTGCCAATGTATGACATAAAAGTGACACTACGGGAAAAATTTGGGTGAAAAAGGTGAATACTCGGTGATATTGGTGAAATATGGGTGATTTTGGCAATCACCAATTTGATGGGTTAAATTTGGGTGATCTTTTCACCAGATTACAACCAACATCGCCAATAAACCCCCAATGGTGATATGGGTGAAAAGAAGGTGACTGTATCCCCTGCTTTTCATCCATTTCTCCAAGAAATCACCTTTGGTTACCGCTGGTCATTTTCCGGTTACAGCAAATCACCTAAATACAACCTAAATACCCCACCTTTAACCATTGGTGATCTAAAGAGGATTTGGGTGAATGATGGGTGAATGCTATCACCCAAATATCACCTTAATAACCCGAAAACACCCTTAAGACTCTAGCCCTAAAGGTGCAGTTTAAATGATTATACAGCATCAATACACTACTTTTCTTATACTCCTTGTCATTACAACCCTTCAATGAAGCTGCTGGATGCATGAACGAAGCAGGTACCTATGTTAAAGCAAACTCCGCCAGTGACAGGAACAGTGGAATTCTCGAGATTTTGTATATGCAACATGGGCATCTAACCTTCCCAATCGCAGTATTTTGCGATTCAATACCATAGTCGTATGTGTGTTGGGCATGATGGAGGGGTGTGAGTGCTCACTGTACAAGTGGCACCGGCACAGGCTGCATACCCCAATGGATTACTACTGGCACTTGTCCACTCCGGTCGACTTGAACTCCCATTGCATGGTGCTATGGTAACATGGGATGGCCACCACCAATGTATAACCCACACCCACTGTGTAATGACCTGGGGATATAGTTGTTATGCCATGGGTGATTATGGTGAAATCATGGTTGTATTTAAGGGAAAACTTGGTGATAATGATGATTCTATGATGATAAACCGGTGATCTCGTTGGCGATTTTTGGTGAAATCATGGTTGTATGTAGGGGATATGGGGGATCTTATGGTGATAAACCGGTGATCTTGTTGGTGATTTTTGGGTCGTTTGGTAAAAAGTCACCCAAAAAACGGGGGATTTTTTCACCAGCTTTTAACCCAAGAATAGCCAACTTTTTTCCCGTAGTGTGAGGGTTGCGTACCATTCATGCATTGTCCCTGAAGTCCTGACTCTTTAGCTGAGTTACCCAAAGAGGTCCTTCTGCATCTTTTGCTCTATTATAGTCATACTACTTTACATTAAACAAAGACCACCTTCCATATAGCATCACCCTTACAGCATATGTAAAACATAAAGGTGCCTGTATCTCCAAACTTTACAATGAAACGTGGGCTCTTTAATAGATCAACGTGCTTGTCGGGGTCAAAGGAATCTTGTGCCAAAGTATGAAGTTCATCGTGGGCAATCCCAGATTTCGCAATGTCGCCACCAGCCAAACTGGATCTGGGGGTCGACCTCTTCGACGACGACGACCAAAAAATATTTTTTGGGCTGTTTGCGACATTGACCGCGAAACTTTCACACAAGGTGCTGTTGGCCAAGCCGAGCCCATTGCTCTAATAAAAACCCCACGTTTCATTGTAAAGTTTGGAGATACAGGCACCTTTATGTTTGTAAGCGTGATGCTATATGAGAAGTGGTCTTTGTTCATTGTCAAGTAGGTGTACCCTGGCAGAGCAAAAGTTGCAGAGGGACTTCTTTGTGTAACACAGCTGTTTTGCAGGATTGGATGGGTCAACGTATGATTACTTTATGCATTATTCAATAACACATGTATTGCCAGCTAACAGCCACTTCCTCTCAATCAGCACTGTTGTCCATTCTATGACATGTGGACAATGCTCCTGCTCCAGACATTCATTTCCATGATTGGATTACCTTGATCCGAGTTGATTTGAGTGAGCTACGCTCGAACACGGTTACATCAGTTGAGCAACATAGAGCATGATGTATGTATGGATTGATGTATTCTCTCTTTGACCGTAACTCAACCAAATCAGCTCGAATCAAGAAAGTTGAATGATTGAAATGATGGGCTGGGTAGGAGCATCGTTCGGATGCAGTGGAATGGAAAACAGTTGAGAATGGGATGAAGAGGCTATTATCATAGCTAGGGCTAGTTTATAGCTTCCTTGCCCTTACCACTGTTCCAGTGAAGCTTATTACAGAGGTAGTCTCTTATTGTAAACGTGAACGGCAAAGGGTTGCAGGCTCCTGTAAAGATGAATAATGACATAGTAATATGCCTGCGTGAACGTGTAAGTTTATTGAAAGACCATTACTTCATCATAGGTAATCTTTGGCCATTCAATGAGAGCCCAAAAGTTCACGAGCGGAGCGAACAACCTAGGCCACAGGGCATGGTCTTGAGAGTATACAAAAGCGATGGTCAATGTCATGTATGACAAAAGCCGACATAATGGAGATGGCGTCGTTGCAGTAGTTGAAAGCAGAATGCTCACATGTTTCACATTTACGCTGCTACGTTATAGTAAGCATTTCATTCGATCCATTATGCAGCACTTCCATCAACGAAATAATACGCACGTTGTATCTTCAACATGGTTCGTAGCAGCAGCATCATTATCACTTAGGGGAAGAGGAAATGGGTACGTCAAAGTGTGGATGAATAATTGTCACGGAGAATGGTTCTGCATCACAGTGTTCTGGTATAATTGAAGCAACGTATTGTTCTGCATGATAATGGAGGTGTAGATGTTAACGAGTGTGCAATATCGATAGGAGCAATAATATCAAATAGCATGTAGCCATCAATGATAAGTTAGCAGAAATTGTGATGGGATTTATAAAGGCATTTATACTAGCAAAGAATCTACCGTTTCTATGGTCACCATGTACTATAGTATAGGCTATGATATGCAATGTAACCATGGAGGGGCAGGTTGACAACGGGGTGATGGTGGCAACAACTCCGAGTATCACCGACGCATATCGCAATGGTCAGGGCTCATCCATTGCTCACCCCTTCTTTTATTCTGCAAAATGTCGATCGGCGTAAGTACAACCATCCATCCATCCATCCCATCCCATCCCATCCATCCATCCATTAACTTGAGATCCTTCTTTAGACTATCAAGTCCTATCCCGAGAACCCTCGCGTCGCTAAGGCCAAGATTGCCGTAAGTAGTGGGTCAAAATGACACATTTATATACGAAAGGGTCTAATGTGTACATGTCATGTCTTTTTATAGGCTGCCTACAGCGGTGTCTCTGTTGATGTCCAAGCCTTTGACCTCCAAAAGGACCGTGATGAAGCTTTCTATGCCAAGTTCCCCATGGGCAAGATCCCTGCTTTCGAAGGTTCTGAAGTCAACCTTTTCGAGGCTTCTGCCATTGCCTACTATGGTAAGTTGGTTTTTGTGGGGGGGGGATTGTCCCAGGAACGAAATGATACTAACATGATATGGATGATAGCCGCTCTTCAAAAGGAGAACAACCCCATCTTGGGCGCCAACAACGTTGAGAAGGCTTTGATCATGCAATGGATCCTCTTTGCCGAGAACGAGATCAACACCAACCTCGGTCAATGGGTCTATCCTCTCCTTGGTTACTACCCTTACATGAAGCCCAATGTCGATGCTGGTATCGAAAAGGTCAAGCGTGCCATGGATGCTTTGAACAAGGTTCTTTTGACCAAGACCTACCTTGTTGGTGAGGACATCACCTTTGCCGATATCGCTGTTGTCACCTCCCTTGTCTTGGGTTACAAGCTCGTCTTTGACAAGACTTTCCGTTCCCAATACAAGAACGTCAACCGTTACTTCAACACCTGCATCAACAAGCCCCAATTCAAGGAAGCTCTTGGTGAGATCGCTCTTTGCGAGACTGCTTTGAAGTACACTCCTCCCAAGAAGGAGAAGAAGGAAAAGAAGGAGGAGCCCAAGAAGGCTGCTGCCGCTCCTGCTGAGGAAGCTCCTAAGCCTGCTCCCAAGCCCAAGTCTGCTTTGGATCTTCTTCCCAAGAGCAGCTTCGTTCTTGATGAATGGAAGCGTATGTACAGCAACAACGATACCGATGTTGCCATGAAGTGGTTCTGGGAGAACTTTGATAACGAGGGTTGGTCCATCTGGCGCGTTGACTACCGTTACAACGACGAGTTGACTCTTGTCTTCATGTCCAACAACTTGATTGGTGGTTTCTTTGCTCGTCTTGAACGTGCCCGCAAGTATGCTTTCGGTTCCATGCTCGTCACCGGTACCAACAACAACAACGCCATCTCTGGTTACTTCATCATCCGTGGCCAAGAGGTCCCCTACGAGATCTACGATGCTGCCGATTACCCATCCTACAAGTTCGAGAAGGTCGAGCCTGCCCAATACGCTGAGAAGAAGGATGAGATCGAAAAGTACATGGCCTGGGAAGTCGAGGGCTTTGCTGATGGCAAGATCTTCAAGTAAACTTTTTAGTTGTAGATTTATTTGCATTTGCAGAACAAAAAAAAGTAGTAACTTTGTACATTTTTTATATTTGAGTGGGGATGATGCAGCAAAGCATGATACAATTGACTTGCAGATAGTGTGTGTGGGTACATGTAACAAAATGGGATGCTCTTTTTTATTGGGTCAAATGTGTGGTTTAAGCTACAAGTGATGTGTAATGGCTACTTGCTATAGTGGCATTGTTCAATCATCAAAATGCATCATCATCGATCGATCCCAAGGCTGACGTTGATGTATTCCTGATTTGGTAGTGGTATTAAGCGAGCACTTGAAATCCGCCCGCTCAACACGTCATACTGAGCCCTTCTTTACCTTTTACTTATCCCCCTTTCATACCTACGTCTTTTTCACTTGATCGCTCTTGATTGCTATAACCATGGTAACGTGATGCGTCCCATTCCAACCGACGTCGACTCTTACACCTTATGGATCTAGTTTAACGGCGGCTTTGATGACGATAACCCTTTTGCTGGTGGATACTTTGGTGGTCTTGGTGGACACGGCATGGGTGGCATTATGAACCCCAATCGAGGTTTCTCAGAGTATTATCGTTGCTATCCGATCGCCATGATGCAAAGCGGCAGCGATAGAGAAAACGTCAACTATGGTGGCAAGAGTGAGTAGCGAGAACGGATAAGGAATTCATGCAATGGTGTATTGATGTCTTTTTCTTAGTCATTTTGCCACAATCTGCCCTTGAGAAGCTCTGTAAGTTTTGCGTGAGATGATGGGAGACGAGGTGCTATTGTCATGCTAACCATGCTCTATAGCGCAACTCAACATTTCATACCCGATGCTCTTTCGATTGATCAATGCCTCCAAGAACAAGTCGAGCCATGCTGGTGTACTTGAATTTGTTGCTGAAGAAGGACGTGCATATCTTCCACAATGGGTAAGTTGTTTACGGCCCAAGTAATAGGATATGGTTTTCTCATTGAGTTTTGGTTGATAGATGATGGAGACACTAGAGTTGGAACCTAATGATTTGATCGAAGTCAAGAATACCACATTGCCCCTTGGATCTTTTGTGAAATTGCAGCCACAATCAGTCGACTTTCTCGATATTAGTGATCCAAGAGCTGTGTAAGTGCGAGGGAGGATGATGATGATGGCAAATGATTCACTGCTAATGCGGGGTTTCTGGAAAAGGTTGGAGAATGCATTACGCAACTTTTCTACATTGACTCTCGGAGATATGATCCAAATCAACTACAATGACAAGGTCTTTTCTATCAAAGTGCTCGATGTCAAGCCCAACTTTGAAGAGCATTCGGGTATCTCAATTGTTGAAACGGATCTCGAGGTAAGGAGATGCATGGAAAAAGGAGACCACCACAACTAATACTTGGTGCAACAGGTCGATTTTGCTCCTCCTGTGGGCTATGTAGAACCCAGCTCACAAAGATCGACCCCATCCTCCACTATGGTATGTAATCCATGGAATGTAATAGTATACGTTACGTGACACTAACATGTGATTATAGAAAAGCCAAATGCTTTCGGATGAAATCCTCAAGCCCAAAAAGACTGGATTCGCTGTGTTTGAAGGTTCTGGTCGATCATTACGTGGGAAAGGAAAAGAGTAAGTGACAATGAAAATGTTCATTACATCTCTTTTAACAAAACATGGTAGAGCTGCAAAATCTAAGGATACCAAGGATATGGATACGGATGAACTTGAGTTTGATCCCAATGATGATGGTCCTTTGAACCTCCCTTTTGGTCAATTGTTTTTCGGCTTTCCAGTGGTGCTGCCAAAGCGACCTGAGGATGAAGAAGCAAACAAGGCGTCACATGTATTCACAGGTGCAGGCCAAACTTTGCGAAGCAAAAAGAGTTCAGCACAAAAGACGTCCAGTAGCAAACGTGATGGTAATGATGGGGGCGGTGGTGGTGGTGTGGTTGGTTGTAATCACTTTAATCTCATGCACATGTGGTTTTTTTATAGGTGGGTCGTCGAGATAAAGACTCTTTCCTCCCTCAATTTACTTAGATTGAATTATAATGCCATTTTCTTGCATGCTTTAACTCGCGGTCATTTATACACAACACGCACACACATATCAACATCCACTATCACCACCACCACCATGCTTCTTTGTAATCGCAGCCACCCCCCACTTCTCTCTCTCTCGCCTTTGCTTCCATTTGAACAATGAATGATGGTTGACAAATATATATAATCAGGCTATACACAGAATAACAATGATGCTTGAACAACATGTGCGTATGAGCTGATAGCAATCTCAAACAATAAATAGCACACACACGCAGCTCGAGAACCGGTTTCGGTTTGTCTTTGTTTTTAGTGGAATCACACATATGCTCTCCCAAGTCCGATTCCCTTTTCCTCCCCCACCCGCCTTAACCATCAAGCGGTGATGTCTCATATCATTGCCATGCACACGCACCCACACATACAATACAATGAAAGGATCAAGAGGAGGGAAGATCAAAGCCATGATGCAAACTCTTACACAAAGACAAGAACGCATTGAGTTGGTGCACGGGAATGAAACGCCTCTGGAAATTGTTTGGTTCCTTGGGTAGGACCAGACTCGTTGTATGAGATCATTTCATGGTGTTTGAATAAAGGAAGCCGCTCTGACATCTTAACCTACTACTCCCACCAAGCGTTTGAGCGCCTTTTTCTTTTTCACATTCCCAATGGACATGTTGATGGCTGGTTGTTGTATAATGGCATATCCTATTGACCATGATAGATGATCGAATGGCTTGTTTTCAGAGGAAGAGGAGATACAACTTGCCATTGATCGACACCAAAAGATACCCCATTTGCTATAATGCGCTGTGGTGAGTGATGATGATGATGCATTCATCTGGTGATCCATCATACATGTACCAATCTCGATGATGAAGTTGCTTGTTTCCTGTATTTGTCAGAGTGCATGTTGTGTTATCCGTATCACTCGTGTTTTCTTTAAACCTTGTATCCGAATCAGTTGATTCGATTATATGGATAAGGCGAGATCTTTTCATAACAAGGACCCCATCTGCTGTTGAGTCTCCGAAATAGGCAACTCCCAAACGATCCAAAGATGAGCTGCGGGGTGGGAGGTGATAGTGGGGGGAGCAAGACAAAAAGCGAGGGGAGGGTTTATAGATTTACAAGTAGGTCGCATCAGCAGGCAGTACAAGGCTGTGCGTATCATGCCAATCGATGGCATTGAATCCTTTGGCTTCCATTACGTTTTCTACACTCTCTTTTTCAAGGTCGTAGGGTAATGGTGGGTTTTGGATAGGATGCCACGTTTTCTATAGCTGACTTTGATTTTGTTTTTTTGTTGCGAGTACATTTTGAAAGCGTTGTGTTGGCGACGAGCGTAGACAAGTGTGTGTGGTGAGAGAGAGCACATCTCATTCCCCTTTTCTGGCGGATTTTCCCGTTGACCTTTTCCTCTCTCTTTTCTTCTTTTTGTTTGGAACCGCATTAATCTCTTCCATACATCACTCCTCCCCTTTCTTACTTCACCCCTGCAACGCATCTCTTTTTTCTTTACAGGCTCTCCACACACACTCACACTACACATACAATACATTCTCTCTTTCTGCATCAGCTATTATCAATCGTTCTCTAGCGCACGAGAACAAAAAGAAAAAGACAGGTATTATAGATCGCTATGAACGCAAAAAAAGGCACTGCCGCATGTGATCATCCATTGTAATACCCCACTTTGGCTTGCCCTGTCTTGGGTTTGTTTTGTCCTCCTTTTTCTTTTTTTACAGATTCTCTCTCTCTCAAACACATTTACTTGCTTATCATGTTGCTACACTCGCCTGTTGAGACCCATGCATTGTTGTCTGTCAATCCCGATAGCACAACTACTACCACTGCTACTACTGCTGGTGTCCCACAACCACCACCATCTCCTTCCACTACCACTTCTTCCACGTCTACAAGATCATCCGTCAAGCGGAGACGTCGTCAATCGCCTGCCACTACCACTGTTGCTGCTGCAGTGGTGGATGCTACTCGTACTAATGATGATGCCATTCAAGTCAAGCTGAGCACACTACGTCTTCCATCACCCACACCTACACCTCCTCCAGCAACATTATCCACCACCACCTACTCTGATAATGATGGTAATGTGTCCTTTTTTTCCCTTTTGTTAATGATGATGCATGACGACGACGAGTTCAAAAGGGGGGTTGGGTGGATATTATTCATACGTTGATCAGGGTATTGATCCAAAGATATCAACAGAGCCTCGAACAACGTTATCATCACATTATAAATACAAAGCTGGTGATGCAGTAGAAGCCATCAAGCGGAGCACACAAGAAGATGATAGTGATGAAATATGGTACTGCGCTCGTGTGGTGGATTTCCACACTGAGCGAAATCTTGTCTTTGTCCATTATGAAGGATGGCCAGCTGATCATGCTGATTGGGTTCAACATGTAAATATCCGCCCTTTCAGTAGTGCTAAGCGACATTATGGGCCACGGGGCAAGGAGGATGATGCATCTTGGAAAGAATATGGTTTATTTTACGATCAACATCACCAACGCAACAGCGCCACCACCACCACTACTACTACCACGGGCTTGGTTCATGACCGACGAATGGCATTACATACTTGCCCTTGCCACAACAAGATCACACATCCAGAACGTCCCGATCGCATTACTTGCATTTTTGATACCCTACATCAACATCGGTAGGTGAATGTTTATTACTTTTTTTACGATACCATGCCAACGCAAAATGCATTCTATAGGCTTTTGCGTTATGTACGACCAGTACCTGCAAGGGAGGCCACAACAGACGAATTACTAAAAGCACACACCCCTGCCCACGTTCACCAATACAGCCCATATCGCCATTCATCTTCATCCTCTTCCTCCTCCAACAAAGCTACTACCACCTCTGAAGAATATGATGACGATGAAGATGATCCCAATCCACGTGCTCGTAAAATGATTTCAATCGCTGCTTTATTAAATCCTGAGCCGCCAAGAAGGGAAAAAGCACAACCTCAGCATGACAACGCCACTATCACCAAAAAGCCAAGCACTATTGCAACCGCAGCAGGAGCCGTTGTTGCACCACCTACACCATCTACCAGTAAAAGCAAAATGATTTGTGGCCAACCTGGTATTGGTAAGCAAAACGTCGGCAGCAACATGCAGTATTCTTCTTCTTGCTGATCTCACACACACACACACACATACAAATACATAGCCGGTGATACCACTTTCCATCCACGATTCACCAACGTATCAGCTCGTGTTGCTGCAGGTGCTTTACTCAACATGACGGATGCTATTGTTCAAGGTCGGGTACGTAACGGCTTTGCAGTCATTCGTCCACCGGGTATGTGTACCAAAAAAGAAAAATGACGTGGAGGGAAGATAATGATGACTTATGGTGCACACATACATGTATACCCAAAAACAGGTCACCATGCACAGGATGACATTGCCATGGGATATTGCTTCTTTAACAACGTTGCTGTGGCAGCTGCAAGTGCCCTTGTCAAATATCCGAGTCTTATTAAACGAGTACTCATTCTCGACTGGTATGTCGTTATTGGTTGCCCACGCTACCCTGTTGCCATGGATACTGATTTATTCTTACAATTAGGGACATACAGTGCGTATTGCTTCCTTCCTTTTAACGTTCCACTTTATGCATTGATTGACATAGACGCAACCTTCTTTTTATAGCCACGGCAATGGAACACAGCAGATCTTTTATGACAATCCCAACGTGTTGTATATATCCATTCATCGATGGGATGATGGCCAATTCTATCCATTCACTGGAGCGCCTGATGAATGTGGTCAAGATCAAGGTATCGGCCGTAATGTGAATATTTCATTAAGTGAAACAAAGGATAAGCCCAGTATGTAGAACAAGAGTGTGAGGTGGGGGGAAACGATATACACAACGCTCAACTCAATCTCTTTTTTCTTTCTAGAGCCGATGGGTGACACCGAGTTTATTGCCGCCATGCATCACATTGTCACCCCCATTGCCCGACAATTTGCGCCAGACATGGTAAGCGTGTGTTGCACCATCCAAACAAGGTCTGACAGCCTTCAGCTGATCCCCTGAATCCTTTTTTTTCTTACAGATTTTTGTATCTGCTGGTTTTGATGCTGCTGAAGGACATCCTGCTAACGTATGTAAAATGGCATCTTTTATACGTCTCGTTTACTAATGCATGCTCATGATGATGATGATGATAATAATAGTTGGGAGGATACAATGTGACGCCACGAGGATACGCCATGATGACCAAAATGATCAAACAACTTGCCGACGAATTGTGCCATGGTCGACTTGCACTCAGCCTTGAAGGTGGTTATGAGCTCGAGCCACTCGCTAATTCTGCAACAGCCAGCATTGTGCAGCTACTTGATACAGCACCTGCATCCTTTTCAGCATCCTCTTATGGTTTGGAATACAAGCTAGAGTCCTTCGACGACACACTCCACTCCATTCGACCTAATCGTGGTGCCGTGGCATCGTTAAAAAAAGTGATCAAATGTCAACAAGCACACTGGCAGTTTGCTTCTGAATTGACAAATGATCCAGATTTTCGGTTCGAACTTCCAGAAGAGTGGCGAGCTACACATAGCATTTCAACACGCACACGTCGCACGTCTGGAAAATCAGTTGTTGTCAAAGGCTATTGAAACCAAATCCCATCCATCCATCCATCCATACCCATCTCATCTCTCTCCCTTTTTGTACAGACCCACCCGTGTACATTTTCACTCTCACCCATGTAGTATACATTGAGCACATCATCCACCAAAAAGAATGAAACGACACGTATATATAATATATTTACAACAATTGAGTGCTCGTCTATGATAGGATTTGCAACTTCCAGTCGATATCTTGCATCGTGGGCTTTTCAACGGAGACTGGTTCCTTGGCAGCATCAATCTCTTCTTGGGTGGCATACTATCATCAAAATGTTGCGTGAGTCATCTCCTACTTTACTCATCCACATCCTTAAACAAGAACGTACCTTGCCAAGAGGCAGCTGCAATGGCACAAATACAGTGGGGATCGCCTCCTTAAACTCAACCAAGATTCGAGCAAACTTCTCCTGGATATTCCGTGCTTCGTCCATATAACCAAAAGGTACCAAAACGCTCAAAAGGCTACGCACATCATCTATGTAATTGCATGATTAGATATCATCCCAAAATCATCATGCTAATACTTACTTTGCATAGTGGTGGCCTTTTCACACAACTTTTTGATCGATTTGACGAGGTATTCTTCTTCATAAATGGTACCCTTCTTTCCACGTTCCTTTTTACGTTGCTCACGACGACGCACTCTGGATGATTTTCTAATGATGATAGAACCACGTAGGTTAATAAAGACTGTGGCATCCACAACACACACAAAAAGCAATTACCTGCTAGCTTTGGAGGAGACCGAGGACAAGGTGGACATACGAGATGATGCTGATGTGTATCGAGTAAACTGACTGAACATGGACGTGGTGTCTGAGAACATGTCAATATTGTCAAGTGACTCATCATGGGGCAACACTGCAGCTGTACAGACGTTTTAGTAACCAATCATGCCTATCCCCTCAATTTGAACTTACTGGGCTCTGGTTTCTTTTCACGCAATTCCTTCAATCGATCCTTTTGCTTGTGGAATTGGTTGCTCATATCATTGAGATCCTCGTCCATTTGGGAGTAACCTAAAGTAGCATAGCATCGATTTAGGATTTGCAGCTTGTGGAACAAAGAAACATCCATACCATCAAACAATCCAGGCTTTACATGAGTCTCGATCAAATCGCTGCGATTTTGTGTGTGGCTCTATGGTATATAAATATTAGCATGATTGTATGGCGCGTCCACATATCCAAAATACATACCACTCGGATAGCTTCTTGCCAATGAGAGCCCCTGAGCAAGCAATCAACCGCTTCTTCAACATCCTAAAACATGGGATGAATTTGTATGATCATGGTGATGATGATTATTGTACAAACAAACCTTTGCATAGTCAACCGCCACAATGGCAGCTTCATCGAATCGGCTCTTATCCTTAAGGTACTCTATTATGGGCAAGGGGTAATGATCAGCTCAGGCCATCGTTGAGATCACGAGACCACTTTCGGCTTACCCACGAGATCATATGCAAGGCCTTGGATATCATCCTCGGAATGTTGCAATTGGTTTGCCATGGCAAAAGCTTCCCTCCATGATCCTGCCAAGCGGTAACTGTTCAATGCCTTGTCCATTTCATTGCACAATTGATACACTATCGAACAAAGGGGGTATTAGTAGCCTGTCATGTTGATACCACGTGACACATACCAATAGCCGATTCATCGTAAGCAGAAGTATCTGCCAAGTGTTCAGCATAGGCGTTCAAAATGACCTAGCGCAAAAAAAGTTAATGCATAGGTCCCATCCAACACTCACTCACAACACACTTACATTCTTTTTCTCAGGGATGTTTGCATATTCTTCGAGAGCCACCTTGTACAAAGTATGCTTGCGCATATAGCCCAACAACTCATCAAAGTGTTCATCGCCAGCACGGGTCAAGTTCCTGAGAGCCGAATCATATCGCTTGAGGTAATCATCGATTCTGAAGCGTTGGTAAAACTTTTCGAGCTTTTGCAGTTCTTGCAGGAATGGCAAGTATTCTCTAGGATCCTATGACGTTTTGCCGTGAGTCAATCATGCATTGCAATATGCATGCATAATGCTGTGTTTACCTTTTGCGCCTGTTGTGCAACCATCAGCACCAATGAAAAGTTATACATGCCCAAAGCGACATTGTAAAGGCTGTCAGCGTCACATAGGAAAATGGTGTACGCGAGGGCCTCTTCAGCCTTGCTGACGCTTGTTTCTATAAATGCAATAAAAACGTCAATGATGTGTGATTCGTTGCCAACCTTTTTTGTCAACATACGTTTAATATCAGCCAACAATTGCAGTGCAGATTCCAAATCAGGTGGTGTGCTCTTCACATAGGTCGACAGGATAGATTGAATGTATTGATCGCGGCCAAGATCCATCAAAACATCCCGGAAGGCCTTGCAAATCTTGTTCACCTTGCCACTCACTTCACTATAGAACAAAAGTAAATAACATGGTGATATGGTGGGGGGATGTTTACTAACCTCGACGAGTCATCTGATTTGCCAAGTCGTTGATACAGAGTCTTTGTGGTATCTTCATTCCTATTCAAGAAATAAAGGTGAGATTGTTGTGATGGGCATATCATCCAATGTTACACACGTACTTGAGATTGGAAAGGAAAAGGTTCAAGTGATCCACCTCGGGTACTTGCTCAATAAACTTTGGAATGTTTTCGAAAAAGAGCTCTGGATCCTCATCGTAAAGAATGTTGAGATCGATACGGTTACGACGACATGCAATAAAGGCGGGGCGATAGTCCAATCTAATGATTATCGGTAAGCATATGGCTTGCACTCTTCTCTTTAGCTAGCACTTACGCTTTGACATCTTCACGGATACGGGCCAGCACAAACGCACGAGGACTAACGGTTTCCAAATTACCACGAGGCATCTATCAGCCAAGCATGTGAGCATGTTTACAAAGATATGAACAAGAGGAACTTACCTGCAACACAAGGTTGGGCTTTAATTGAGTAGCCAGCACAATGCGTGCACCACGTTCCACTCTGCGATAGGTCTCATCGTGTGCGCTTGGTTCATTATCTGAAATCTTGAATTCTAATTGAATGAATGAATGGGTAAGCAAGAGGTATGTATCAATGAGCAAATAACTACATACCATCAAACGAGATATCAAGGGGAAGGAAACGAGCATTATGGCTGGTGGTTGTAAGTGCAAGCCAATCGCTTCGCAAAAAGAATGATGTGCATTCGCTTGATAACAATCGGTCATTTGCATAAAGCTTGCCTCTCTCGCTCAATCCAATAACGACTCTCTAAAATAGGAAATGAGTGACTGGGTCGTACACATATTCATGCATTTTTTGTCGTCATACCTCGGGTTCCGATTCCTTGACACCAACACGTGTAGTAGCGATCCAAGGGCAAAATGCGGGGAACGAGAGAATAGGGAGCACAACGAGCTCATTGCTTTCATCAGATTGAACTACAAGATAGGCAATTGTTATTATCAGACTTTCATTGTGCACATTAGACAAAGCCCATCGTACCTTCAAACACCGATCCATCCATAGCTTCGACAACCAAATCCTTGAAGGTGACATTATAGTACATGCGGCCAACAGGCTTTTCCAATGGACAAGAGGCAATCGATTGAACACCATCAAAAGCAGCCGAGAGTGTTGCCAATGACAAGACATCGGTTTCTTGTTCTTCGTCATATTGCACATAAGCGATCTTGTTCTCAGCAATCCAACACACGTGTCGCATAATGCTGCTTGTGTATGATTGAGATCCTCTAAAAGACCTAGATTGATTCATTAACGCATTGCTCGACAATGAATATGAATATACTTACGCTACAGCAACCTTTCCAAGAGTCTTCGTTTCACCTCGTGCATTCGCAGGCACCGCAAAGAACTGGATAGCATCATTGGTAGCAACTGCCAATTGAGTACCGGAGCTTTCAGGACCAAAGGCCACTTGCTGCACGTTATCATCCAAAGCCAATTTCAAGGCACACATGGGAGGAGGTACATTTTGATGGCAGAATGGTGTCAAGAGAACGGTAGCTATGGATCGGAGATCAGCATCATCATGATAGTAAAATAATAGCACGAGATATCTACCTCCATCAATCACGGCTACATAGCCAGCATTGTCTTCTTCCACGGATGTGCTGGCGATGACATTGGTTGCATAATTATACTTGTGGTATTGTCCACCTAACCAAATAGGAAAAGGGGGATTGTCAGCCTTCTTTTTCATCCCATGATCCATATCCCACATCCTTACCACTTGTTGCAATATGGGCGCACAATGGTGATTCCACATCCCATTGGAAACCGACAATATCCTCATCATTGGCGAATACCAGATGCTGCTTCATGTACCAATAGTAGTTGTTAGCTGTCCAGAGTTGCACTAAGTAAAGGAACCAAAATGTTGAGTAACACAATTGACAACAACACTCAATCAACCCAATTTACCTGTCTTTTGACGTTTGCCTGCTGCATTCTCAGCTTCCAACCAAACGGCAAGCATAGTCGAATCAGCGTTCCAAGAGACTTCCAAGAGCTTGTGGTTGGTCTTTTCACGCAAGGTAAATTCACCGTGTCTCAAGCCATTTCGTTCCAAAAACACAATATCATGACGATGGGGTAAACGTTGACTCGAAACAATCAAATTGCCGGAAGGCCTAAAAGGATCATGCATGAATATCCTTGCTAACCAATGAATGGATATTGATTATTATACGTACCTCCAATCAAGGACATGTTCAAGACGATCCACAGGCTCGCTTGTGTTTTGAAGGATACCTTCACGGTTGTAGATACGAGCGACACGAGCAGCTATAATCAAACATATCCGTAAGCGTCATGGTCCCAATCATTGAATCCTCCCTCAACTTACATTTCTGCTGATCAATATCGGAGACCACAAAGAAGCTACCATCACCTCGCCAAGCAATGCGTGCATTGTGATCATCATCCTCTGATAAAGTGAACTTGCTGGTATCAACTTTGTTGAGCGCAGCTTGTTTGCCAGCAGATCCATGGAATTGCGTCTCCTTACGACCCCATCCAACACTATGTTGTACACCTACAAGCATGGTATGAGTATTTTTGGTCCTTTTTCTCACATGAGGATGTCCTTTTTCTTACCTTCTCCTTGTTCTTCGACATGCAATGGGAATTCAGTGATAGTGTCGAAATCCTGGGTCATTTCTAGTACATTTCTGTGGCCTATGATCATAATAACAATGAGCATCACGTACGTTACATCCATCTCAGGATATTTACCAGTGACCAAAACAACCAAATCCTGATCTGGACTCCATGCCATAGCTTCAATGCCTGTATCGACGCTACCAACAATTTCAAGCTAATGATAATGATGATGATAATAGTGTGAGTGTTGGATGATCAATGCTAGCAATGAATGTCACTCACAGCCTCTTCGCCATTGTCAAAGCGCTCTTTGCTGAAAAGCATGATATCACCGTTGCGAGCAGCCAAGCAAGCAACTTGTTGATCGGCCAAGTAGGTGAAGCCTACGATCGCCTTTCCTTTGAACTGTTGATCGACGATCGGGACACGAGCAAGTTCGACAAACGAGAGAGCATCGTCGGGAGCGATGCCATTAAGCAGTACACGAATGTTGGAGGAGGTGCTGTCTTCGAATGCAACAAAGGTCGTGTTGTCCTCGGGATTGTTGGCAATGAAAGCACGCGATCTCGGATTGATCCCAGGTATACGAGCACTGGAATGCGCCAAGAGTTGAAGGCTGCGCATGACTGAGTGTGTGAGAGTGGGGGAAGAGAAAGAAAGAAGCGCGGATAGTGGAGTAAGTGGGGCACACACACACAAAAGACACACTTGTTTTTTCTGAAAGGTCGGACTTAGCAGCTTTCGAGTGCGTGGTGTGTGTGTCAAGCTCTTTTGTCATTATTGTTGCCAACACTTCGCCTATATACACCCAACGAACCATGATCCAGATAAATGAGAGCAAGGCACGTAAAGATCCAGTGCTCAATTTAGTGCATGACGTTAACGGGCTCTTATGATAGACCAAGAAAGCTTTTCGATCCCTCTTCAACCACGAGAAACGGAAAAGTAGCGATCAAGTCAACACTGTATGGCTCATGATCGCCACCAACGATCCTGTCAACGTTATAAAGAGTGCTCCTCGTGCCATGTAGGTGGTCTCTTTATCACTATTCAATAGCATACAAAGGCTCACCCAATGTTGATATCCAAATAGACCATTGAAGCATTCTCTGCAGACGCCTGGTTCACTACGTTGCTTATTCACAAAGGATCCGCAAGATACCTTTAAGAATCTTCTCATATCCAAGAATATCAAAGGTGTACATCAAGTGATTGGTATCTCCAAGCTTAGGAAGCGTTATGGATCCCGTGACAAGATGGCAGCATTGTTCTCCGAATATGACACATTCCTCACTGATCGACGGATCACGCACTTGTTACCCAACGTGCTTGGTAAAGAGTTTTATAAGAAACGAAAGTAAGTTGAAGAGTGGAGGACATTAGGCATGAAAAAGGGATTAATTTGGATGATGATGATGTGTTGTATAGGGAACCCATGATGGTGGATTTTAGAGCACCTGATCTTCAAAAGGAAATTATACGAGCATTAAAATCATCCTACATGCATTTCAATCATGGATCATACTAGTAAGTAGTGTACCTATCCCTAATCCACACTTATACATGCTAATAGCAATTTGTACATAGTGGCATCAAGATTGCAACAACAGCACTGAATGAATCACAAGCTTTCGATAACCTGATGACTGGTTTGCCAGAGATCATCAAGGGAGTTCCTGGAGGTCTTGACAATATCCGATCTTTACAAATCAAGACTGCAGAATCTATCAGCTTTACCATTTATGAGAACAGCAATCAGCAAGATGGAGAAGAAGAGGATGAGGAAGAGGATGAAGAATATTAGGTCTCATACATAAAATAATAAACCTTTCTCGTTGTGAAGCGTAATGATGGCACTGATGGGAATGGTACGACTTTATCAATCAATGTAATGGATCTTATTGCATATCATATGTTGAGTTTATTATGATGGCAAAGAAGCTACTTTAAAGGCTACAACAAAGAGGATGAACCGAAACCGCAATGTGTGAAACAGCATTAACACAGCCGAAGTCCCGCCTTTTAATTCACGCACACGCACGCACAAGCGCACACACACATTACCTTATTTATACTCCCAACATGGCAGGATCAAAGCGAAGCAAAGGATCTTTTGACACTGACGACTATTATCGTGATCGAGGCTCTTCATCAAAGCGCGTTCGTTTCGAGGAGAATACGGATGACTCACCTGCCGACTTCGAGATCGATCACGAGCATGTTTTGGAGACACGCAAACAACGACGTGGCCAAGTGAATACAGAGGAATTGAGCGATGAGGAAGAAGTAGGCGGTGGTGTCTACAGCAGCGATGAAGAGGACCGATCGGATCAAGAGACGGATACCAAGGGCAAAGGTGCTGCTGGTGATATGAATGATGATTTCGATATCTTTGCTGAAGACAATACTGCCGATAAGCAACCGATGCCATCTTCTTCTTCCAACAAAAAAGGCAAACGCAAGCTTCAGATGAATGAGATTGAAGGCCAAGAGTTGAGCTCACATGACCGTGATTGGGATGAAGATGACGAAGAGGAGGAGGAGGAGGATGAAGATGAGGCTATGGATGGTACCACCACCAAGAAGACCAAGAAGAAACGTGAACCCAAATTGATGGCATTCAACATGAAGCAAGAAATGGAAGAAGGCAGCTTTGATCAGGAAGGCAACTATCATCGAAACAAGGCTGATCCAGAAGCATATCATGATCGATGGATGGAAGGCATCTCACGCAAACAAATGGCAAAGGCAAAGGAAGCACAAGCACAACGTGAAAGATCAGAGGCTCTCAAAGAAGCGGCTCGTCAAGCAGAGGTGCCACAGACAAAGACGGATGTATACAGGGAATTGGTCGAGCTTTTACATCCTGGAGAGAATGTACGTGAAGCACTTGGAAAGCTTGGTAATGCATCCACCAAAAAGATACCCGCTTGGAAGCAAAAGCTATTGGAAAAGAAAAACAGAAACAAAAAACAACCAACACCAGCCGCTGCACCTCCCGCATTGAGTGAACAAGAAGAAGCTGAACGTCAAAGCAAGGTTGAAAAGATTACAGGGCTTGCGGATCAGATGATGGCATTGGGCTATTTTGGAGTCTATGATGATACTTTTGAACTCATGGTACGCCATTTACGACAATCGGGTGCTGTACCATCGGATTGGATGCCAAGTAGTTACCAGCAGTAGCAATAATAGCATAGCCCGTTTTATTATAATACAAGTGTTTGATATAATAATGATGCCTCTTCTATTATGATCGTCCTCGAATAAGACGCATAAACATGTCGGTCACTCGTTGTCGTCTTGTGTAACCAAGGAATCCTAGAGCGCCAAAAACAGTGCAAGTAACCAAGAGACGGGAGAATCGATATGCCGGAGACACATTGTTGGTAGTGGATGATAGGGATTTGGATTGTAAATGCTCCTTGATATGAACCGAGTCAATCACACGACGCTCTTGATCCAATACAATACGCAAATGACGACCTGATGCACTATATCCTCCATCTTTTCGTTGAGGTCCTTCATACGGCTTTAGAGGTTCGCCATGTAATCCTTGTCCAAAGAAGCCAACTTTATCGAGTCGTGGTAGATACAATTCATAGGCTGGCATATACGTATCCACAAATGCACGTACATCCTCATCGGACATGCCTTGCACACCGCGTGTCGCTTTCATGTGATGTTCTTGTTGCAATCGCCAGTTGTAGACTTGTTCCAATTTCGCAGGGGACAAATGAATAAAGATATCGAACATGGAATAGAGTTGCGATTCGTATTGTTCCAAGTTGGTATTCATTTGGGATAGATAGGCAAGTGGAAGTTTGGCAATGCAGCTATTGGGAGTTGCATGACGATGGACACGTTCAAGTTCAGTGGGCAGTAATGGTTTGAATCCTTGTGACCATCCTTCGAAAAGTATCACGTCGTAGGGTGCCTTTGTTGGTTTCCAATCCGATAAGGGGCGTCGATCACCCAATCCACCAAACAAGGATTTGTCATAGGATGGAATACGTACTTGATGCTCGCTTTGCTGTATCAAATGGGTGAGGGTTCTCTTGAGAAGATCGACGTCGTGTGATCCAGGCTGTCCTCGATACTGGAACAAGGGGTTGCCTGGATTCGCTTCACTCAACTTGGCTTGCTCGGCGCGTGTAAGGTAGAAATCATCCAACGAAAAGCTGACAACATTAAGATTGTGAGGTTCACTGCCGAGTAAATGGCTCAACGTGTCGCAAAGGGTGGTCTTGCCGCTTCCTTGACAACCCGAAACACCCACTACCAAAGGTCGGCTTGGAAGCTGTTTGTTTTGACGATCCTCCAGGTACGCCTTTCGATGCTCCAAAATGTGCTCGAGCGATGCCTTGGTCTGTGGCAACATGCTGTACGAAATCGACATGAGGACGATGTGTTGTGAGTAAAACAAGTGTCTAACACACGCACTGGCGCGCGTTGCACCGACCAGTCGGCTCAATTTTCCCCACATGATTGTGACACCCTTTGATGACATTCGACCCTCTTTCCTTCTTATGCAACACACATCATCATGCATGATCTATTTCCTTGATTTGAGCTCAACTCTCATATACATTGTAGCTGATTGTAGGGTGGAATAAAATGGATGCATTATTGGTATACAGTATCAGGCTGCTGCACACAGCAAGAAGAATAGTCGTCGTTGTTCGTAATTCTCCCGAGGACAAGGACCATGGGAAAACATGTCAATACGCTTGACTTGGCATAGCGCATCGCCACATTGAAGTTAGGCACAATCACCAAAAAGATCAATGCAATACATAAAATGGATATTTTCCTCCTAACTTGGACATGAGACCTAATCTGAAAGATCGATTGTACTTTTGGGTCATTGTGTGTGGTGTATCCTGGAAGCATCACAATGGCAACACCTTTATATAGGCTACAGTAATGGTTCTTTGTCTCTACTACATCAGCACATCAATCTCATCATCCTATAGATTAAGCAATCGATGATCGTGTCATGGCCAGCATGTGCATTCTTTATATTTTGCAACCAAGAAATGCACAATTTACATGTAACAGCAACCGTAGTGATGTACATGGCATGTGCTATTAGGAATGATCTTGATGTTCTTTGTTTCCATGCATTCCGATGAGTGTTTCATTATACTGTTTTGTTTTTAAAATAGGCCTTTTCCTACTCATTATGTATATGCGTGTGTGATGAATCAACGTCATTGCCCAATTATTGGCGCCTTCGTCTTTACCCAGCACAAAGGGCACATGTATAGCAATGGCCATATAAAGACCGAGAGAATCGTATTGCAAAAGAAGCATCATACAACTTGCTCTTTCAATGGGCCATTCCAGTCTTCCACCTTTGCCTCCACTTGATCTTCATCATAGTGATGACAGCGCAGCAACCGGTTCTTCCCAAGAGCAAGAACTAGAATTAGAACTAGACCCAGAACAACAAGAAGAGCAACAACAGCAAGAGCAACAACAAGATCAAGAGCAACAACAAGATCAAGAGCAAGAGCAACAGCAAGATCAAGAACAAGAACAAGAGCAACAGCAAGATCAAGAACAGCATCAAGAACAACACCCATCCTCAGGCCCTACACCCATAACGACGACAATACCAATATCCGCTGGTCCGAGAATAACATGTCCTGAATGCAATTTTATAATGAGGGTGGATCTTTATGACTTACATCATGCCGAACGACATGTCGATATGGTTTATTTGAAGTACAAAAGGATGCAAAGTATGTGCTTGTAAGCAACAAAAAGACGACGACTGATACCTTTCTCTCATCTTTTTCTTGTAGAAAGAATACTCCTAACGCGCAACCATGATGATGAATTATTTCATTGTCTTTGTGGAAACTTCAATCATGAAGATGCTTTGACAATGCATCATCATGCATCTACCGTTTGTGACTTTTCGGACCTCATACTACAACAACAAAGACCAATAGCTGATGAAGCATCCACTTTGCATGATCAGCCGCCTACGACTACTACTGGCCAAGAAGAAGATCATCAAGAAGGTGATACTAAAGAACAAGATAAGCCAGCAAATGATACCCAGCAAGATGAAGAAGATGTAACGACATCGTTTATGGAGACCACAATCATGTTGGAGGATGAACTCAGCGAATGGGAAAAACATACCCAAAGTATCAAATCAAGAGCCAAGCTCATGTCACAGCAGCATGAGCAGCAATCACATCAAATGAACGAGCAATTTGCGAGCCTTGCGGATCGATTTGGCCACATCATGCAAGACCAGGCACAACACTCGCATGACACGCAAAGGCAATTGCGCTTGCTCTTGCATTCACTTTACGGAAATAAAAGTGCTCTCTTTTCGACTCCTCAACACCATCGTCTTGAAGGGCTGCAAGAAGAGAATGCAAGAAAGAATTGGACTCGCTTACTGGTAAAATATCATTTGGGACGCAAGCTAGAACGCGTGGAGATCGAATCAGCATTACAAGATGGCGAGATCAGTAGCGATATCCAGGCACCCGAAGTCCTTGACATGATCGATTATGTGCTCGCTTTTATTTTTGAAGCGGATAACAAGTAGAGGGTGATCATAGTGCAACCAACATTTTACAGTAATAAAACATGGATTTGATTGTAAAGAAACGTGTTAGCTCATTGCTATTGTGATGTCGTATTTTGGTCAAGGGACTCATCGGCAGGTTGCATGGTATTATCCATTGGCATCATCACTAACGGATCATCAATTTTGCCGATGTACGCAAGAGAGCACAGACATTGAATTAACTTTTTTGCATGTCACATGCAAGAACAAAGAATACATGGAAGCAAAGTATGGAAACCCATCCATCATTCAAACGCAAACATATCATTTTTATAGATATCTTATGTAGCCATGGAAACGAGTTTATTCTGGTAATGGCAGTAAAAGGGTGATTGCCACCCTTGACAGTAAGGCAACTCCGCACTTGGGGTGGGTTGTGGTGGTGGCTTGCTTAATGGCAGGGTGGGTGGGGGAGAGGGAGCGGGAACCCCTTTGGTATCTTTGTTCACTTGAGCGACCGAGGATAGCAAGAGCGAGCGAGCGAGCGAGCGAAAGAGACACCAAAAGTACGCTTCACACAACAACAAAGAATATGGTGTTTCGCTCCTTTTTATATCCTATACAAAGCCCCATTGGTCGATCACTACATTGTCTTGTCAAAAGCCGTGTAAACACTCTTTTACCACGTCGTCGTACACTCGATGGAGTCACCATCGTATCCAGTCGTCATTGGTTCAGCACTCGATCTCGATACCAGTATCAGCAATCCACAGCATCATTACCGCCTTCCACTGTATTAACGACACACGACCATATTCCACTTGCAGAACTTCATGCATTGTCTTGCACTACTGCTACTGCTGCTGGCCATTCATTCGTGACACTTGTCGAGCAAGGGCATTACGCTCAAGCCCTAAGTATGATTCACGACAATATTCATGCTGCTACTCCTGAGGATCGGCAGTTGTTTTTCGAGACGATTGCAAAGCGACTGGAGGCTGACGAGTTGTATGCTCTATTTCGACCCGTACTTGCACAGCAACAGCATAGCAACACAGTGAAGCGGATTGGACGATCAGCTGCAAGGTTTTGGTCACGCGAGCAAGTGATTGGGATGATGCGATTATGCGAGGATCCAGCGGATGAACGATTTCAAGTGTATCTTTATCGACGATTGACATTGGCATATCAACGGACTCATGATTTGGACGCGTTGTTGGAAGGATTGGAGTTGGGAGGTGTATCGACACGATTATACAACATGGCATTACATGCTTGCGTACGATCCAATCAACTCGATCACGCTGAGAAGATATTGAAGCGAATGGAACAGAAGGATATACGATGGGATGCGGTGTCATTTGCTATCTTCATGAGATCACAACTTGCCAAGGGTCGTCTTGATGAAGCAACTCAATCTTTTGATGGAATGATATCCAGTGGCATCGCACCAACAGCACCCACCTATCACTTATTTATCAAGTATTTGGCAAGGAATGGACAATGGCGTGATGTAGTGCAATGGTTGGATCGTATGGGTGACATGCAAAATGCGATCACATTGAGGATATTGCTACGAGAGGCACGTCGACACAAGAATAGACCAGGGATGGCAACGGCTTTGGAGCGCGTCTTGGATACCGTGCCACCACAACCTATCGAAGATGAGAACAATGTGGGTATTGCAGCATCCACCCTATTAAGGCATAAGCGGACACAAAGTGCAATGCAGCTCTTGGAAACGTTTCTACGACAACGACATGCTTCAGTACCAAGTGATCAACAACCACAACGACCCCCTTCAGTAAAGATTTACAACATGTACATGCAAGCATTATGCCAACAAGGCGATCTCTATGAAGCAGAAAGGGTGTTTAACACATTGACCAACATACCAGCATTCCCGTCACCGGATGTCTTTTCATACACAATCCTGATTCAAGGCTATGTCAAGCAAGCATCCTCTTCAGACGCTACCAAAGCAGTATTCGACTTGTATCGAAAAATGCCATCAAGGGGTGGACCCACAACGCGTGGCACACTTCAGGGAATGCTACTTGAAGCAACCATCAAAACGCATTCAGGCGATATTTGTGATGTCCGTGATTTGTTTGATCAAATGGTGAAAGATGTTGAGGACGATACGCTTTGTCTACCTACCGAATCAGCCTTTTGTCCACCCTACCGGAAAGGTGTGCATCAGCCAATATTGTACAAACAAGCTCGAAAGCATACGTTGACGATTCTTTACAATGCAATGATGGAAGGCTATTTTGTGTATGAACGTGAACGACGGCTACGAACAGGCGGTCATGGCGGGCTGGGCTCAGTCAAAGATGCACTCCGATTGCTGGATGATGCTGTACGCAAAGACATCAAGTTGAATACAAGGACGCTCAACATTTGGGTACGTGGACTTGCAAGGTGGAATCGTGATTTGGAAGCGGCCGAAATGATCGTCAATCAATTCCGCAAGTTGGGTGTTGAGCCAGATGAACGAACGACTTGGCATCTTGTATTTGCTGCATATCGACAATATGATCTTGTACAGGCACGCAAATGGTTACAGGCATACGAAGATCGTGGATTACCCATCACCTATCCTTTACTTGCCGACCTCAAGGAACGTATCATGTAGCCTCCATCATTCTTCTCATCATCCTCATTCCTCCTTTTCTTCCTTCCCATCACCATCATCATCATCTCCCTTCTCTTCCTTCTTGTTCACACACACACACACACACTCTCTCTCTTGTCAAAATATACCATGTAAATCAATCCTGCAATAATTTCCCCCATCCATGTGCATGTTAAATAGATTGCTGTTTCATCCTATTGATTGCTCTATCCAAAGATTAAAACTACTTTTGGAAACCTAAAGTGGCTATTACAATTCATGACAATTGATTCTGTATAGGATGCAGAGAATATAGGAGCGTGAAGAGGGATGAGAGCACTAATAGCGAGATGTTGTTCCAGCATTCCGATTTTGGGACTTGTCAATTATTTAATACAATGAAGAAATCTTGACATGAGATGATGATGGTGTTTGTGGGTTGGATTTGGTGGCACTGTTTTTCCAGAATGAAGCGCTGACGCGTGCCAGAGTGTTCAGATTCTTCTCTGTCGCAAGTGCATCAAGCGTATCAAGGGAGTTTGGCAAGACCATGGATGCCACTTCTACCATGGAATACATATCTTGATGCTGCCTCTGCACCATGAAAAATGATATTCGAAAGGCATGTACTTATGCCACCTACAAAGGAACCCCAAATTCCTATCAGACAACAAGGCGTCATTTTAATATAGTTATACCTACCACAAAGCTCCATCAAGGAACACAGCCAAATGTCATAAATGCGCCAATAAGCACTTCAAGTGTTAAAGCAATGATGTGAGCTACATAGGTGGATGCACGAGTACCCTCATTTTGGGGATCACATAATAAAGACTATTCTTGAGACTTACCAAAGGCGATGGATGATTAATGATGATGAACACAAGTAGAAAGAAAGGCATATGATAGTGTTGGTGACCAAAGACAAGTCTTCGAGGTGTGTACAACACCATTGGGCGTCATTTGGTCGTCGTGGGGGCTTTTTAACTGTGGTGCGTTTACGCTTTTGCCCACTTGACATGTTGGCCAAAAAAAAAAGGAGCATAGCATACGCGCAGCATTTTGAGCATTATTTCAGGAAGATGCTCCAATATGATTCGCTGTTTTTCTTGGAGCCTTCTCGTTCGTTTGCTGGGACTTTGCTACGTATTTGCACCATGTAAACTTCAGCACCCGATATAAAACATGGTACCCAAACCAACTTTTGCAGATGCCTCAAGGAGAGAGAGCTATATGGAAAGTAACAAGGTGGCGTATATGAGCGTTGACTCATCAAGCAACATGACCAAGCTTTACCTCATTACAAGGATCCAGTAATATCACAATGACGACCACAATACAAAGAAGCACTACGAAAGACCACGAAGATCAGCGCTTATTCACAAGTTGAAAGATGTGGTATACACACAAACCTTGGAAGTTTGACCTTGTAAGCAATCAAAGAAGAATGACAGTGGAAAGAGATATGTGGGAGTATGATGGGCGGCGACAACATCCTTTTATTGTGCATTGTGGGCGTGGGCATTTCTGTCCGTTGGGGATGATGCATTGATAAATTGATGCAAGAGCTGATAAATGATGGTCCCGCATATACCAGGAATGAATCTGAGGAGCCTAGTGTAATGTTGTCTATGCATACATCCTCGGCCAAAATAGAGCAAGTGATAAGATCCCCATTATCATAAAGGTGACTTACCATGTTGTCAACCTTCTCTTAATATTGGTATGCATGTAGAAGATTACTGTTTCATCCTATTGATTGCGCCACTCATAAAACAAAGATTCAATAGTAAGTGTATGCGTCTTTATTGCTCACATGCCTTATCCGACGTTACAAAAAGAAAAAGAGTGAGGGGTATATTGGAATGATGGTAGGGATCTATCGAAGGGATTGAAGGCGTACAAGTGCAGCGTATTCGCCTCTTTGTCGAAGCAACTCCCAATGTGTACCTTGTTCAACAATTCGACCTCCACGAATATAGCATATGAGATCAGCATTTTGCACAGTGGCGAGTCGGTGAGCGATGATGAAAATCGTGCGATCAGCTTGATGAATGAGTTGATCAATGGCATTCTGGACTTGTTGTTCTGATTCAGCATCAAGAGCCGATGTAGCTTCATCCAACAAAAGTATTTTGGGTTGTCTAAGTAAGGCACGTGCCAAGGCGATGCGTTGCTTTTGCCCTCCTGATAATTGAATACCATGGCTGCTGTTGCTACTACCAACGTGGGTGTCGTAACCTTGAGGAAGACTGGTAATGAAATCGTGCATCCCAACTAAGCGAGCAGCATCCTCCACTTGTTGACGTGTTACTGGATTGATCTCCTTGGTATCTTGTTCTCCACCACGACCCAACCAAATGTTGTCACCAATGGATAACCCAAACAAAACAGGTTCTTGTGAAACGAGTGCCATGGGTTGTCTCAAAGAATTCAACGTATAGCCACGCGTGCTGCTGCCATCCAAGGTGATTGTGCCATCGGTAGGATCATACCATCTTTGCAATAAGCCAATACCCGTTGATTTACCACATCCTGAAGGGCCCACCAAGGCAATCGTCATACCAGGTTTTGCTGTAACCGAAAAACTCCCATCAAAAACACGCACATCAGGTCTTGTTGGATAGCTGAATGCAATGTCGCGAAAAGAAATATCGCCTTGGATCTTGTTGGTGGCAGGTGATAGACCTTCCAAATCGGGATCAATCTCAGGTGTGCGTTCAAGGACTTGACACGTGCCAATGGCAGCCCGTTTAGCTCGTGCATAGGTTGTACCAAATGCACCCAATCGGCCAATGCTGTGCACAGACACCAATACGCATAACAAACAAACATACATTGAAACCGCATCCACCGATCCATCATCCATAAATCCAGCTCCCAAATGTAACGCCAATGCGACCACATGCATCATAAATCCTTGGTTCAGTGCATAGCCAATCGATGCAAATATCGCCTTGCGCTTGACAATCGCATGCGCTTCCTCGGTTGCCTTGGCATAATTGGCTTCGAAAAAGGGTTGTTGGCCCAAAGCAACGACCGTATGAATTTCCTTGACAGCTTCAGCGAGGATAATGTTGCATTGCTCATGGGCTTGTAACGCCTTGTGCTCATAACTTCGTTGCGTATGGGCCTCATAATAGCTCGCACCCATCACCACAGGAGCTAATGCGCATACAGCACCTGTCATTAAGGGATTTTGCAAGTATGAAATGACCAAGCCTAAAAGAAAAGGATATAAGACATCATGACAATAAACGTGTTGACCTTTTCTCTTTATACCTGTGATAGCAGTTGAAATGATTTGTACAATGTCTCCAGGCACTCGGGTCACCAATTCATTCACATTCTTGGCATCCACAGCAAGTCGCGTTGCTAGGTTACTTGTAGTGTGACGATCAAAGTAGGCGACTTCTTGCTTGAGATAGGCTTGAAAGACTTGGCCACGTAGTCGTTCAGTGTATTGTTCTCCTGCCACTGCAAATGAGATCACTTGAAGTGCATAAATGATGAATGATGCCGCGGCAGAGATGAAGATCCACATGGCAAATGCTTCAGCTACTCTTCTAAACGACATGCCATATTGCTGCTCTTGATCACGCTGCACCAAATTGAGAGTCGCTTGTGCAAGAACGTAGGCCACAAAGGGAAAGATGAAACCAGCCATTGCTGATCCTGTAAATCCAAGTGCTAATAAACATCGCTCCTCACGCATTTGTCGAAAGATTTTGAGAATGGGTGCTCTCTGCTTTGCATGTTGATCATCACGACGTAGTATACGACGTGCGAACGATGTTGATCTTCTCTCTCGTGTTGCTGATTCTTGATCACTGAATGTCACTCGTCGTTGATTTGTGTTATGCTGCTCACGCTCGATATCTTTGGGTTGATTGCTAATGGTGGTTGCCATGTCACCATCATCATCAGGTGCGTGTTGAATTCTTTGGGTGGCAATCTCTTGTAAGCGGACAAATTTGGCATACGTGCTTCCTCGCTGCTCAAGTAGTTGTTGATGAGTGCCAATTTGAGAAATCTCTCCATTTCGTATGACGACAATCTGATCAGCATTTCGTATAGTTGCAAGTCTTTGTGCGATGATAAAAGTTGTGCGATTTGATGAAGCTTGTTCAAGGGCTCGTTGAACAGCCAATTCAGAGTTGGTGTCTAATGCCGAAGTAGCCTACATTATCATATAGAATGAGCATACAATAAAAATGCAATGATGATGAATAAATATCAGCGTACCTCGTCAAGCAACAAGATGGGTGGATCATTGATGATGGCACGTGCAATACCAATACGTTGTCGTTGTCCCACTGATAGCTTGCTCCCTGATTCGCCGACAAGAGTATCATATCCCTCTGGCAACGCAGTGATGAAATCATGGCAATTGGCTTGCATACAAGCACGCTCAATTTGCTCTTGAGAGGCACAACGATTAGGAACGCCTAGCAGCAAGTTTTCTCGAATGGTGGTGTTGAATAACTTTGGTTCTTGATGAACAATGCCAATATGGTGACGTAGCCATCGTGCATTTATGGTGGTGATATCCCTCCCATCGATCAACAATTGGCCAGCTGACACGTCGTATAATCGTTGAATGAGCTGAAGGCATGTCGATTTTCCTGATCCAGAGCTGCCGACCAATGCCACCGTTGTTCCTTTTTTGATGCTGAGATTGATATTTTTGAGAACATAAATATCTAAATGAAATAGTCAATATAAAAAAGTACGTGCATGTTCATATGAAATAGCTGTACCTGGTCGATTTGGATAAGCAAACGTGACATTTCGGAATACGATATCGCCTTGGATGGGTGGTATAGGCCTTGCAATGAGAGGGTTGTCAATGGTAGGTATGCTGTCAATGGTATCAAAGATCTTGCGAGCAGCAGTATAAGCAGCAGCAATGGCTGACATGTGACCAGGCACCTGAAGGAATGCAATGGATCCCAGCACCATGCCCAAAATAGCCGTCAATGCATTCCAACTATCAATGTCTCCTCGAGAAATGACGATCCCAGCGTACCACAATGCCAAGGCGTATGTCATTAATAGCACCGATACTAAGGCAGCGTAACACAGACCCCCATACAATCCGCGATGGACTCCCGCTTGTCGCGCTTTGATCAAATGTGCTTTGTACATGTTGGTAAATCGGTGTTGTAATGAATAAGAATAGACTGTGCGGATATTGTCGAATACTTGTTGTGCCACTGATCCTGCATCACCATAAGCTGCTTGCAATTTGTAGGTGCTATGCACCAAGAGGTGAATCGTGAGGTATGCCATGAATGCCAAGAGCGGGATTGTTGGTAGTACCACAATCGCAACTTGCCAACCCATAAACAGCGCCATCAAAAAACCGGATGCAAATGCAGAGATCGATCGAATCAAACCACCAAAGCGTTCAGAGATTCCATCTTGTAATTGCTGCATGTCAAGCGCCAAACGAGTCGTCAGAGCATCATGGTCCATCGTTCGTGTATCAAACCATTGCATATCTTGTCGTAACAATGAGGCGATATAGTATCTGCGAATGGCTTGCACCTGATTTTCACCAGCAATGATCCATAATGCGTTGCCAGAATATGATAACAACATCAACACGCCACCAATGCCTGCAAATCCAATCACAGTGGGTTGTAGTCTCTCCATCAATGATCCATCGGCCCTCGTAATGGCTGCCACAGCTTCACTTGTTGAATGTGCAAAGATAGAAAGACATGAGGTCTGCAACACGCCAACGCCAATTGAACAAATACTTCCAGCAATAATAAGGTACTTGTCTCTACGGGTTGCAAAACGAAATAGGATTCGCATTGGGATCACACGTTTCTCTTCAATGGCATTCATACATCGTTGAAGAAAAGAAGGTCGTTGTTGTGTCGTCGTTGTAGGATGTTCAATGGGTGTTGCTGTTATTGTCGTTGTTGTTCCATTGACGACGTTGTTGCTAGGCGACGACGAAGAAGATGTTGTTGCGTCGTTGGTACCAGAAACATGATGCATGGTGACATTATCTCGATAGTCTTTCATTCTTTGGAACTGTGATGATTGGCATGACGGTTTGAAATAAGCCCATGTCATGGGAAAGAAGTGAAAGAGAATACAGAATTAGCAGAGTGTCCTATCTATAGCTCTTGATCCCAAACTCGTCGTGCCCGTACACGAGCGGAGCTTATTCAGCAAACATTTACCTGGTTGTACCTGCATGCCTTTGATGCACTGTATCCGTTTCTTGGGATGGCTCTTGTTCAGACATTGAAAATAAAGATGTCACTATTGTAGATGCTCAATTGTATTAGATAGATGAATCTACCTTCTCAATGCAAAAAGAATCTTACCAATACTCCTGATTGTTTCACTTTGTGCGGGGATTGTCTTTTTTTGCTGCATGTTGCCCCGTTCACCCCGTTTATCCTCAACTAAATTAACAAACAATGAAAAGGTGATAATCTCTGACGCCATTGTTGTCGCCCTACCTTCATTCTTTGACATTCGTTCATTGCCGGGTCGACAGGTAAATTAACAACAATAGCATCAAGTTCTTTCAATGCTTCAATGTTCCACAGCTATTGCTGCTCAGCATGATGCAATTCAGATCGCATTTGTTGTATATGAATCATATCAGTGTTGAGTAAAACAAGTGTTGGGCACAATAGGGAGCTTCTTGTATGAGTCTTCATGTCGTCTAATCAAGCAAGAAGAGCTGGTCTACATTATATAAAAAAGGTCAACCATTTTTCGAGTGATGATCCAGCGGCCTTTTGTAAATACCTTGAAAGCATCTTATTGGTATCCACATCATGAGGATAGAGCATTATCGGCATATGTAATCGAAGCCGTCTGACGAAAGTATTGAACCGAGCCATCCTTAATGCTTCAATATCATCGCATTGTTGATAGCTGAACGAGGATCCAATATCAAGAGATGGTCCGTAAGCTGCTCGGCTGAATGTTGTTGAACATGGCGACTCTGCTGCTAGCCCAATGGACGCATCGATTGACGTGGACAAAGGCGTTGTTGGAGGAGGTGTTGATGGCCCCAAGTTGCTGATCGGCTGTTGAATACAAGGTCGGACGTCAATGGCAACACGTAATTCTTCAAGGACTCGATTGCTTTTGGTTCATTTGGTTGATGGATTGAATTGCTCCTTGATGTCGTAAGTAAAGAAAGAAGGAAAGGGTGTTCTTCGAAAGAGCATTGTGCATGATCGGAAACGCGGTCCAGGTAACCACGACGTTTCACCAGCCGACAGGGTCATCTGCAATTTTCATGCGTCCCCGCTGTTTTATAGTCACGTGGTTCCATGAACCATTGTTACCATCTACTTCGATCTTCTCAAAAGGGTAGCTTTATTTTCTTATACATAAATGCTTTATCGATCGATACAATATTGTTTAACAAATTCAAGTAGAGCAAACTCATTCAAAGGCTTGGTTAGATATCTAAAAGCAATATATAAACAACGTGATTAGTATTAGCATTGAAATAACCAATATCAAACCTTACCCATCCATGCCAGCATTCACGCAAATTGCTCTTGCACTATCTTGTATGTCTGCTGTGAGTGCCACAATCGGTAATCGCTTCTTGCTATTTTGCTCCTTTTCATTTCTCCTAATGGTCTTGGTCGCCTCCACACCATCGCATTTGGGCATGTGATGATCAAACAGAGCCATCTTAAAGTATCCAACCGGTCGCTTGGTCCATGCAGCAATCGCTTCAGCTCCATTGTTAGCACATGTGATGTTAAAGCCATATCGTTTCAATTGCTTGCATAGCAGCTTTTGTGCAACAGGATTATCTAGCAGGTGTCTTTAGTATACAAGCCTTCAACAAGCATACGTTGTTGTCAACCTACCTTCTGCAACCAGGACATTGGTCTTTTTGAATGCTTTACGATGTTCCTCTGGTATCGTCTCAATGGCAAGCTTGATCTCACTGCTACTGATACGTGCAAAGATGTTTGGCCGCGTCTTGGGTGCTGGTGTACTACTTGGATCATCCTCCTTGAGAAATCCTGCCAGCATCCTCAAAAGCTTGTTACGTCGCAATGGAACTCCCATACGCACAATGTTTTGTTGCTCATCAAGATAGCCATATGATGATATGTGGAATGGCTGTTGCTGTTGCTGACGTTGCTGTTCTTGCTCCATTGACGATGATGCTGCTTCGAGAATAGGTCCAACACCTCCGATGTTACCTTGAACATTGCTAGTTCCCAAGGGATAATGCATGATAACCGTAACCTTGGCACGCTTCATAATCTTTTGGAGCTCCTTTTCCCAGCGCCGTAGTGTTCCTTCTTTGTGATCCAGAAGCAATCCCACAATGACAACTCCATAAGGTGTCTCCTGTTGCAACTCTGCATAATCAGATACTCCATCAAGTGGTAAATTCGGAAGGAAGTTGGTCATCATATCCACTGTGGCGTGATGTGTATCCGCAACAAGGACTCGTGTTTTGATAAAACTCTTGGATATTGCTTGCATTGCTTCAGTGAATCTTCGGGATTGATCATACACCGGCGAAACCTCGATTGCAAAGCGGAAATTGGATCCTTTTCCTGTCTCGCTCACAACATCGATATCCCCATTCATCAAAGAGACCAATTGAAGGCAAATAGAAAGACCAAGGCCAGTACCACCATACTTACGACTAAAGAGGAGCTCATGTCGATCATATACGGAATATGACATTATAGTCATTTACTTACGTGGTGCTACCATCCACTTGTGAGAATGGCATAAACAACACCTTACGCTGCTCCTCGCTGATGCCAATGCCTGTATCAATCACTTCAAACAGCAATGCGACATATGATTCCTTGTCTACAGCCTTCTTTTTGCGGCCGTCAATGGAGCATCGAATGCTGATTTCGCCATGGTGCGTAAACTTGACAGCATTCCCAAGTAAATTGATGATGATCCTACATGTGATGGCATAATCAATAAACATCATCACCTTTAAACATCCAATAATAAAACCTACTGTCTGAGCCGGTTGGCATCCGCCATTACAACGGCTGGTACATCCTCTGCAACCGTGTACGTAACATTGATACGCTTTTGAATAGCAATGGCAATCAGCATATCAATCACATCGGCAATGAGCTCTTCCACATGCACTGGTGCCAAATCAAGAGAAACCTTGCCGGCTTGTAGCTTTGAAAAGTTGAGTAGGTCGTCGATGATCTGCAATAATCCTTCACATGATGATTTAGCCGTTCGCACCAAGTCGTATTGTGCAGGATCAAGCCTATTTATCATGTGATCAGCCGTCATGCATGTGTGTTACCACAATCCGGTGCCTTACTTTGTCTCTGACAGCAATGTGATCATGCCATAGAATCCTGAAAACGGTGTTCGAATTTCATGGCTCATGTTGGCCAAAAAGATCTCTCGTAATCGAGTCGCCTTATCAGCTGCTTCCTTGCTACGTCGTGCTTCCTCCAATGCTTGCTTTTGCATCTCAATCATCCTACATCGATCATGAGTAACTTACAAATCCCATTGTCCATGAGTGCCGCTTGATACTTACTTCATGTTGGCGGTTGTAACACGTCGCACGGATTTGAACAATGAAGCATTGGTCAATGAAATACCCATTTGCTGATATAGTAATCCAAGCACTGTAATGTGACGTTGCGTAAAGATCCCAATAGCACCTTCAAGAAAGATGCAACCAACAGTCGTCATCTTGTGTATGATCGGCATGCAGATTACTGATTTCTTGCCAGCACGCTCAAACCATGGTCCAACAGCAAATCGTGCATCCTGCTCGACATCAGGAATGAAAATGCTCTCAGAGGTGTGGATTGTGTGGTTGATGATTTGGCTCGATACCATGACGCTACTCTTCGAAATACGTTCTGGTTCTTCGTATGTGACAATCGTGTCCTCTTTTTGCTGGTTGCCATAGGCACCGATTCCAAATTTGGTCTCCTTGACAATGATAGCACCTCGATCAGCACCGGAGTTCTCAAGAATAATCTGCATCATATTCTTCAGCAATGCGTCGGACTTGACTTCGGATGAAAGCACCTGGGAGCTCTTGAGAATGGATGCCATGTCGATCTATGCATAATAAATCAGGAGATATGCAATATCACTGATCCTGTTACTTACAATATCCAATGTCACCAATGTTTGCTCTGTTGTGATAGGTGGTATTGACTCCGAGTTATAGGGTTCATCAGCTACCGGGCTGCTATCAATGCGGTCATACGAAGAGCTGCTCCATGATTGTTGCGGATGCTGTTGGTGAAGGGGAGCTGCCAATAGAGGGAATGGATCCGTTTGTGCACTCTTATCACGGCTCTCGATTCGATCATCGTTGAATGAGCTGAGCAAATCAGCGTATTTTCCATTAAGATGACGCGACTTGCCAAATGCGCCATATGCCGTATAAAGATCCACTGCCTAGTATGAGGCATACATAAATCAATAAACATTCCATAATCGAACCCCTTCCCCATCATCACGCCTTACCTTCTTGATCATGTTGTATGCAACATTGTAAATCCCTTGGCGGTAATAGAATCCTCCAGCCAATTCATGTGCAATACTAAGTTCCAGGCACCATTCTCCCTCGCGAGCATGATTAATGGCTTCTTCATACAATAATATGGCTTTGATGGCGTTGTCTCCTTGAAGACTCGCAATCTCTGCTTCCACCAATGTCCATAAAGTGATATAATTGACACGGCTCACCGCCACCCATTCATGTACGAGATTTTGATTCTGATCCACTTGCTTCAGACAGTTCTCCAATGCTTCGCTGTGCTCACGCGCATATCCAATGAGAGCAATTGAATAATAAAAATATGCTACCCGTGTGTGCCTGAGGTATGGAACGTTTTCCCGGACGCTGAAACAATATTCTCCAACTTCAATGGCTGCCTCGTATCGCTCGTACAATGTCAAGGGGATGATCTTGTAGGTCTGATACCAGTTAAGAGCGAGAACAGAATTCGGGCTTTGCTTGAAGCTCTCAGTGAGGAAATGCTCGTCGTTGAATCCATCGTCACCATCATAGACGTTATCAGTATCCCAATACGTTCGCCCTTGTAATGCTTTGATGGCTCTTACAATCGTGATGGACATTGCATTTGACTCCGCAGCAGTAGACCATTTGTGCACTTCTTCATAGCATTCTTCTGCAATAGGCAGTACATCGCTTAAATGGCGTGCCACAGACAAACGAACCATGCTGTAGTGAATTTTGCCGTAATTTGTGAAATGACGATCTCCTGCGGCAAAGGCATGCTGTGTTGCAGCTTCAAGCATAGGTAACGCGTATCGATTATGATGTACAAATTGATCCACAAATATCGCTTGTATGATGTAGGCTTGGGCCTTTTCTTGATTCCCGCCATGTCGATCAGCAATGATGACACCGAGTTTTGCCATTTTCTAAATTACATGTGGTAAGTAGGCTATCTCAACCACACACATGAGAGTTGGACTCACGTTGGCCGCTGCATGATTCTTCAGCAACTCAAGGTAGCCGATCCCTGCTAAGTATGAGCCAGCCCCGCTAGCACCTGGAGCCATGCCCCGTTGAAGACACATATTCAATACAAGGCATGCACATGCGCTCAAAGCATGCTTTTGTCCAGTCCAATACAACAAATGTAACCTGAAAGATTGGACATGTTACTATGCTATATTCGACATCTTCATTTTTGATTGTTGTTGACTTACAATTCTCCCATAACCTCAGCGGTTGCATGGACGTAAGGATCATCCGATAATGTGATATTGGCAATCTCATCGACATCCATATCTCCGGTCGCTTTCTCCAGTTGATCAAGCTCCTGCCGCATTTTTTCCTCGGCATTCTCAAACGTGAGCTTCTCATTGCCAAGGTCTTCCAAGCAAGCAAGCAAAGTGTCTCGTCCTTCAAACGGCTTTTGTTGCGATAGATAATAGCGTGATTGGATCAAGTAAGCAGTCTTGCGCTCCAAGGGTGTTTTGGCATGCTTAAAGATGATCTCCCCCAAATTCTCGGTCATTTCATTGTTGCCCAACACAAAGCTAAGTCCCATGGTATTCGTATAGAGCTGCAAGGTAATAGGATAATTATCATCATCCCATTCCTTTTCGGGATCACTGAGTTGGATTGCTGCCTTGTAATAGCTGAATGCCATGTCATGTGCACCAGATTGCCGTCCTTTGTTGCCTGCATCGATGAAGAGCTCATGAAAGGGTGATTTGTCGTCCATAGATGATAATAGATCAAGGCATTTCAAAAGATGATCCGCAACCAGAAATACGTCCATATCCTCCTCTATAACCCAACGCATATTAGAAAGCTATTTTTCCTACATAGTACAGAAAGCTTGTACCTTGCATCATTTGCTGTGCAATCATGAAATGGATCTTGCGCCTTACATCGGGCTTCACCAGCTCACCAGCTGCTTGCGTGATACGATCATGACTCCATTTGAATTCATCTGCACCAAGCTGCATAACGTATCCCTCCTGGATCACTGCATGTAGTCCGCTGATTGGATCATAGCTCTTTTGATGGTTCCTTCCTTCACATACAGTGCCTTCGGTCGACTTGCTCTTCCTGCTGAACACGCTTGTGTCGGTTATCGACTCGGCTGATAATAAGCTGCTTGCATCTCCATCGTTGCTACCATCGTCGTTCCCATCATCAGAAAATGTCTCCTCCATTAACGCCTTCACTCTCGACCATGAGAAAGTATCACCGACAAATGATGCCATCTTGAGCAATCGCTGACCATGACGCGGTAGTTCTTTCAGCCGATTCACCATGAATGAAACATCCTCTTCCATTGTCTCCAAGTAGGTGCCTTGTTCAATTCTTGCAAGGTCGTATTCCCAAACATTGAATTCCCAATTGAAGTAAATGATCTTTTTACGTTCCAGCATCTGCAACAATTGTGCCGAGAAGAACGCATTGCCGTTGGTTTTCCTTTGTATCGCCAACGCAAGTGGAGTGACATAGTCGCGATCGGTGTCTCGTGATCGATGTAGTGTGTCACAAACGAAATCGGTCAATGCGTCCAGCTTCAATGTGCCGACCTCGATAAATTGGATGTTGGCAAATTCATTCTCCAATATTCCAGATTGCTTTTCATTCAGCTCCTGATCACGATATGACATAAACACAAGGATGTTGATTCTTGATAGAAGCAGCGCTAGCAATAAATCGATTGAAGGATCATCTACAGCACGTGATTAGCATCATCAAACATAGCACATCCTGTTACACCTTTCCCATCTTACCCGCTTGATGGATATCGTCAATAAACTAAATAACGTATGCATCAGTCGCAGTCCATCACTTACTCCCTATGACAACTTACAATAGTCACCATACGCCAATGTGACACGGCACGAAAGACTTCAACGTAAAGGTTGTGGAAACGTAAACGAGCTTCAGCATTATCGGCCTTCATCGATATCTCGGTATTCGCATTTTCATCCTTGTGTCCAGAAGCAATCAACAATGACTTGAGCTCTGGTACCAAATCCGCCAGTACTGAAATGTTGGAAAATTGTGCACCAAGCCATGCTTTCAAGTGATTGAAAAATCGATAAACTTCTTCTTCGGTCTCGGATAAGATTTGCTGTAGCGCCTGCGACATCAACCGTAGCAACCCACTGTATGGGACCTTGTTCCTTGAATCAAACTTGGTAGATGTAATATAGCTAGTTGCTTTTGTTTAGGAATACAATCATTTCTCAATGGCCATGCAAATACCTTACCCACTCTTTCGGGCCAAAGGCTGTATAGAGTTGAACAACGTCGATTTTCCTTGATGATAGAAAAATGTATTTAGTATTCGTAACACATTAAAAGGTTAATCAATCAACCTACCAATGCCTCCAGGTCCATAAATTCCAATCACAGTAGCTACTTGCTTTCCATTGACTGATACAAGCCTACTACTAACACTGGAAACATCACTGCTATCATGACCATGCAATGATTTCGGGCTTGACGCTGACTTGTGTTCTGAAGAATCGGGATCGCTGCTGCTGGATGTTGCAAGAGTAGCGCCTTGCTTGTTACTGTGGATCTTCAAAGGCTTGTATTGACTCACAAATCGCTCGATGATATTCACCATATCAGAAATGATAGCTTGCCGACCATAAACATTTCGTGGTATCATAAACACGGACGCAATGTCACGTTGTGCCAATGGAAACGAGTCGATAGTCTAATTGGGTGCAGTGTGAGCATTGTTGCCTCGCTTGGTAACACACCCTTCTCCTTAAACCTGTTTCCTTGTCCCCACACATAAACCACAGATAACCTTGGGTCATCATCACACTAACATGTCACACACCTCCTATTTTCCTTCCCAACACTGGTTGTGTACCACTCCTTACCTTAGTATCACTTGTTTTCAATCGGTGGAGACACTCTTCCAGGTCGCATTTGACACCGTGCATACTCATGTATCGCTCCTCTGGGTTCTTGCATGTCATCTTTTCAATGATCCGCGATATCACTTCAGGGACATTCAATTGGATATCATGCACAGCTGGCATTTTACGACTCAAAATGCTGTTGACAATCTTCAAGGGTCCTCCATGAAAAGGCATTTGGCCTGTCAGCAATACAAAGAATATGATGCCCAAGGAATAGATATCGGCACGATGATCAGCAATGTAGGTGGTGCGGCCTGTTTGTTCAGGGCTGATGTACATGAGTTGGCTCTCCATGATGGCTTGGCTGTTTTGATACTTTTTCCATCCTTCGCTTGTGAGATACTTTTCAAACGATGCGCTGTTGCCACTGCCTGCAAAGTTCCATAAGCGTGTAGTATCGGTGGTATCATTGCTGTTCCAGCAGAATGATCCCATATTAAGTTGACCATGGATAGTGTTGTGGCGATGGATGAATTCCATGATGTCTGTGCACCGTATTGCTAATCGTAGGAAAGTGCCAATGTCGTCAATGGTGCGATTGGATGATCGGTCGCCATGGGCGTCGGCATAAATGGCAACGGCAAGTCCGCTTGACGACAAATAAGCATACTCCAAGGGACGCACTATACAACCGTAACCAAGGCACTCAATAAGACACGCGTATAGTAAGGACGTGCTACTTACCAAGATATGAAGGACCATCAGCTGTCTGATAGAGTTGCCTTATGATGTAATACTCGCGTTCAATTTGCAGGCTGTTGGTGGATACCTTGGCAACCACTGCTCGCTTATCCGATACGCTGTGCAATGACACGTCAATCGATGCTTCATGATCCCTGTCTATAAAGTCTTACCGGTAGCCATTGACAAGAGTGACGTTATCGTAGTGATCGGTGGTTGGGATGTGTGTTGCATTGGTAAAGCGGTACCCTGAGATCTGCAAAGCCTCAGTTACTCGGGAGCGAATGACGCCATCAGAAGAAGGTGCGCTGCTTGATGCTGTGCTCGACATGGAGAATGGACGAGAACAAGGATAAAGAAAGTAGTAGTTGGCATATTAAAATAGTGGTATTGATCCAAGTATGAGTAAAGGGAAGGTAAAGGGATGCATGATCTTGTTGCGGAGAGTGTCCCGAGTCTGGGGAGCTTACTATGAGGGCGCGTGTGTGGCACTGCATGTGTCTAGCGATAAACTTGGCTTACATTGTTGGTCTCCTGCATGACGACAACCAAGTTTTCGCTTGTTTTGTATTGTGGTACAAGTTGTGATCCTCTTCTCACGTTGCTATATATTCTGCTATCAGCCATTGGTTTTCTTCTTATCTTCAAACTTCACCATCACCAGCAATCAAACATACATAATAAGTAACACTCTCAGTACAACAGTAACAGCCGCTTGTTGCACGAGAACCATGATGTTGTTTTCATTGAGTTTCATACACTTGGGCGTATTCATCCTCAACTACATATCGCCAAAAGCGATCTTGTGGATCATCATTATCATGTAAAATGTAAAATGATACACAACGTTTTGCTATACGTGAGGATCATTTCTTTTATTTACGTGTACCTGTTTTCTATCATGAGGATGATGGTGATGAGTGTGTTGTGTGAGGTTATTGAGTGGTCTTAGTGTACGCATTGGTTCATGCAGCTCGACCTTCTCTTATATCCAAATGTGATATGGAACCACTATTATACACGTACCTTGACATACCTTCATTATTAGACGTTGTTTACTTACGTATCTTTCTAAAGACAATCATCATCAGCATCCATTCGTGCAACAACCTGTCAAGGATGCGTTTGTGTAACCCCCACGTGCCATATAACTCAGCTCTCCAGCTTTCCGTTCATGCAGCCGACACCATCCATTAGGAGAAAGCAACTCCATCACGCTTACGGCATAGGTAAAACATAAAGGTGCCTGTATCTCCAAACTTTACAATCAAACGTGGGGTCTTTAAGAGAACCAACCTGCTCGGCTTGGTCAACTGCACCTTGGGTGCCAGTTTCACGATCAAGCTTGCCAATCCCAGATTTCGCAATGTCGCTACCAGCCAAACTGGATCCGGGGGTCAACCTCTTCGACGACGACGACCAAAAATATTTTTTGGGCTGTTTGCGACATTGAACGCGAAACTTTCACACAAGGTGCTGTTGGCCAAGCTGAGCCCATTGCTCTATTCAAAACCCCACGTTCGATTGTAAAGTTTGGAGATACTGGCACCTTTATGTTTGTAAGCGTGATGCTATATGAGAAGTGGTCTTTGTTCATTGTCAAGTAGCTGGACCCTGGCAGAGCAAAAGATGCAGAGGGTCGTGTTGTGTAACACAGCTACGTTTGCATGAATGAAAGGGTCAATGTATAATTACTTTATGGATCATCTAGGAACAGGCATGTATTGCTAGCTAACGGCCACTTTTATCCAATCATCATTGTTGCGAGATCCACTGCATGGGAACGATGCCCCTGCTCCAGACATTCATTTCCATGATTAAAGTAGGTTGATCCGAGCTGATTTGACTGAGCTGCGGTCAAAGAGAGTTTACATCACTCTGGACATAAAGCACGCTCGATGTAGCTCAACCGATGTAATCTTGTGTGAGCGTAACTCAACCAAATCAGCTCGGATCAACCTACTTTAATCATGGAAATGAATGTCTAGAGCAGGAGCATCGACCACCTACAATAGAATGCACAAAAGTTGGGAATGCACAAAAGTGGCTATTAGCTGCCAATGTATGACGTAAAAGTGAGGGTTGCGTACCTTTCATGCATTGTCCCTGAAGTCCTGACTTTTTAGCTGAGTTACCCAAAGAGGTCCTTCTGCATCTTTGGCTCTCCAGGGTCTAGCTACTTGGCAATGAACAAAGACCACTTCTCATATAGCATCACGCTTACAAACATAAAGGTGCCTGTATCTCCGAACTTTACAATGAAACGTGGGCTCTTTAATAGATCAACGTGCTCGTCGGGGTCAAAGGAATCTTGTGTCAAAGTATGAAGTTCATCGTGGGCAATCCCAGATTTCGCAATGTTGCTACCAGCCAAACTGGATCTTGGGGTCGACCTCTTTCGACGACGACGACCAAAAAAATATTTTTTGGGCTGTTTGCGACATTGAACGCGAAATTTTCACACAAGGTGCTGTTGGCCAAGCCGAGCCCATTGCTCTATTCAAAACCCCATGTTTCATTGTAAAATCTTGATATATGGGCGTCTTTATGTTGTGTGCGTGATGCTATATGACAAGTGGTCTTTGTTCATTGTGAAGTAGGTAGACCCTGACAGAGCCAAAGATGCAGAGGCACATGTTGTGTAACACCACTGATAATGCATGACTGGATGGGTCAATGTATAATGCTTTATTGATCATTTAGGAACATGCATATTGCCAGCTAACAGCCACTTCCACCCAATCTCAACTTTTATATACGCTATCATAATGAAACGATTCTCCTGCTCCAGCCCATCATTTCCATCATTCAAGTTTCTTGATCCGAGCTGATTTGACTGAGCTACGCCCAAACAGGAAATGTGTCAATTCTTGATAGACAGGCCCTGCGAATGTCTCCGTCTTTCAAACTTTTGGACGCTCTCGTTCCAAATTTTCAAATGAAGCGTGAGGTTTTTATTTGAAAAAAGTGGATCAGCATGCTCGGAGCACCATCCTGACCAATTTCCAAGTTGGAAGTGGGCAACTTCGGGGCGGTAGGCCGTCCACTCTTTTGTTCGCGTCCTCCACCATTTGGGCCGCTCCGCATTTTAGATTTTCACAATGAAGTCTGCGACTTTTAAATGAATGAAGTTGATCAGCATGTTCCAGAGCACCTTGTGTGAAAGTTTCAGGATCAACAGGGGCAATCTCAATATCAAGGTTTCATATACAGTGTTCATGCATTTATACAAGAGGTGTCCGGCAACTCAGCTTACTTCAATTTCCACTTCTTCCACTCCCACTTGTATTTGCCCTTCCTCCCATTCTCAACTGTTGCTCCATTCAAGCACGACTGGCACCTGAAAACGATTGTCCTGCTTCAGTCCATCATGCCAATCCTACGAATGCCTTGATGCGATTGTCTTTGACTGAACGGCACGTCCATGGCATGTGCACCCCCACTACAACACCCGCGTCTCTCGACACTACTCCATTTATACAATCCTCGACCACAATCAAACACAACAGCATTCATTCCAGCAGTTGCCATTAGCAACTGCTTCACTCCATTGCTTCAGAGAGCGTTCACAGCCTTGTCACTCTACTACAACACACGCTCTTGCTGATTACCACCACCACCACCAAACGTAACAGCAGTTGCTATTAGCAACGGCCTTTACTCCATTGTCTCAAGCTACCTGCAGCAACCTACCTTGTGGCCTTGGTTACGTGAACATCAGATAGTCATTGTATAGCAGCAGCAGCTTTATTTACGTGTATCAACTTGCTTCAATTCATACGGATTCCTATGGATGATACTATGTCAGCTATCAAGTACACCACAATACAAAGAAAGAGATAGCAGAGCAGCGACCACATGATGGTTCTTTTCAACCAACGTATTGAATTTGCAAGGGTTATGGATGGATGAATGGATGCGATCAAGTACAGTGATGAAAGAGAAACTGAGGAGATGTTGCTTTGGTTATTTGGCGTGTCGTCAGCAGGGAGGATGGATCATGTCACGTGGAAACGGCTGAGGATGATGATGGATTCGAATGGCATTGAGGAGAGAACGTTTATCTTTGACAAGGGCTGTTTTACAGCCATGGATGACAGTGGAATACTCGAGTCAATGCAATCATGGATGAAGAATGTTTATGGCGGCAGCAAACCAAGAAGACAATGACACAATACTAAGACTCTTTGTGAGGGCGCCCCACTCATCTATCAGCTCATCACCATCAGCAAGCATATTATCACTCTTTGTGGCCACAAAGATACCCACGCCCACCATGCTGATATATACAAGATGGATGTTGTCGCCCATTGTCTTTCTCCCACACATCTCTTTCTTTCCATCCTATCGCCCTTTGATTGCTGGCACCTTCCAAATCCCTTGGTTAGTATCATGATGGATGGTTTTATTTTGTGAGCGGACCATGTACTCATGTGCAATGGTCTTTAGTGTTCCATTGTTATCCTGCTTTGGTTGCAATTATTGTCGCTGTGATATTTGGCTCATTCATCAAGGTAAGAGCTAATCGTTTACTTGATGAAGCACATAACTCACATGCCTTTTGATACAGCTACCTCCCGAGATGCATGTGCAAAGTGGATCAGGTGACACAGCCTACTGCAGCCCGCATGGTGGTGATATGAAAGATTCCCTTGTGAGAAGGAAGGCCTACCAGTTGTCACATGATGCTGATCCTGAAGCCCGATCAATACAGCACTAGCATGATAACGACATTTGGCGAAGATACTCTCAAGCAATTGTATTCACAAACCTGGTCGGGCATGCTTGATTTCTCGGTTGCATTTATCGGCTTGTATCAGCCAAGTGAACAAGATCGTTGAGTTGGCAGCTCACCAGTCACCGGCTTTGCAGATATCACGCCTCGATGCCATGACCCAACTTCCCACCTTAGCTCAGCAGCAAGGGTAAAATGTGTCACGTGTCCTTCATAGGCATTGCATCCTTGTAAGTTTATAAAGGAGGTGTGCATGCACAATTCTATCATCTAAAACCTTTCGATGATATAGATTACTGAAGCTGCCTGGACAAGCAATCGCAAGGTCGGCATTGATAAGAGCAACCGAGAGTTCCTATCACGATGCATTGTTGTACCCTTTGCTTGGTGATCCCGAGAAGAAGTTTTTCCGCAACGCTATCCCTCCTGAAAGCCAGACAAGGTTCATCACACAGTTGCTCAGATGCAGTAATCACTCTATTTGCGCAACAAACCATCAAGACGGTGGGTCATGATGAGGCAAAGGTTGCCAAACTCAAATGTCACAATGGTGTCTCTAGCGGTGTTGCAAGAAATTGACGATGATTTTCGTGGTGTCCGCAAAAGCTTATCGTACCCTTAAAGAATCTTAAATAACAGCTGCTTCTCTGATGCGAAGAGCAAGCATAGTCGTACTTCCCATTTCCAAATCACATCATCGTAAATAAAATAATGCTATCAGTGTAAAGAAGATTACAATACACGTATTAAATTCTGATTCAATCACATTATCATTCCTCTTGGGTCGTCAACACTGCTAGGGGTGCAATGTACTCTAACTATCTTGTTCATTGCCGCCAGAGACACCAACAGCATTGTTGTCAAAGGTTAAAATTAAAAGTACAGCGCGAAGGATGGTATCCGTAGTCGAATAAAGCAAATGGATATGGTGACCCTATCAAACCTTTTTATCCAAACAATGAAACTTTGACATGTCACATGACCAAGATACGGAACCATTTTACTGCTGCTCTTTGTTCGTGTGCACAAAGATTTCCTTGATCCTTTAGGCTCATTTCAATCGAGGCATGCTGACAATGAATAAACTGGTGGTGCCGGTATACAAATTGCCTATTACGCATTTATCTCGGCACCGTATCCGTAGCCGATACATACCAAGTGGTGGTGCTATTTCACTGCCATGCATCTGATTACTCTTTTTTACAGCAATAGCTTGGTACCACCTTATAATACCTTTCATTAACAACATTGATGTTCCCTTTGGTGATAAAATGAAGCATGCATCAATGTGCTTGGATGCTGTCAAAGTGCACATTACATTCTTGTGTAACATAATCGGTTGGATTTGCGGGAGATCGCTCGCATTGGGTCCGCGTACGCTTGTCCCCGATAATCACGTCTACATAAATAGCTGCATGCGATGCCACTACTTGCACTATTACCCATCATGTACACGACCACCAGCTGCAACGAGGATATCACACATCTTGCAGATACCTCCTTCTCTCCTCCACAAACACATTGCCCTTCAAATAAGGTAGTGGATTTCAACAACAGCAGCACACAAGACGAGCCGCCACCTTATTACCTAACACCAAAAGGCTACTATATTGGTCAAGATGCAGCTGCTTCATTTGACACAAAGGGAACAAGAAACGAAAAGTGTGCCATCAATATTAAAGAATCACCACCACCAGCACTTGTTGCTGCACCCTCTGAGCCAAGAGATCCATATGATGTCCATGAAGAAAAGCATACCACCAAATGTGGTTTCATGAGGATTAGCGTACGCTGTGCTATTATTGGCTTGGTGCTATCCATTATCGTATTGGCAGGTGGTGCTTGTATGGTGACGGGATCAGCCTTGGTGAGCAATCAATGCACGGACGACTGCAACGGTGATCCAAATATCAGCAGCCGATGCTCAACAGTATGCAGCCAATCCTTGCACAAGGGTCTTCTTATTACTGGTATTTTGATTATCATCTTTGCTGCCATATCCACCACAGCTCATTTTGTATTGCTGCTGGCAATACCCTTTATGCGTTGGATAAAAAACTACAAGCAAGCCGCCTATTCCTGAATCTAATGGTGGCTATAGTACTTTACTTTGTTTATATGCTCCTATTGTTATCGTCAATGTACTTTTAAATAAATTTATCTTTGGGACAGAGATCCATTGTATTCATTGCTTGCTTGAGATCTGACACTAAGTACAACAACATGTGCAACGTTCCACATTAGCGACTGTCATTGTGATGAGGGTATCAATTCATTTGACCTTTATTCTTCAACATGCCTTAACTACTTTTTAGATACTGGCTGTGAATGGATTGTCAGGTGATAGAGAAACAAAAAGAAGGAATCCCAGTGTTGAAGGTGACACAATGGGTGTGTGTGTGTGTCTACAATTGCGCCATCAATCCAATGCTTATTAATTGCACCGCCACACCTTTGTACCTGCAACGATGACAAATCCACTCGACCCTTTAAATAGCTCCCTCGCCTGATCCATCTTGTTTGCTGCTCGAGCGCAACAGCAACTACTACACAAACATGTTCATTGGTCATTTTGCAACGGTGCATCCACTTCGACGATATTTTCCCAATACGCCTGCGTACGTACTTACCATTGGTGTTGGTTTCCTTGATATCGTCTTTGCAGTGATTTGTGCCTTATGGCATGCAGAGGGCGTCACAGTCGATCCATCTGAAGGAAAATTGGGAGTACAGCTACACTGCGACTACAGTCATTCTCTTGTCGGTGCCCTCGTTTTCTCAACACTCTACGGTTTCCTTGCTCAAGTCATCGTTGGTGGAAACGATCGTCAACATTTCGTTGCCGGCTTTGCAGCATCATTCTCCCATTGGCTTGAAGATTGGCTTGTCCACAACCACGATCTGTTGCTTGATCCATGGTCACGTGTCATCATTGGCGGTACCTTGTTATGGTCAAAGTATCCCTTGTTCGCTACGTACGCTGAATTGTTGGCGGCCATTGCCTTTGGATGGTTCTATGTCCCTGAAAAAGAACGCAAAAACACGTATGCTTTGGTGTCCAATGTGATATTGTTGGTGGTGTTCCACTATGGCAACGAGGTGGCATTTCCACGATTGGCAACAGCAAGTTTGATGCAACCCACAGCTGACCTTCAAAACTACGGATTAGCAGCTTCCATGCTCTTTGTCTTTTTAACACCTGCCATCATCCTTGGATACGTCTTTGAACGACGACGACGATCCTCCACTGATACGAAGAAGAATCAATAAATACCAATGTATATAGTACTCTGTAAAAGTTGTTATAATAGTATCATGCTTTCGATTTATATTTACATTTGCTTATGTACACGTTGAATGGATGATGGGGAGGAGTGGTATGAAGGATTAATAATAGGGTAATTAGGATTAAGGAGCTTTGTGATCTTCTTGGTTGTTTTTGATGGATGAGGCAGGTGAAATGGTCTCATGCATAATGACATCAATCTTGTCCTCATTGATTTCCTTTTCATTGTGTTGATGATGGAGATCTTGGGTCGTTGATGGTAAGATGGATCCAATAGCGGCTGCAGCTGCTGCCGATTTTTCATTGTCATCCAAAGCAGCGCGTCGTCGACGTTCAATTTCTTCTTCGCGCCATACCGGTCCTCGAAAAGTACCTTCAATGCGTGACATGACACAGCATGCAAGGCAATTGCCCATCACATTAATCGAAGTCCGGCCCATATCCAAAATAGCATCCACGCCCATCAACATTGTAAGTGCTGCCATAGGAAGATTATACTATTACCCCCATCAATGTTAGTATATCCTTTTCCCTTTCTTTGTATAGCATCGTTTGCTTTACCTGACTAATCGTGCCCGCCATGATAATCATGGACCCACGTGGTACAGCAGCAATGCCTTTGGATGTAAGCATCAAGGTGCCCATGATGGAAAGTTGTGTTGCGATAGGTAAACTCATGCCACCCGCTTGTGCACAAAAGATAGCGCCCAAAGACATGTAAATGGTACCACCATCCAAATTGAACGAGTATCCACTGTAAAACCATCATTTATCAACGCACTTGTTCCAAGCCATCCATGCACAGGATAACTTACGTGGGGATAACAAAGGACACAATAGCATTGGGACATCCAAATTCACGCATTCGTTCCATGGCTTTGGGTAAAGCGGATTCACTGGATGATGTGCTGAAAGCAATAAGCCATGGTTGACCCATAGCTCTGAGAAATCCACCGAGAGGAATTCGAAATATGAGGAGAATGGGAATGAACACCGCCAAAAAGAAGATCACCAGAGCGGCATAGACGCCACCGATCAACTTGCCGAGATTCGCTAATACGCCAATACCGTTCGCACCCACCGTGGATGCAAGGGATGCACCAATACCAATAGGAGCGTCTAATCATACCATCATGGTAAATGTAAGAATACGGTACAAAGGAATGTGTGTTTCAACTTACAATTCATGATCAAGGCAACCATTTTAAAAGTGACTTGAGACAAGGATTCGCAAACGGTCATCATCACCTCGCGTGATTTGGCATCCGCCTTGATAGCAGCGCATGCAAACATGGCAGCACAAAAGACAATGCCTAGCATTTGATCCTCCACAGCAGCGGCAAAGAAGTTTTCGGGGATGATGAGGAACATTTCGCCGTCCCAGCTAATGTCGCCGCTCTTTTTGGCCAAGTCGTTGGCATCGCCATTGTCACTCTCCGGGGGTAATTCCACACCTTGACCAGGTTTGATAAGGTTGGCCATGATTAAACCAAGCGCAAGGGCCAATGTGGTCACAATTTCAAAGTACTATGTAAGATGATAAAAACAACAGGATGAGTGAATTGATTCATGTAACCATGATGCATTCTTCCACATACAATGATCGTCTTGATAGCCAATTTGCCAATCTTTGAAATGTCGTCGCCATGACCTAGTAGATGAAAAAAGTCAATACCAATTGAATGGGAATGCAAATGATGATCAAGCACATACCTGCAATACCCACGACCAGCGTGGAAAAGATGAGAGGGACCACACAAATCTTGATCATTCGAATAAAGGCGGTACCCAGTGGCTGGATTTCAGTTGCAAACTCTGGTTGATAATATCCCACCAACACGCCAATTGGGATGGAAGCGAAAATCCAAAATGTGAGGTTCGTCCAGCGATTCAATAATGCCCATGTCCGACTAAAGGGCGACCAAAGGCATTTATCCCATAGCATGTATATGAAAAGGCCGATCTTGTTAGCCCATTGTGGATAGCCATTTGATGTAGCCGTTGCTGTATTGTTGGCGTCTTCATTTTCAGGATCCAGGTTGATGGGTGGTTTGGAAGGTGCTGTAGCTGCTATGACTTTGTCGAAAAAGGCGCTCACTTTTGTCATGGTATGTATGTGTATGTGTGAATAAGAATAAGAATCAAAGAGGAGGGATCAGGAAGAGCGGGAAAGAAGTAGTGGTTATTTTCCCTCCTTTTGTATGAAAATCAGCATGATCCTGGGACAAACTTTTTTGACAGAACAAAAAGGTCCCTGTGTAACCAGGGTCCTCCTGCGATTCGCTGAATGCACGATCGCGCAATCGGTGTAACCTACCCTTTCGCTTGTTTTCATTCGCTCAAATTGCACCATCCATATTTATTTGAGACAAAGAGAAAAAAAAGGGTCCATATTGGCTAGCTTGTTGAGTCATTCATGGTTACAAAAGGAAAAAAAAAGCAACCCGGGGACTATATTTTGCTTGATCACACAATGGCACGCCATTCGCAGTCAGTCTTAGACATTAGTGTTTCCTGCTTCGTATTGGTAAATGTTCTCGTCCTTGTATGCTTGTAGTGCAGCGTGTTTCATGGATCTGCAGACATTGCAACCTTGATTTCCATGATAATGGCTAACAGATCCACATCGATAACAGCTAAACGTATTATACATACATGTATCAACGACTACTCTTGCTTTTGCAGAATAAAGTCAATGTATACTTACAAGCCCGTACCACATCGGCATGTGACATAATTGCACCCAGCCTATCGTATGCGAGTTAAAGGATGTGGGGAAAGATGGAATCTCGGATGCTTTTTGTGTGACACACTTACAATACGCTCGACCATGTGGCGGCATCTTGGGCAACGAGACCATCCCTTGCTCTTTGCAACTTGACGTAGTTCCATTGAATTCTTGCGACGAATAGCAGCTTCCTTTTGGTCCTTGGGTAAAGTGACTCGAGCCCAACGTTTGTTATTGCAACCACCTAAGTGCCACCACAAACAATGAATCACTATGTATATACCATGATGGTTATAATACTTGCTCAGCATACCTTCATGCCACTTGCTACCACATTGGATGCAAATCCCACGGTGACATTCCAAGCATTCAGTGAAGGCTGAGACCTCACCCAACTCCTCCGGCAAGACCTCAAACACGGCTTTGCAATCATCATAAGGACATGTTCCCTATGTAAAAAAGGAAATATGGGTGAGTATACATGCATAGTTTGGTGGTGGTGGTGGTGGTGCGTTGTCTATATACCAAGTTATCAATGGTGGTCTTTTCGATCAACTTTCGCCACCATGTTGCTGCTTGATCATGAGAAGGCATCACCAAGTCGATGACATTTGCAGCTTGGAACTCTTGATTACATTTGAATTGAGGACATGGAATCGTTTCATAATCACGCATGATGCTTGAGCCTTTGTCCAAGTACGTTCTCAAATACTGCACCAAGCATTCCTGACACACGTGATGGTTACACTTGTCGGTCGTGAACGTCAACTCATTCTCGTTATCAAAGCAAACGATACAGCATTGGTCATTCTCAGAAGATGGTGGATTCTCCGTCGAAGAAGATAGAAAACGAAACATGATGAAAAGTGTGGAGAAAAAGAAAGAAGAGAGTGAATGATCCTTCAACCAAGCCGTGCCCAAAGAAATGTTTCACACACAAATTGATCAGCTGTCAGTGATGAAATTGAATGCAGAAAGAAAAAAGAATGGTATATATCAAGCATTGTTGTTGTTGCTGTTGAAATCTTCTATTCTTCCTGAATCCTGATAGGTGTTGTTGTAGATATAGAAATATGCGTATATACAAAAAGTTGGGATGTCTCTTTCCTTGGATGATGTCTAGTAGTCGTCGTCGCCATCTTCTCCTTCAAGTCGAATATGTCCTCTACTACGAGGTCCACTCCATCTTGGCACGGGTCCTCGTCCTCGTTGTGTCCATTTATACATTCGCACCGTCATCCGATACGTCCATTTGATCATGTCACTCAATCCCCAGCGTGTGTTGGCTTCAAGATACAACTCAAGACTTAGCGTGGTGATCCCGATGGCTGTAGCAAACATGCTTTTGGCTCCTGCTCGTTGGTAAATGATACCACCCATCAGACTACCCAAGCCAGCACCAACACCCGCATACATGGCAGCCAATAAACCTAAGCATAGAGAATAATGAGAAATGATCATCCACCATCCGTGTATGCATGCATACCTTGAGAAGTTGCTTGTAGTGATGGAGGAGCTAATTCATCCGCTTGAACAACGCCAGCACCCCACAATGCCGAGAATGCCACACCATTGAGCAAGTGCAATACCAGAGCAATATTAGCCCCACTGGGTCCTTTGGGAAGAATGGTATAAGAAAAGATACGGATGATGGTAAGCACGTGACCGAGGATGATGAGACTCTTGATGCCAAATAAACGAATGAGCTATACATCACGTCATATACATTATTAGTCTCCCTCTCTATTCGTGCTTGATCCCATCACCTCCTACTTACATCTCTTGAATAGAAAAAGAACAACAACTCTGTGACGGATCCAACCAAGCCTGTCAAACCAACGACGGATGAACTTGCACCGAGATCTTGTTTGAGAAAGATGAATAAAAAGCTGACGACCATATTCAATGAAGCACCCATAAGCATCATGGTCAAGAAAAAGAGGAGGACACGTGGATCACGCAAGAGTTCAATCACATTGGTAGGTGTTCTTGCATTGACAGCATTGGCAGCTTCATCCATATCGGTACCGGTGACATTGGAATAACGGCGTCGAGATGCTGGTGGATTCGATAAATTGACGGCTTCAATGATGCTGGACTCCGTAGCGAATTGGATCAGTCGCTGAATTTCATTTTGACGCATTTGCATATCATCTTCCATGCCATCGGTAAAGAAATCATCATCTTCATAGGCGTCATAATCAAGTTGAAATTGTTTTATCCTCTTCCTTTGTTGCTTTTGTTGTTGTTGTTGCTGCTGCTGTTGTGAGGTTGACGATGATGAAGATGGGGAAGGACGTGGTGCAGCGATCGTTCGATTAAAAGATGGTTTGAATTGAGGAGGTCGTAAAAGCAACTGGCCTCGTTGAGTATCAATCTTTTCCGTTTTGAATTGCGTGCTTCCTGCCACCATAATGAAACAAACAGCTGAGATTGCATACACGTAAAAGATGGCGTTCATGTCGTTTGTCCAATCGGTAATAAAGCCCACCAACGAAGATGCTACACCAAATGAAATAGATCCAAACATTCGCTGTCGACCTAAAGAAGAATACGATTAGCTACTACTACATCCACTTGAATAATACCATCATCATTACCATATTGATCCTTGTGTCGACCGAGAATCTTGAGCACTCCACCATCCACCAAAGGACCCACAGGCACTCCAAAGAATGCAAAGCAAACGGATGTGATGGTAACCAAGGCCACTGTTACACTGCTTCGTTCACCTTCGGGTTCGATATGTTGTACTGCAACCGAGATGCCCATGACGCTGACGATCGCAAGTGTTGCAAGCGTATGAACAATGCACATGATATAGCGATGGGTCTTTGTCTTATCGGCTAACGATGTCCATAACGGGCAAGCAATGGCAGAAATGAATGGTGCTGTGGGTTGAAATGTCAGCGACGTATGCTTAATGGGGAAGCTGCATGGAGTAGCAGTAGTTTACCAATAGCGACAAGAAGACCGATCTGATCACTCTTGAGACCGAGTTGAGAGGAATAAAAGAGAGCGAGATAGACCGGGGCTGAACCTTGACATGCGAATAGGAAAGTGTATAGTAATTTTGGTGCAAGGTAGGGCATACAAAAGATGGTATCTATATATATAAAGTGGTGCTTGGCAGAAAGAGAGGAAGCTTGGCAGCTGTTCCAGGATAAAGAAATGGAGATGTGCGTGTGTGTGTGACCCGACATCCGCCCTTCTGAGAATTTCGCGCTCCCGACAATGCAGCTGCCTACTGTCCCTGTCCCCTCCTCCGATAATTCCATTTTACATCACATGTGCTTTATTAATGAGCAAGCAATAAACAAAGCATCATAAATGTGGAGCTATTGACAAGGGAAAATGATGTAGCTTATGCGTCGTCATCGTCATCATGGATCATACATTCGAGACGAGCATAGTCCTGTGCGAGTGATTGAAGGAGAATCTTATTGTTGGCTAGTCCACAATTGACAAGGTAGAGATGTTTCAAATGATTGCCCATCGAAGTAACCAATAGCTCAGCGCCGTCTACTGTAATCTCATCGTCCACTAGAGCGAGTGAATCGAGCCAGCGCAACGTTGCAAAAGCATAAATGATATTGATGGTGACGGTACAAAAGGATTCCAATCGTAGGTGCTTGAGACCAGGAAGACTGAATCGAAGTCCTTCAACAAATCCAAGTATATCCGGCTCATCATCACAATCATAATACCCAATGCCTCGTAGAGTGAGCTTCTCAAGTGTGCGGATGGTGGTTACAATTGAAAGGATAGTCGCCATATCGCACATGTTGTATCGTCCATGCAAACCGATTTGCAGCTCTGTAAACGTATTCGTGTGCTTGCAACGATATCGAAGTGCTCGCAACAACTGCAATTGGTTTAAAAAGAGACCTCCTCCTTTGCCCGACCATGGATTATCGAAAGAGGTGTGGAATGCATGAAAAGTCATATCGATGCGCCGAAGGGAAGGGAGGTGATGTTCCAATGTATGCATCATTGATGCTCCAAGCGTGTACCAAATGGAATGCAGCTCCAGATGTTCCAATCCTTGACATGCATTGAGCCAATAGGCATATCCATCTTCATATTGAGTATGTGAACCGATGCGCTGATGATACAGTGGCAATACGAGGTGCTTGAGTGTTGTGTTGGGTAAAAAGCAAGCTGTAAACGTTTCCCAATCGAATGTAAAGCGAGAAGGGTGATAATGGCCGACACGAACATGCTCCAAAGTTGACTGGTATCTCAATAACATGTCGTATTCGGCTTGATCAAATTGTGACATGTCATTCCAGTAATAGCGTAATCCAGGATAAACCTCTTGATCACCACCCGAGGTTGTTGGAAATTGCAAGTAATCTCTGGGATAAATGTCTTCGTCCGGCATCGCAAGGTCGCCAGCTAGGTGGATATGGGTGATTTTGGGGCACAGCGTAAAGAAAGATGACATGAGGATATCATCCCTAAAGGATGAACCCAGCTCCAGATATTCAAGATTGGGCGTGAAAGACAACAAGGCTCTGATGGCCTCTTCACGAATGTCTGGATGATCGATGACGAGTGAAATGAGTGCGCTGAGATTGCTGGGATGTAGTTTCCATTGTTGTGCTTGGAAAAGGCCCTCACCATTACTAGTGCATGCAACATGGTGAATGTTGTAATTTGCTGCAAGTAGGATAAAGTCGACAAGGTTCACTCTGGGAGCATCGACATTGATGATGGCAAATGTGTGTAAACGCCAACGCATGAAACAAAACATCAATTTTGCTTGAATAGCGTAAGGGAACATAATATGGACATCGCGCAACTCTATATGTATGTGCGTTTAGTACGTTTAGTACATGATGTCCTACTGACTATACCCATCATCTTCACCTACCAAGCTTCTCCAATAAAGAGCATGACGTTAATCGATCCAAGGCTGTGATCATGGTTCCAAGCACTTTCAACTTGAGTCTGGCAGTTCTCACAAAGCGACCAAAGACATGAACATAGGAGAGCATATGAAGAGAATCCTTGTCCACTGTGATGTCTCGCCAAGGTCGTGCTGCATACAGTGGTAAAAGGTGTCGCCATTGTCGAGAGACTTGGAAGCACTCAATGCAGTCCATGGGGTCCAATTGCGAAACAATGTTGAGAATGACTTCGTGTGGAAGGTGGTTCATGATGCAGTGGGAAGAGAGTAGCCAACAAAAGACAAAGAGGGGGTATACGCTGTATATGCCAAAACTCAAAAAAGCATGATCGCGCTTTGACCCAAATGTTGTCAGTGTCACATGACTCGATCAAATTGGGACATTACAGAGGCACTACACCTATAGCAGCAACCAATGATTGCATATGCGCACAAGTGGATAATAAAAAGACATAAGACGAGAGACTCAATCATATGTTGATATGGTTTATATCAATTGGGTGCGCTTATTTATACATTTGCTGTGGCTGATGGCATGAAAAGATGGATGTTGACGTGGCTTCCTAAGTGAGGATTTGAATAAGTTGACATATGCGGTAATGATGAAGCCCAAGTGTGGATGGCAGTAGTGATACATAAGGCATGCGTGGATATGAGCCGTAGTGGCGTAAGGCTCTTTCTATGAGAAAGTCGTATGACCATAGCTGTGCCTCTCACCCTTGTACGTTGTGCCATCTCATTGTGTGTATGTACCACTCGGATGTGCAAATCCTGTATCCAAACACGACTTCAATTTGGTTAAGCTGTAGACCAATCGTGTATGATAAAAGTAAATGGTGTACGTATATCGTTTCACAACATTGGCTATTAAGTATTTTCTCCTTATCCATGCGTGGTTGCTATGGTAGCTCAATGGCCAATAAACAACAACGTTCAGAATGGGCAGGATGATACATCGCTGGTTGCTGATCGCTACTTTATACTCAGCAACAAAATAATGGAGGAGTGACCATAAAGTATGAGGATGAAAACCGTCAACCTGACACCATGGCGGCTTTAGATGTTACACTACGCCACCAAGCCTCTCTAATTAGGAACAGCCAAACACCAGACGCCATCATGTTAAATACCACGCCTGATTGGAAGATCTCAGCAGCCATTCATTCCGAGGAAACATGTAAATGAATTGATAGGAGCCCTGCCGGGGCTATGTTTGACTAAAGCATGTGCTGATTAAAGCTTACTTCACCGGCTGTGTAGATGGGGCTATCTCAGCCAAGGCCATAAACCGCCGCTTTTTGTGTGTGTGTGTGTACCTGGTTTAACGTTATCCAAACCTTGTTCCCTTCTTGGAAAAGCCGCTTTGCCCTTGACCAAAGAAAAAGAAAGGACATTTAGATTGCGAAAGATCTCTTGTTTCTGCTTAATTTTTACTTTCTTACATCTCTTTGGGTTCAAAAATCATATGGCAGCCTTCCAAAAGACTGTAAGAGGTCTGATGTTTATCTTTAAGGTTGTGTACTAATACGACAGAAGCGTAGCGCGGACGCATAGGCCAGTCAAAATATACCAAGCTATACATCACTTTGGCTTTACTACAAGGCATAACGATCATTGCTCTTCAATCAACCATTGTTGCCGAAAATCATGCACAAACCCTCAACATCGCTTTTAGTTTCCCATCATCGGATCAGCAAAATAAGGATGCCGACGTTATAATCAATGATGCAGTGAATCGATGGATCGAGATAAAGTGGGAAAACATTGCCGTCATTGCTTTTCAAATTTGGTTTGTCGGGATGGCTTTCGATGCTGTAAGTTGCCTTCCATCCCTACGCGACCCCTAACGTTTCATGATTGATATCCTCTTTTGCTTGAAAAAGATATCATAACAATGCCCATTTCTTTTACAGATCGTATATCAAAATGCAGCAGAAATCATCGCCCTCGCCATACTTAATAGCATCTGTGGCTTTCTTAGTATCATTCCAATCACTGAAGCTCAACGTTGGGCCGATGTTTTCGATCGACTCTATATCGATTACAGCGTGATCATCGATGTATCACCGTCTCAGACCGCTTTTTACGCTGAAATCGCTCATACTGCTATCTTCATTCTATGCTCTCTCACGTTCAACTATATATCTTATCTTGTTGTAAAGGAGTTTGGGTGGACGATTTACAAGAAAATCGGTCCTATTGTCGCTATTCAAAGTAAGGCAAGAAGACCTGAGAAAAGAAAAGTGGATATTGATTTCGTGTATACGTGTGCGTGTGCATGTTTAGAGATGTATCAGATCTTTCAATTCTTTGTCCTTACGCTTAAAATCGACATTTTTCTCGAATTCTTCATATCCTGTTTTCATATTGCTCGATTTGCAGCCGCGGGTGCAGGACTTCAATGGGATGGCTACATCGAAATTGCCGTGACCTTTTTAACTTTACCAGCCTTATACCTTGGACGTATGACGGTAAGGGTCATAAACCGTTGTATGCCTAAACATGTTATGTATGACAGTGATTCTTGTCATTAGGCTAGTAGTGAGCATTATGGCCGGATGTTGCTATTTATCGGTTTTCAACTCGCAGTGATATTCTCACTTGTTCTAATGTTGTGGAGGACTGTGCTCCGGCATTCTGCATGGCATATGTGGTTTGCTTTTGGTAAGCAATGTGGCTGGTGGTATACCCTGTTCTCGTTATTAAATCGGTCACTTGCATCATTTAGTCATCATGGCTATTGTGTTTGCTGTGGTAAGGGCCAAATGTCTCTACAAAAGCTGTAGCTGCTGTTGTTGGTGATACTGATTAACTTATTTTAGGCGACGGTGGTACTGGGTGCGTGGACCATGAGTAACTTTGGCAAGGGTCTGGGGCCTTACGTGCGACGTGGTACACAAAAGAAGGAGCAAATATCAAGAGATGAATTACTTGAGAGAAGATCAGTGTCTTCTTGGCGCATTGACGACGATTAAGTATGCTGATACAGCGCCCCATGCTGTCATAGCAATACTAAAGATATCATTACGAACGAATTACTAGGTTGTTACGCTTACCTAGCCATAATAATATCAAGCATCATCATCGCCAATAATATGCCATCGCACGTTTTCCCTCTACTAGCGCTTTAAGCATGGATCAGCGAGCCTAGGTGATGCACGTGACCAGCCATTGTTCATCACCTATCTTTTGCATTTATACTTTAACTTTATGTGTACTAAAGAGTGCTAGCCGACATTTGTCTTTTACTGATATGGGTCATTGAGCTTGCGAACTTTCTTTCTGCAATATGTATCCCTGATTGATCCGGACGTTGTGTTGATCTTGTTGCAGTTCTCGCCACCATAAATAGCAGCATCACCACATAATAGATCATCACTTCATTTTCGATGCTTGATGATAATAAATTTCTGTTACCCAAGCTAAAGAACAATGACTTTGATGGGTGATTATGTTGGATAATGAGCACTTTATTTTAAGCTAAGGATGGGTTGGGAGGTGCCTAAATCAGGAAGACAATGAATTGTGTTGTCATGTTTCCATCACGCAAATTAGTCTCAGCAATGCAAAATCAGTTTTGGGAGGTGTGGCAACATTGTTCTTCAGCCTGGATTTTGAAACAGCAGGATTCCTCTCTTTCACTCTCCTCTCCCAACCTGTCAAAAACCCACAATGACCACGATCCGTAAGCATTCTTCCCTCATGCGCTCTCCCTCATTGCTTATCAATGTATTCCTACTATAGATACCCTCAAGGTGTTTCCCGTGGTGTATATCACGGATACAATGTATCAGAAATACGAAAAGAAGCTCATGTACGTATCAAATTGACAACTCTCATTCCATTCAACCTAATGTTCTTTGTTGTTCCATTCCGAAATAGGCAGCTTGGAGAAGTGAAGAACAGCAAAATTACATTTGACACGAGGGATCAGGCAAGCAAAAAGCCTTTGGGTGGGGTGGTGGAAACACGCATACAGCAGCCCACTAACACCAATAGTATAGTATTTCACTGTCAGTTCTCGATCACCAGCAGCAGTGGAAGAGACGTGAGTATAAAAAGAGGGGTGATAGAAAAAGAGAGAGTGACATCTCACGCGTTGCTATGATATGTAGTGTATTGCAAATCACGTACAGCTTGTTACCCCATCTTGTGAGTGTATATATCATATCAGACGCGTCTTTAGGTTACTAATAGATGGATGTACGCAATAGTACAAGAGCATGGATGACGACATGTTGAATGGCACTTTCCAGACGATCGAGGATTATGAAAAGAACATGCAACTAAAGAAGGATCAAGAGGAAGAAGAGGATCTTGCTGCAGCATTGTCGACCACGACCACTTTACGAGATACTCCTTTATCCACGCCAATACCCATGTCACGTGGTGAATCAGCACCCACACCAACAAAACCCGAAGTTCAAGTTGTGGGACGACCATTGGATTTGGAAGAATTGGAAGATGATACCAAAGAGAAACCAGCTGCATCCGCATCGACCAAGGCTGCTGCTGCTGCTGCCGCTGCACCCAGTTTGCTGGATTATCTGGACACGGACGATTCCGAGAGTGAGGATGACATGCTTGAGGACACGTTTGTTTTCTCAAAGAATATCCAAAACCCGGCCGAGGTGCTTCAAGGCGTTAATCCGCTCAATGGCCAGCCTCTCAACTACTGCAAGGTTGTTGGTGATGAAACCGATACCATTTGTGAATTGGACAATCGGGTAAGTGGTGATGATTTATTGGATAGAGTAAATAAAAGCTCACATGAATGAGCGTATAGGAAATTATTATCAAGGGTTACAGTCAACGTGATTTGAAAGAGGCTGCACAACGATTTCGCAACATCCAAAAGCTTTATGTGAGTATTTATTGATATGGAAGGGTTCATTGATATACTCATAGAATGTGTATAGAAAGCACGTCGACGTCCTACTATTATTGTTCCATGCGTCCATTATCCCACACAATCCGACAAGTATTGGTTGTACTTTGCCAATCTCAACCGATATGCGCACAAGAGCTTTGTGGATTTGATGTATGCGGATTCCTTACGACCCTACTATGTGCTGTTGCCTGTGTTTAAGGATCCTGCCACCAATCAGCTTCAGAAACCCAAAGATCTTTTGGATGTACCTGTGGCACCACCACCACAACAACAACAACATCAGGCACCTATGGCCCCCGTTGCTGCTGCTGCTGCTGTGCCAGCTAGACGTCCAGCTCCACCTCGTGCAGCAGCTCCTCCACAACAAAAACAACTACCACCACAAACACACGCAATGCGTCCCACAACAGCTGCTGCACCACCACCACAACAACCAGGTTATCGAATGGCAACTGGTCCACCCCCTTCCGCATACATGAATGCTCCTGCCTATCAACAACAACCACAACAACCCATGCATGGTGAGGGATTATGGGGCGAGGATCGAGGATTTAGTAACAACTATGCTGCCACCGGTCGATCTAGAGCACCCATGTTGTCACCCACTACACCACGACCTACTAGTAATTACGCCAACATGTCACCCAACTCGGAAGATTTCCCAGCATTACCCATCAATAACCATGATGTATACCCAGCACCTACTATGGCACCACCACAGCAACAACCACAACGTCGCGTCATGCGTATCATGCCCCAACAAAGTACTCGAAATGATAATGGTGGCCCTGTTTCATTGCTTGAACAGTAAGTTGCCACTTTTCAAAAGGTTGTACTCAATCCCACTTATCCTTTTATGCACTTGTATAGAGCAAAGCAATACAACCTGCACAACATGCAAACAGGATTGAGCGAAGCGTAAGTGATACAAAAATGGGATATGGACAAGGACGTTAACATTGATTGTATTGTAGTCTTGATGGTATTCGAGGATTCCGTGGCGAGATCCAATTGTCGGCCAAGTAAGGGAGGATATCATCTATTGTGCGTGTTCGAGTGACTAAATCATCTTTTTAGACTTGGCAAAGTGTTGTGGACGAATCTTACGAGTGAGATCCAACGCAAGACCTGGGAATTTGGTGAAATCAAGGACATTGTTGTCAAGGAGCATGGTGTTCGACCTCTTTTCAATGATGTGTAAGTAGTGTGTCATGATTCCGTATAGGATCCACCATCTTACAATTGACCTTTATAGAACAACGGCCTATGAAGAGATTATCACGCCTATCTCGGATATTCTTCCCAAGCCATACAACCGTACAGCATGCTTTGAAATCCATACCAAGGCACGTAACCAGCCTGCTCTCCCTTACAAGCCCGTTGTCCTGATCATGAACCAGGGTATCGTCGAATTCAAAAAGGCGATTATACGCAAGACCAAAGTGGCTGAGATCGATTGGGTCTCGCTTGACAGGTAAACAGGCTCAACATATCAAGTGGATGATACAAGGACTAACATGCGTTATTTAAGAAAATTCGACTTTCAAATGTCTCTCACAACCCACGAATTAGGCCGTACCGATGTCAAGCCTTATACCACATTTTTGAAAAAGATCTCCGTATGGTAAGTAAATGAAAAGAGAAGAAGGAAGCTATTAGGACACTTTCTGATACGTTGTATGTATATAGTCCCATTACGAGCCAGTTGACCTATGAGAATGTGCGTGATTTCCTTGAAGTTGATCACATTTTGTACAAGCAAAAGACCCGTTATCGTATTCATTTTCCTTTTGTTGTCGAGATCACACGTGTGGAACGAGTACCCATCAAACTTCAACCATCGAATGGCTATGGTACGGAAAAGTTCCTTGGATTGACCGGCAAAGGTGAAGTCTGGTATGACTTTCAGGTAATGTATCATGGATGGTCAAAGAGGGAGGGGAAAAGGTTATTAACATGTCAATCTAGGTGTATTACACATTGCATGATGAAGCTTTCAAGTCGAATCTTAACCTGGGTGTGGGCAAGATGCCTTCGTGGGATGTGGATAGTATCTTAGGTCCTCAAGATCAGCCCAATGCTTTGATCGACTATGTCAAATGTTTGCTTTTGCTGGTAGAGAAATGTGAACCTTTATTCAATAACTAGCCATTTCATATCCCCCCCTCTGTTTGTAAATATCAAAGAAACCAAAACAAAGTATCTTTTTTGCTGCTAAGTACTAAGATGCATCACTTGACGATGACGCCCTTGCAACGCCACCCTTTTTGTATTTGACTGTGGCATGGCTTGGCTGTAAAGGTCGATTACTCATCATGCTAAATCATTGATGCATGAATAAACCAGTACACACAATATGCTTTGTAATTTACCTCATCAACTTGAGACGCATCATAGCAGGCGACTGTTGTTGGGGAGAAGGAAATGAGTCATGATGGAAGATGATACTACCATATCCAAGGGAGAGAGAGTGTGTTACCTCGCCGTTTCGAACAGCGTGCAAAGCAAGTACTGGATATCGTTGTAACGCATTGGCTGCTTCTTGACGTCGTAACTTTACAGCATTATCGTCGCGTGAAGGTGGAAATGGGGTGGTGGTGACGGATGGGGATGCCATTGGAAACGAGAAAAAGGAATGCGTTTGTTGTGGAGTATTAAACTCGCTCATCTTTCTCTCACACGCGCGCGTGCGCAATGGCAACTGGGTTGATCAAGCACATTCCTAGTCACCTGGCAACGACGACTACGTTGCTATGTTTCATATCTGGATATCGGTCGACATGCAAGACATCAGCCAAGGCTCAGTGTGTGCGTGATTATGCAAAGCAACATGGATATGGATATATGGCATGGGACCATCAACCGGATGCCTCTGTACAAACGTGGTTTGAACGAAGCCTTGCGATGCTTCCTCAAGATCAACCGTTGGTGCTGGTAGGAGCGAGTATGGGGACATGGTTGGCATTACTACTTGCAAAAGCACGCCCTGATCAAGTACGCGGTATCATTGGTGTGGGTGGCGCTGTCAACAATACCGAGCGATGGCTAAAAGAAGCTCCCTCCACTCAAAATCAAAACGAGATTTGGCGACGTCCATCCCTTTATGCAAAGGAAGGCTATTATGAAATACCCATTCGAATGTTACTTGAGTCAAGAAAAGCACTATGGTCGTACAAGGACGACCATGTTAAATGCCCGGTGCACTTGATACATGGTCGGCAGGATCCCGATGCTCCGTTCTCTGAAGCACTGTTATTACAGCAATCGCTTTCACCCGTAGCAACCTTACATGTAATAGAAGATGGGGATCATCGTCTCTCACGTCCACAAGATTTGCAGGTTCTAGAATCAACTTTGGATAGCATGATGACTCGTATTATAAAGTGACGTCAAGAAGATTGATTGGATGCTGGCTGGTTAGAAGGGATGCATTATAAACCGCATTGTTTCACACACACACACACACACTCTCTCTCTCTTGTACTTTATCCACAAAAACTGCTTTATTATATAAATCTATCTCTCTCCTTGTCACCACCACCACATGGGATTGAAATACAGGGTGTTCTTGGAGGGCAAAAAGGTGTACGCCTGTGCAAAGTGTAAAGCCCACCTATCAACCGATCGCAAGATAATGTCAAGGGTATACATGTCTCCCCACCCCACCATCCTCAATGGAGTGAATGTGCTCATTGGTGTGCTTTGGCCATTTAGAGCTTCCATGGCGAATCGGGTCCAGCCTTTTTATTTTCTGACGTGCAAGTATCATGGGTCTATGGATGTCTTTTGGAATTGAAACTGATATGGCTTTGCATAGTGTGAATGTGTTCCCAGACGATGAGCTCGAAGACAGGCAAGAACTTGGGGATGGATTGAGTCATGGGATTGTTAATAATGGAGGGAGGTATATATCCAGGACAATGACAACAGGACGGCATACGATTGCAATGATCAATTGTGAATGGTGTAGCACGACGCTTGGATGGAAATACGTAAGTGATTGTGAATAGGGATGGATACTAACATGCTCATGGTGCTCTCTATTATTAGGTCAAGGCTTATGAAGAAGATCAAAAGTACAAGGAAGGGAAATTCATTCTTGAAAAAGCATTGTTGATGGTGACCAATTGATGAAAACGGCTGGATTGGAACATTTTATACATATCCTCATGATACTCTATTGTATCCAACAACATATCCACTCTCTACTACAATTACAAACATAAAGCGTTTTCCACCTTGTATATGGGAATAAAAGCATCTTTTTGAATGCATGTTGCGATTGCTTTGATCCACAAAAGAAGAAATGCGCATTAAATTATCTTATGCCAAGCTCCTCATCTATGGGGGGGTTTATTCTCGCTTAAATAGATTACAAAAGGTCTAAATGGGTGATGCGATGGATGGTAGTGTACTTGATGGAAATATGCAAAAGGACGTAGGAGAGTGATTAAGTTTGAAATGAAAGAAGGTCAAAGGGAGCAAAAGGAAACAATTACAAAAGGGATGTTGTTGTTGTTGTAAGGAAGAAACAAAAAGAAAAGAAGTCTATCATAGAATGAATTGTTGTTGTGTGTTGTATGCGCGCACTTGAATGGGTATGTGTATGTGTGATGGTGGTATAGAATGGGAAAAGAGCGTAACGAATGAGATGCAGGTGGTGTTACAGCTTATAAGAGGGTGGATAGAGTATAGTAAATCATGCTTGCATATTGTAGCCATGTTCAAAATCACCGGGAGAAGGCATGTAAGCGGCGTTGTTGTCATTGGCTTGATGGAATGGCTTGTAGCAACCGTCAAAATAATCGGTGTCATTCACGGTGATAATAGGAGGATAGGAAAGAGTAGGGGAATCCGAAAAAACGGTGGGTGTGTTGCTGGTATTAGTGAGAAGGGTTGGATCAATGCAACCATTGACCAAAGCCATTTGAGGATCAGCATTGTTATGCGTAACGCAGGGAACGTCCATGGTGATGTAATGGTTGGTGGTGTTGGTGTTGGTGGTAGTCGTAGTGGCCATATCCGCACATGACTCTCTGGTGGGCACCATGGACCAATCGTAGCACATGGCAGCTGCAGCAACCGATTGTTGATAAAAGAATGAGGAAGAACCCACAATCATGGGTTGCTGATCATCATAGCATGCTGGAGAAAGCACCAAATCATCTTGAGTAACAGAGCTGCTGGCGGGGCTGTTGGAGTTTGTATACAAGGGAGATGATGCGGGAGACATGATTTGCTGTTGTTGTTGAAGATGATGCTCTTGAAGTGCAACGCTGTATGACTTGGTATCCAACATACGAGGATTGTTGTAAAAGAGCTCCATCATCTCGTTGTTCTTTTCGATGCGTGATGTGAACTTGTTTTGAGGACGACGTGTGTATTTGCGAGTCTTTCGATCCTTTCTCTTTTGAGGTCTGTACTTGTAATCAGGATACCTATGATGATTATGACATGTTAGCTCACGGCATACAATTGACTTTAGAATGCAAGTTTATTTACATTTTAGCGTGTTCGACTTTGGCGAGGCGGGCGCGTTCACGATAAGGCTCCTTTTCCTCTTCAGGCAATTCCTTCCACCACTTTGCGATCACCTTGGAGATATCACGATGATTGGCACCAGGGCAACGGGCGACAATTTCATTTTGCTTTTCAAGGCGAAACGCGAGAAAGCAGTTCATAGGACGTCGAATCTTGTTGTTGTTGTTCTTTGCTGAGGTGGTGGTGGTGTTTGTAACAGGTGTCTTTGACATGATTGTAATTGCTTGTGTATTGTTCGATCAAGGTACAGATGAAATCGACGAGGGCAGCAGATGGCTTCCTTTTATTTAGATTCTGTATCCAGGTGAAATAAGCACACAAGGGGGGGGGTGGTTGCATATTAGACATTGTGGGAGACATGTCATGTAAGCGTATGTGTGGGTGTGTATGCATAGTGCAGTGTGCTGTTTACAAAGTAGGGCGTCATGGATGTGTTGGTTAAGCTAAACGAGTCCCTATGCATATGCATTGGATCTTCCCGCCAATCAAGAACAGCTGTCAAATCAAAGCATCCCCAAGTTTATTCTATAAAAGGCGAATCGCCGTACTCTTTAAGGGGCCTGAGAACATCCTCCCATACCACCAACCCCCAAGTCTGCTTTCAATTGACCTGCAGAACTTCGTTTTTTTACCTTTTTTGATACTGTCATTTCTTTGTCAAAAGCAAGCGCTAGAATGAATGATGCGCTCTTACCACCTGCTGCACCCTAAATTGCTTACTCTCTTTGTCTGTGCACATCCATTTTACCCTTTCCTCCACCTCCACCCACGAGTTGCACTGACCAATTGCTGCTACTACCGATCATTCTTTTGGGGGGTGAGAAAAGAGAATGCCGTGCTTGAGGGGGAGAGAAAAAGATCCACACACACCGATTCTTAACCATATTTGGGTAAAAATCGGCAACGATCCTCATTTCCCTCTCCCACACACACGCAATGATCCTTCAATGCACTTCACTTGGATACTTCTTTACCGATATTACTGATCCTCATCCCTCATTCCAAAGTGCATTTCCACATGTCCTGTGCTCAGCAGCAATATGTAAATGTAACGCAGTGCTGCCCGAACCTTTTTGCCACGTGTAATTCTTCCCCCCCCCCCACTTTTTTTTCCTTTCCCTCTCTTTTTCTCTCATATGCATGAATATTCGGATGGTGTCATTGTGTCAATTTCTTTCTGTTGTTGATGGTAATGATGTGCTCAGCCCGACCGTGCACATCCTTCATTTAACTTTTGCATGAGATGTCATTGTCGCAGGAAATAGAATGTCCAAAAAAGGATGAAGATCGCATTTTCATAAGATGCTGTTGCTAAGGAGTCGTCGTCGTTTATGCAGTATTGATAATGATGATGATGATAAAGGGTATATTGGATTGATTCATTCATTCTATTCGATCGATGACGGGTCGCTTTAGCTAGCTGCCTTTGGGTATAACGACGGTGATACGATCGGCTCCAGCACCCCATTGCGTCCGCCTTTCAACAAAGAGTGCATACCACGTGGTCAAGATAATGAACCATACGATACACCCACCCAGTGACATATACACATCTATCTATAGAGGTAAGTACACTTGAAAGAAAAAGGAAAATGACGATCAAGGTCCATGCATACACTTTCTCATCTCGCGTGGTGCTGATGGTTGCCGTATGGTGCGAAAAAAGTAGACAAAGTTGACTAGCCATAGCAACGGGAGAAATGCAAGGCCACCGTAAAACATCTTTTTGCTGATGGAGACCTGCTCCTCAGGGCTCATCTTGTCGAGCTTTGGCATTCGGAGGTGATCGTCGCAATGAGTGGTGGGAAGGAGAAGGCTGCTTTCGGAAATCAGTAGGCGGTGCTACAGCTTTGTCGTTCTCACGTGACATGCCATTGAGTGATATGTATCCTCTGGATCAAGGATGTGGTCTATGCTCGATTGATTGAATCCATTCCTCTATATACAATAAAAGACACGTTCATGACACAAGAAGATAGGGTATGGACATGGCATATGATGAGGGGAAGACTACTGTTGTGGATGACTGCGATGGTCATACAGTCAAGCAGGAACTGTCTCTGGATGATGAGCACATCACACAAGAATTGAAGTTGAATAAAGCGCCATCTTGTTGGGGTCAATGATACTAGTTCCGGTAAACGTGACCATGCAGTATGAATGAAAATCGATCACATCGATGAAGGTTTTGCTTTTGCTTTATGGATTATGATCCCATAGCCATTTGCTTGCTCTTGTGGTAAAAGTTCCCATGTCAAATTTAAGCTCCTTGAAGCAAAAAAAGAACTACAAGGTGACTACCAAGGATCAATGCTAATTACGTTTCGATTCATCATAGATGATATTGTATCTAATCAAATGATAACGGCAGTCTCACTTTTTTAAATGCAAACAAAGAGAGACATGATTGATTTTACTGGTAAGGTTGTCATGGATACCAAGTCGACGGTATTACAGCAACCACTTTCATGCAATGACAAGAGCGGGGGTTGATTTCAGAGCATGTTGACAAGTACCACCCAAAGTTGGCTTCCGATGTCGCTCTCTCTCTCTCTTTTGCTTCATTTTACTACTGCGATGGCGGCCACAATGGATGACAAATATCAAGCTGCACGCGACTTTTTAGATCAAGTGTATCCATCACCTCCCCAACCACACAAGGACAAGCCATGGATCACGCTCACTTATGCTCAGAGTTTGGATGGGATGATTGCCAAACAAGGTCAACAATTGCTTTTGAGTGGCCCTGAAAGTATGGCCATGACCCATAGGTACTATTATTACAACTTTGCCTCCTTTATTATTCAACTCAACTTGTTCATTCTAGACTTCGACTCTTACACGATGCGATCCTCGTTGGCATTGGTACCGTCTTGGTTGACAATCCACAATTGAATGGTACGAACAATTCCTGTGTGTGTACGACACGTCGACTCATGGGTCCATGTAGCTCGCCATGCACCTGCTGCTGATATTGAAACCTTTGGTCAACCACAACCGATTGTTCTCGATACGCGTCTTGATATGCCATTGGACTGCAAACTCATTACCAACTACCGTACGGGTGTCAGCAATAAACAACCCTGGGTGGTGACAAGCAAGGCTGCTGATGCATCAAAGCTAGTAAGTTCAAAACGACAAAGAAAAGAGGATGATGGTAATGATGATTAAGTGATTGTTAGCGAGCTCTTCAAGAGGCCGGTGCCCACGTGATCCAAATGGAAGATGAAGGTCGTCCTGATTTTGGCAAGGTTTTCAAAGTGTTACGGCAACAATACAACATTGAACGCGTGATGGTGGAAGGCGGTGCCCGAGTGATTCAATCCTGTCAACCTTACGCTGATGAAATCATTGAAACCACAGCACCTGTCACCGTTGGATCAGAAGGACTTCCAGCTTCAAGAGATCAATCACAGCAACTCGTCAATATACATCAATGCCAATTTGGCAACGATAAAGTGTTTGCGGCACAATGTCTTCGGTGAATCTATAGATACATAGATGTCTTGTGTCATGTTGCATCATGCTGAAAGCGAGAGATTGAATAGAGGATATTATTAATAATGAGTAGTAGTAGTATTATTGTATACAAAGCAATTGAGAAAACGTGTGTTATTGAGACGAGATGCTGGTGGTGGATGTGAAGGCACGGGACGAGGTTGAAGCATTGATGTTCATAGATGAAGGAGCAGTGACAATGCTTTTGGTGGTATTAGGCAAGGGATAAACATAATCATGTGGGTGCATCCACACGGGTTGGTGGTCAATTGAAGAAGAATCATCATCCTGAGATGCCGAACCAGTTGTTGGTACGGAAGGCCAACCTGGATCGTTTAATGTTGGTGTAGGTGGTGGTGGAGGGGGTTGATGATGATCAAGTGCTGGTGGTGGTATTGATGGTGGTGGTCGTGGTGGTGAATGTTGTGTGGATATCGGTAACGGCTGTTGTTGTTGTGATTGTGATTGGGGCTGTTGTTTAGGTGAGATAGATCTTGGTGATGAAGACCGGTCCGCGGGCTTTGATGCATTATTGAATTAGCATTCATTTTTTATCATTAGAGGTCGACAAAGCTTACCGTTAATAAGCACACAATGTATAGTTGACTTAGAGACGACGAGACAAACAAGTCAGCGCCCAATCCGCCACCCAAATAAAAGCGTGCATCGAAAAGTTCAGTGGTGGTGGTACCTTCAGATCGTTGTATGCTGAGTTTTTCTTTAAAGGTCTGGGACCCATTGGCAATGCTTAAAAGGTTCGATGGCGGAAAACTTGTAAAGATACTCGATGTAGAATGGACCATTGATTGTGTGTTTGGTAAACGAGCGCTGAGTAAACAACGATGCACGCGTGCAAGCGCCTCTGTATCTTCAGGCACAACGAATTCATACAATGAACGATGGGCCAATTCTTGAGGATAAAGACCAATCAATTCAAGCGACTCATCTGAAACACGTGCACATACTAAATCGATCGAAAGAAACATCTATGTATCATCTCGTGTTAATGGTATATAGCTCGCCAACAAAAAAATTACTACGCACAGTGAGGATTTGTGGGCGTTGTGTTGTTGTTGTTGTTGTGTTGCCAGCTTTGGCCTCGGTGTAGGATGGGGGCTGTGTCATGATAAATCGTGAATGGGCAAATCCGGGAGCTAGTGCGGGCACTACTGCCATGACACTTTGAGTGGTGATGCTGTTGTTGTGGTTGCTATCACCTAATGCATTACTCGTTTTCCATGGAGCCGTTATACGTTTATCTCTAAGCTTGGGTCGACCTCGCTTTTTATGTTGTATATCATAACATGTATCGGCTCTTCCTACAGAGACACATCGCTTGCAGGGTCGTGATACTAATGAAAAGTTAGCTCCCATCAAAGTCTTTTTATGAGTGCTTCCTTACAGTCGCATGCTAGGTGGGCCTTTTTGCAATTGACCTATTGGTATAGACGTTGTTGTGTTAATAAAATGACATGTAGGTTGTGAAGGAGGTACACGTACGCAAGCGGTTGGTACATGTGATTTGCTGGTACGTTTTTTGGTGGTTCCTGTGGATGATGATGTGCTTGAAAGGGACGAAGGGGATGGTAAAGAATTCATTTTTTGGACGTAAAGGAACAACAAGGGGGACAATGAAAGAAAGAGGAAAGAGGAAGGTGGTAAATTACGCAGGATAGATTCTGTCAGTCAGTTGTTGGTCCAAGCCCAGGATCATTCTCCGGTAGTAGCCGCTAACCATCATCACACCATAGATACACACGTTCACAGATTATCACTCTAAATCATGTAACCATGATTTGGGTCGAAAAAGTAAAGGGATTCCGCCATGTTCCAAACCCAAAAAGTGCCAACGGGAAAAAACATGATTTGTTCGGGGATTAGGAAAATTCCTCATTGCCTCTTTAAGCATTCTACTTCTCCACATCTTTACCTTTGGAACCTTTTTTTACATAATCAAGTGCATGTGATACACCCTCGTTCAAAAAGTACAAATACCTGCCAGCTTTTTCGTTATGAAACACACTTTGAGACGCAGCACAATCGACCCCACATCATTCGATGCATAAACGATAACGGGATCAATACGAGTGGTGGCGCTTATCTTTTGGGACGCTACTTTCACTACTACTCACGCTCTGATTTGAGTAACACACCACAACACTCAACCTATGCAACAATGTGGAAATGCTTTATCAGCTGCTATTCTGCTTTTTCTATCATTCGAATTCGAATGTGTAGTAGTAACAAAGTATAGGGTGGCGTGTGAATGCACAACTTTAAAAACGACCACCCGCGGCTTTTTTGACAGCAACACATGTACACAACATAGATGCATGTGCTCAACATCCCCACCATTGACTTCCGCGGCAAACCAATCTCCCTCTCTCTTTTTTAATGCATCAATTAATTTGCTCTCTCTCTTTTCCATCTGATCCGCCCTTGCCGCGATTTCCCGAAATCTCCACAACAGATACAACATGTACACAAGTTTGAATCTCGGTGGAAGGGCGCTTGTGTTACCGGCTGATCTTGCCTATATGGTATGGCAAATTCTCATGATGATGCTAATAGTACCCAGAACATCACCAAAGAAATCAGACAACGGAGGTGGCACCTTTAGTGACCGTGCACTCACAAACGTGTCATGGATAAACACCCTGAAAAAGGGGGGAGGTCAATGAAAGCTTTCGGACTAGGCCGTTGTTGTAAGGTCCACGTGTATACGACGTATGTTGAAAATGCTCAACAACAATAAACAAAGGGGTGAAGTATATCCCAAAGTTGGGGCGAGCGCACCTTGAAACGTTTGACTACTTCCCACAAGCACACCTTTATTATACCAATCAACCACAAAGTCATGTACAATATAGCAAGGCTAGGCACGTTGTTTGTTATTGATACATTTATTAACACAATGATGATGAAGTGGGAGGATGATGATGATGGGGGGATGACTACATGAGCGTGTTCCAATATTGGGGTACCTCTGATGAGAGAATGGAGCTGATCTTTTGGGCCATGTTCATGATTTTTTGGGCGCTTTCAGTGTTGGTTGATAAAAAGTCACGTGGAGTCCAGTAGGGAGCTTGTCCAATTTCAAGTCCAAGATTGTCAGCGAAACGATCGGTCCATTCTTCTCGACGAGCGGAAACCTTGAATAAAACACGATGAGGCTCTTGATCAGACAAATCAATGTGGAATTCTTGTCGCTTTTCAGGGATGTCCATCAATTCCAAGTCCCAGATTTCATCACGAATGATTTCAATAATCCACTTTTCATCGTACTCATAGAGCCACTTTGTCTTTTGCGTCACAATCATAGGGGTATAGTCAGGCGATTTGGCAAGTAAATTCATGCGGCCAGTGGTCTCATTCAAGCGAAGGCTATCGACAAACTTGCCATGGGGTGAATCCATATTGTCAGAGATGAGGCGGCGTGCTGTTTGCAGCTTAAGATCCCACGAATACTCCGACTCCAAATCTGCACAGTTGACAGTGATGTGATCACGGCAATCCGTCAACGTGTTCCATAAGCCAACGCGTCGCTCATTGGTAAAGTTGCAAATTGTTGTTGTGTGTGTCATGTTGTCATCATTTGGTGGTGGTGCTGATACTTCGCGTCGTGATCGATGGCTCGGTGGACTTTGCTTGGCTGTGAAGGTGAGGTATTGCTTGGCCTCGATGACAAATGAGGTTTGTGGGGATCCATTAAACTCGGTGGCATGCTGATTCAAATACTCAAAGAGACCTCGCATATCATCCATCGTACGTCCAACACAAGGAGCCAATGCCATATGGAATTTGGGGTTGTTGAAGGTCTTCAATGCCAGCTTGTCCACTTGAATGGTATCGTCAATGCGGCGGTAATTGATCAAACACACTTGGCCAAAACGAAGCTTCATACGGATCTCCCAATCAAACAATCGAATACTCTCAAGACCATACTCTAACGCGTGACGTATCCGATTGGCGTTGTCCTCATCCATGTGTTGAAGGTTTTCGGGAAGGTTGCTGCTGTTGTTGTCCTCTTCCTTGGTTGCTGATGGTGTGTCGGTGGTGATGGGATCATCCAAGTCGATCAAGTTGGTGCTATCCTCATTGGTGCTGGAGTCGATACGTGATTCATCATAGCGACCAATATTGATGGATTCCAATAGTCGGTGGTCTGATAACATCATCTGCTGAGTGCTTCCAGTGGCATATCGATACGTGACAAATCCTTGAGGCAGCTTTCGGTACTTGACAAGCATATAGTTGCGTGGCTGTTTCATCAAATGAAGAACGGCACGATAGGGTTGTCGAACATTGAGCAAATACCAATTGCGCATACGAGTGGCAGCCATGATAACACGATCTTCTTCTTGACCAGCAATGCGTACGGTGTTGTCCTTGTTCTTATCCACATACATCCAACATTTGCAGCTAGCACGAATCTGATTGAGGAAAGCATCTCGGGTACCCAACAGCTTTGTCAACGGAACATCATCACTTGGGAGAGGCACGATGGCATTGTAAGGTTGAGGAGCATCAGGGTAGCCTTGGTAACTACGCTGTTCAGCTTGCTGTGCAGCCTTGCGGTCAACACGTCGCTTCTCGCGTGGTGTGAGCTCACGTTCAGGTTTGCCCCACTTCTTAGTACGTCGTCGATTTGCATCAGCCTTCTCGTTGAGACGCGCAACAATAAGATCCAAATGCTGCTTTGCACGCTGCACGCTTGATTTCTCGCCCCAAATATCCACTTGATGCTTGCTGGCATTGTATTTCAAAGAAGCACTGGTGTCGCGTCGAATCTCGTCAAGCTTGAATCGCTTCTCGCCAAGGACATCAGTCAACGTGTACTCGGGAGGTAACATCCAGCAATCAACGGGCATTTGGTCAGGTCCTTCGGCATGGTGCACGTCAAAATCCATACGATCCAGTTCACGTCCTTGCGCCAAACGCAATGCATGTCGATCAGGAAGAATGGTAGGATCACGCCACGAGACTTCTTGTTCCTCTTCACTATCCTCGTCGTAGGGCACTTCAGGAGCGATGTCAGGTACGATAGACATTGGGGTAAGAGAGAGAGAGAGAGAAAGCAGAAAGCGGGAAAAGAGTAAGTAGCGTACAGGGCTTGATCATACTGTCAATTTTATACCGATAGATTCATTGTTGTCGGAATCACTTGATCACATGCATACGACGCATCCCATCACTCATGTATATAGCCAACAACCCCATTTTATTATAAACACTAGCAGACAATAAACAAAATGTGCATAGACGTATAGATCAATGGATTTGTTGTGGTCATCTTGTGATAAGAAAGTACTATCGACAACATTGATTGTTGCTGCTTTATGGCAAAGACGACAACTATTGATATGCTCTATAAAACAACCCCTTGTACTTTTTTTATTCAATGTGTATGCGATAGAGAGCGAGAGAGAAATAAAAAGAATTACATTCTACAAGTCTTTGAGGATAGCATCGATATTATCATTTTGTTCCTTCTCCAGCAGGTCTCTAACTGCATTTTGTGCGTGTGAATTGAGATGTTGACGATCATCCTTTTGAGACTTGAAGGTGTTGAGGACATCGACAAGGAGGGAGGCATCTTGAGAATCCACCAAGGAGTGCACGTACATGTTGATCATACGGATGTCGAGGTAGCTGTAAGGACCAGAGGGGAAAGGAACAACGGGAGATGATTCACGCACAGGAATGGGGATCTTGCCAATGGATTCGAAACGTTGCATGGTGTATTGAGTAAAGGTATGTTGCATTTCTTGTATCCGGGAAGCAGCATCTTGACCACCATGCGTTGCCTTGAATGCGAGTGCCCAAAACCATGCACGATTATTATGTGGTGGGGGTGTATTGGCAAGTAATTGTAATGCTTGACCACCTTCATTTTCCAATCCATCCAAGAGCGTGGCAGCACGAAGCACACTTTGTGCATATGGCGACACAGCGTTGTTGATGTTCTTTGGATATTGTTGTGCCATGGTACCAACGATCTGCTTGGCGGCTCGTGAATCCTTGGCCGTAACACAGCAATCCAACATGGCCTGGTACAAATCCAAATTGAGTACCTTGTCAGGCATTTCACGTACAAGTTCCTCCTTGATCACTGATAAGGCATATTGTGATGCATCACGGTCCATAGATGCCATTGCAAATGCGACTCGGAAAGCGGACTGGCTACGACGCACACCCGATAACTTTAGCATATGGAAACGACGCCACATGGCAGGATAATGGCGGGCTGCACCAAGACATGTCATTGCAGTGAGGATGGATCGCTTGTCATAACGCACTTGAGAATCCAACATGATACGTTCAATCTTGAAAAAGCGTGGATCCAATCGCATTGCTGGTGGCGTATGCTCCATGGCGGATGTCAATCGTACGTAATCAAAGGGATATTTTTCATCTTGATGCGGGATACATGCACGTAACAGAGCATGGAATGTACGTCGATACTCGAGCTTGATTCCTTTCATGTCTTCAAAGAGTGCCAATGCCTTATCCAATCGTGTATTGCTGTTCCTCTGATCCGCATATTCTTGTGTTCGGCTGTATCCATTCAACAAGATGCCATACATGTGTGCCATTTCTTTTGGACTCCTGGAATCGATTTGACGCTTCAAAAAGTCTTCAGCTCGTTGCATTGGAAATCGAGTGCTATCGATCAAGTTGGCGGTACACAAGTAATCCAAAATCAAGCAACTCTTTTCCACATCCATTGTCGTTGTAGTATTCTCCTCTCCAAGTGCCAACTTTTCCCATGATGCAACATCCAACTTTGACTTGTCCATGCGGTTCAAGGCTTGACCATAGATACCATGGGATGAAATTTGGTGTTGTACAATGCTATGGGCTGCTGATCGGTGTGCTGACAATAGGATGAGACCTTGGTCCTCTTCGGATAAGTTCGACTTTTCCAACATGGCGCTCGTTCGACCCACTTGACCACGACGTGCAAACTGCCATGCTAACTTTTTGTAAAGCTCTGGTAACAATTCGTGTTCTGTTTCCTTCAATAGAGCATCAAATTGGTGATAGGCACCACTATCGGCATAGGCGACCAATGAAGCAGCATGCAATTCTTCTTGATGAGGATGCTTTACAAGAAGGGCTCTTACAGCCTTGGGTCGCTCCAAGATACCATAAGCCTATCATGTGATTGATCCATCAGTCTCCCCCCAATGCTGCTGCAATGATAATAAACAACACAACTTACTCTGATTAAGAGTTCCAGTGCCTGATTATCCTTGATTTGATCGGTAGGGAATCGTTTGTTGAAAGCGCTGACCAACATTGATAATACATTGGGATGTCCCTTGCTAGTAAGACTATAGCCGATCTTGATTGCCTCCTTCCACATGTTGATATCATTGAGAATGTCATCGGATAAGTTGCCCTTGTGTGGCTGATAGAACCACTTGGTCAAAGTGATAACATTGTTGATATCCCTTTCTGGAGCTGCTCGTGCTTGACTCAAAAGCTTCAAGACTTGTTCGCGACTTGGTGGTGTTGAATGATCCAATTGTCGAATGTGCTCACTGAATTGAATGGACTTGTTGCCAGTAACAGAAGCTCGATGAGTCGTTGTTGTTGTTGTTGTTGTTGTAAAGTGAGCTGTTGTACGTGTCCAAGTAGTAGTAGAAGGGGTTGAACGTAAACGAGTGCTGGTTACCAAGGCTTGCGACTTGACAAGAACACGACGTGCCGAGGCAAGCATAGTGGTTAGTTGACAAGGGGAGGGAAACGGTATCAAAAAGATCCCGCCGTCGGATGAGGGGATGGGTGATAAAAACGTGACTGGAACAAGGGCACACACTGAGTCAGTGAGCGAGAGTGAGTGAGTGAATGAGTCGATGTGAGTGAATGCACTGAGTTAAATCAATGCTTGCAGGTGCTGCTGCTTCTGCTGCTTGGTTGAATTAGCCCCCCACTCCCCTCTTCTTCTCTTTCTTTTTCTTTTCTTGTCCCTTTTTGTCTTTTACTCTCTTTATTATCCTTTCTTATCATGTCACAACCCACTAATGACGGATGCAAGGCACTCTACGTTGGCAACCTCGATCCTCGAGTCACTGAAGACATGTTGACACAGATTTTCTCAGTCATCGCCCCTGTTGGCAATGTCAAAATCATACGTGATCGCAATGTAAGTAAGGTGGCATGTCAAGCTATCCATTGGCCTCCGTTTCGTGCTCGTGAAGCCATGGAGTAGAGGCAAAAAAGAGTGGGGAGTTGGGAGGAAAACATACACACACACGCACACACACACACGCACACACGCCTATGCCGAGAAAAGCAGAGAGGTCCACGACCGTATACAACACCACGTTTACGACTCGTCGAACACATCAGCCCATATACAGCTACATCTTTTTTGTTGTTGATATATCAAGCCAATCATGATGCATTCGTTCAATCCAGGATATGGGAAGGTGGAGCCACTCTCTATTGCTTTTTCTTTTTCATCTATATCTGGCTTATCACGCGTGGAGGGACTGGGAAGGAGGAGGAGGAGGATGGTGACTATGGAGATGGTGGTCATGGTAATTAAACAATGCATTATAGTACTCTCACGGTGGATTCAATTACGGCTTTGTCGAGTTTGGAGACCATGCAGCAGCTGAACAAGCAATGCAAGCCATGTCAGGACGATACGTTTTTGATCATGTAAGTTGGCTTTCTTTTGAATGTGCTTTATGGCGTCGTTATCCTTATATGAACGTATCTAGGAAATCCGTGTCAATTGGGCAGCACAAGGATCAGCTCAAAAAGAAGATACAAGCAATCATTTTCACATATTCGTTGGTGATCTAAGCCCTGAAGTGACGGATGAAGTATTGGCAACAGCTTTCACACCTTTTCGATCCATGTCGTAAGTATCTTTTATCTATAACGAGGATGATGTAATATTGACGTTCCTCTCTATCTATAGCGAAGCACGTGTCATGTGGGATCAAACAACTGGCAAGAGTCGAGGATTCGGTTTTGTGGCTTTCCGTGAACGACAAGATGCTGAGCAGGCTATCGCTACCATGAATGGTGAATGGCTTGGTTCCCGTGCTATCCGTTGTAATTGGGCAAACCAAAAAACGACCGGCAATACGTCTACTACTCAGTATTGTAAGTATGGGTATAGGTGGATTCATATATCAGTGGATGGATGACTTATTTTCTTTAAAGCAATACCAGCCAATCTATCATACGAACAAGTCTACGCACAGACCCCACCGTATCATACGACCGTATATATTGGTAATCTACCCCACAGTGTCACACGTAAGTAGGAGCAAGGCATATACATGGCAATGGGAGGGGATCGGATCTATCCTAACGAATCCATTCGCGCTCTTTTAGAACAAGACTTAGCACCTTTCTTCCAATCCTATGGCTTTGTATCCGATATTCGTCTACAATCAGAACGCGGTTTTGCTTTTATAAAGTATGGCAATGGAATTTCATTATCCACTCGGCTGGGTTGATTAATCTTGTACGACAATGCTAGGATGGACACACATGGCAATGCAGCAAATGCTATTTTCTCACTTCAAGGAATTGCTATTCATGGTCGACCTGCTAAACTTTCTTGGGGCAAAGATCGCACTGGTGCTGGTGCTGGTGGAGGAGGAGGCAACAACGCAAATAATAATAACACCACAGGACCACCACAACCACAACCACCCACAGCAGTACCGGCAGCAGGAGGAGCACCACCACCACCTACAGCAGCAGCCTATGATCCTTATTCACCTTACAATTACGCTGCCTATGCAGCACCTGCAACAGCCAACTGGATGCCACCTTATGATGCACGAGCTGCTCCTAATGCTGGTATGGATGCGGCAGCAGTAGCAGCAGCTGTAGGAGGAGGAATGCCTGTAAGTGCACCACCGGCAGCAGCAACAGGAGCACCACCACCACCTGGTTGGACTCAACAACAACAACAACAATATTATCAACAATACTACAATGCTGGACAGATATAAAAAATGCAACGTTTTGTGTACATGTAGAAAGAGAAGAGATTACAGCATCATTCCCCTCTCATCCCTCTTTCAACATTCATTAAAAAAAAACCTCTTTTTCATTCATCAGTTTTCATGGGATTGTTATTATAAAGTACGACACTATAGAAACTAAAGGCAAAAAGGGTAATAGGGTTCAAAAAAAAGTACAAGAGTAATGTGTATATAGATATACAAAGGCCCCATTAACGCCATCCTTGTGCAAAAGCCAATCCACCGATAGCAAGGGTGATTCCATAGAAGGCGGCGCTGTACACAAATCGGACGAAGCGATGACCATAGCCCACCTCAGACAAAGAGACCACCACAGTCAATGCAAAATAACTTTATAAAAGGGATCAGCTTTTGATAGGGATAATAACAAGAGCCACTTACATCCAAGTCAAAATCATGACGGCACGAGTCGATCCACCACCAAATGTATTAAGGATGAGGACGCTCAAGAGCAAAAGCGTGTTTTCCATCAACACACGATGAGCATGGGAAAGACGCGACTACGTATACATCATTGTCAATGGAAAATGTCATCCATGCAATAAGGCTTTTCTTTAATTACTCCCATTGCACCGTCAGGCTGCCATTTCTTTTTGCCTTCTTGTTCAGGATCGGCAGCAGGTGCAGGACCCTCGCTGTCATGACCAAAGACATGTCGAACAAAGTATACGAGACCCCAGAGCACCCATTGGGTAAAGAAGGCAATCCATGTCAAGCGCACATTATGATCAGACACAAAAGCATTAACGTCCATGATGTAGAATAATAATTGGGTAAAGAAAAAGATAAAGTACTTTTTCAAGGTGTAATGGATGGGGGTGTTTATATAGCTGTCGTTGCTGGAGAGAGGAGCGCGCGGTTGTCTCGTGCTGTTGTTGATGCCTCATCCAAGGGTACTAATTCTCTCACCCACTTGTTTGGGGACCAACTGACTCACGACGTCTTTATGCAATTCAATTCCGTTTTGGAAATCACAAACAAGCATCAACATTTCCTTACTCAAGTAACGATGGCTCTTCCCCCCAGCGGCTACATGGCTCATTGTCCCTTTCAATGTCTCTTTGTATCGTAATGCAATGATAAGAGCGTAATCAAAATAACGAGCAGCACACGAGATGGGACGAGATGGGAGTGTCATATGTCACTAAAGGAATCGGATTGCATTTTTTTTCTTTGTTCTTCCGTTACAAAGAATGAGAGAGCCATTACGCCCTCTCTCTATGTCCCTCTTTGTGATACGTCTCTATCCTATTCGATAACTCACACTTTAACTTGTTTGGAAAAAGCCATGTTCGAGAACCATAGAATGGGTCATTGCCGATTGCCTATTCCTATTTCTCACAGCTGCCGTAAAATGCAACGCATGATGATGACCATCCACCTGCTATTGGCCTCTTTGTCCTTCTTGCTCTTTAAAGAGAAAATACCGTGTCCTCGTTGTGATGATGATGAGTGTTGGTTGTTTGTCCGGATGGATACGGGCCGAAATCGGTTACTATTACCCATTGTGCCACAATCGGTTGACGTTTCTCTCGTATTGACTCGGGTGATCCTGGTAGTATTGTATCACTATCGAATCGCTGAAATGAAAAAATGTCATGATAGGCACAACACACACGATGTTTATGTATGCTGCGGAGGATTGTTTTGGCACCTTGACGTGCCGCAATGGCCCTTGCCATTACTGCTACTACCGTCACTCGAATGATCACACATCGAGTACTCGTACTCCTCCAGCTAATGATAACAACACTATGATTTAAAAAAAAAGAATAGCTTTCAATGTCTTTTACCATGCATAAGGGCAAGGAAGGATGACGAAAAGTAAAAAGATCAGAAGATCCTTTCGTGTGTGTGTCATATGGTCACACGATGTTTACAACACATCAATGCCGTATTCATGCATGGCCAACAAAAGAACCTCTCTTTTGTACACCCCAACACTTTTCTCCTCTCACAGTGGTCCGTTTGATCGTACACATGTTCTTCTCCACCCCTACGAACACATACACACACACCATGTGACACGGCGGTAAAATATTACATCCTTTGAGATCCCGGATGTGAGCGTAACTTGTCATATGGGCACGTCATTGATGATGATGGTGGAAGATCATTCTGCAAGCTAATGCATGAGCACGACTCTGTTTAACGACATCTTTATACATCATCACGCGACCAGATGATAAACAATGTGCCCAAATCTTGTATCACCACCAAACCAGCTTGCTACTAATGCATCTTGTTCATCGCATACATGATAGTAGCTGTGCATTGCATACGTCTATTAGTAGTAGGATGATTTTATCCACCGCTTATCAATCGGTTTGTAGTGGTTGCAATCGATGTTTGATAGGTGCTACAAACGTCTTTATAAAGATTGACAGCTGCTATGTACGCCCAATGGGGAAAAAAGTAATTGCGAGAGAGAGAGAGAGAGAGACGTTGTTTGCTGCATGATTTTTTGTGCCACGTCAACTTTGTTCATCCTCAGATGACCTCCACACAAAAGCACAATTCAACGTGCGCAGTGATTGTCAGCTTTCCTCCTTGCTCTTTTAACAGTTTCATACATTGTTCTATGAGCCACTGATTGTTACAAGCTGCTATGGGTTAGATCGGACATGTATTGGCCAACTTTTTTTCCTCTCATCTGCATCAACAATGTCACAATCACAATAGCTGGGTGTCATAAAAAGGATTGTATTGATGGAGATGATAGGGGGTGGTTGGTGTACACAACGTGTCTGGTTAGCGAGGTGGATGAAAAATGGGCAGAGAGTGTGCCAAAAGTGTGCTATTTGTGAGGTGGATGAAAAGTGGGTAGAAAGTGTGCATAAAGTGAGCGATAGGCAAGGTGGATAAAAAGTGGGTAGAAAGCGTGCCAAAAGTGTGCCATAGGCGAGGTGGATGAAAAGTGGGCAGAAAGTGTGCATCAAGTGTGCGATCAATGAGGATCGATTCGAAACACCATTGTGTTAAACAAAAGGTGGTATAAGGTGAGAGTACCATCGTAAATGGATTGAACCGTATTGCTGACGACTCTATGTCATATCCAGAGTATTTGTTGATGGCTTGAGAAAACGACGTCTTACCACATGGGATGACTCTTTGTTCCCTGGATAGCTCAAATTGGCAGTAAACAGGTAGCTGAACGTCCTATTGGTCGTAATCAAGGTTGGGTGATCGAGCAATTAATTCCTTGGTTTGGTAGTGTAGACTACTCCATAGTGAGCGGTATAACGTAGTTTCAGGAAATAAAACCAGCTTGTTGTAGGCGCCAATAGAATCAATGACCCACGTGCAAGATTGCATTATCGTACTTGAAAAGAGACAATCAGCATGAAAAAGGAACATTGCATACGGCATAGTTACTATCGTCATGGCAACAACTCACCTCCTACTACGTAACAACTTTTTTGTGATGGTTTCTTGGATACCAGAATGACTATCAGTGATGGCGCACGCCCTTTTGTTATTACATGAAACGCACATGCATTTGCAAGAAATTCCATGTACCTGGATGTTTCATGTGCGACGTTACCCTGGATACATCATGTTGGCGTTTTGATCGAAGGTGGTAAACAATAAACTGGATGCCTTCAAGTAGCATCACTCTTTCTCTTTTCTTCATACATAACTATGTCTTCTATTGACTATGCAGAGAAAAAGCACGCCATGGATATTGGTGACGATGAAGAATCGGCCAAGACACGCATCCACGAACGCAGCATTACGAGGTAAAAAGGTGCCGTGCAAGTTGATCTACTTTCTTATGCATGGATTTAGGAAACTCGACCTACACGTTCTCCCTGTGTTGTTCTTGCTGTACTTGTTTAGTAGCATAGACAAGTAAGTTTTTATTCATGGGCTATCAATTGCATTCCATTTACGAACGTGCTGGGCTACGATTACTACTAGATCTAATATCTCCAATGCCAAATTGGGTGGCCTTGAACAAGACCTTGGGTTAACTCCTGTGCAATATCGCTGGTGTCTTTCTATTGTGTATGTCGGCATGATCCTTTTTGAAATACCATCCATCATTGTCCTAAGACGATGGAAAGCCAATCTTTGGATTGGTATGATGGCCATGTAAGTCATTGAGAGGTAGATCACAACACCACGATAAGCAATTCACATGACGCCCTTTTGCTTTCGAAGTGCGTGGGGAGGAATTACAATGTGCATGGCGGCAACCACCAACTTTGCTGGTCTCATTGTATGCCGTTTGTTGATGGGAATCTTTGAATCAGGTAAACAAGTCTGTGTTTGTGTTTGTTTGTTTGACGACATGACCCGTCTCATTCGTCTCATTCTACATCAACGAAAACAGGATACTTTCCTGCAGCAGAGTGAGTTCCACTTTCATTGCTCATCCACCTCATCTTGGTTTTTGACCCTTTTCCACATACGATGATAAATTAGGTATGTATTAGCTACATGGTACCTTCGTCGAGAATATGGACGAAGAATAAGTATCTTTTGGGCGTCAAACCCTTTCTCATATGCGGTGGGTGGTCTCCTTGCGTTTGGAATCTCTGAGATCCCATCCGAAAAGCTGAATACATGGCAATGGTATGTATTGTATTAGGTCCCTAGCTTGGTAGCTAAACTATTCTACATAGGCTATTCATCCTTGAAGGCATTCCTTCTATATTGCTCGGTGTTATGGCCTTATGGTGTCTTCCTATGAAACCTGCAGATGCTAAATTTCTGACCGATGATGAGAAAAAGCTGCAAGTCGAGCGTTTTACAAAAGGTTTGCTTTACTTTTCTTCGATAACAAATAACAGGGAGCTGAAAATGGTTACCATGTAGATCAAGGGACGACTAACTTCCAAAAAAAGTATACATGGAAAGATGCCAAGGAGCTGCTCAAGGATTGGAAACCCTATCTCTATTCGTACATTGTGATTATCGGCATTGCAACTGGTGTTGGCTTCAACTTAACGTTGCCTTCCATTGTCCATGGCATGGGAAATTGGAGCCCTGCCGTATCTCAAGCATTGACTGTTCCTCCCAATGTGTGTGCGTGTATTCTCACTGTGGCGGCTGGGTATAGCTCGGGTAAGCCAAAGCTGGGAATTTGGAATGGAAATCATGTGGGTGGGTGTTCATGTTGTTGGTATCATAGATCGTTTCCTTGACCGAAGTATCCATGCCATTACGTTTTCTTCACTCTCAGTGGTTGGTCTTTTCTTGCTCATGTTTCTTCCTGAGGACCAACTTGGAGCCCGTTACTTTGCTGTATGCTTCACATCATCTACATCGGTTAGTAATAACCCGTGAGGTTGTTCAAAAAATGGTAACCATTGCTCACCTCTCTTATGAAATAGAATGCAGCTGCTGCAGTATCGATGAGTTGGACACCGAGCAGCTTGTAAGTGATTAACATGTACATCATGAGTTTGGATCCGCATTTGACTTTGCATTATTATAGTGGCACGTTTACACGTCGTGCAGTGGCATTGGCCGTGGCAGGAACCGTTGGCCATCTTGGCGGCGTCATAGGCCCACAATTCTATTATGATGGTCCTCGATACCTGCATGGTTATACAATTGCTGTTTGCTTGGTCATAAGCAAGATCATCGCTCTAGCGCTAATGCGGTTTCTTTTGTGGCGTGTAAACAAAAAACGTGATAACATGTCCCCAGAAGAGAAACAACGCATCATTGAAAAACACGACTTGCATGAAACTGGTGATGACAGACATCCTGATTTTCGATTTATATTATAGGTGCATCTTGCACTAGTGTATCCATATCTTCATCATTAGCCTTTGTACTTTGTATAATAAATCTGTAAGCTATGCCTTGGATTTCATCTTCATGAATCATTTCAGCCCCTGGGGCTCTTTATTCAAGATACAAAGATATACAACAGGTTGCTACCGTACTAGGATAAGAATCGGTATCACACGATGGAGAGCAGTAACCTGGCAACACCAGGGTTCGCGTATCATAGCAATCCTTCCTTCGATTTTATTGATCCACGATACATACATACATACATACATGAAAGACCACTATCATTTCTTGGATCCAATGCCCGCCGATATACTAAAATAGCATCGTATGTGAAAAAGGCGTGCTTGTACTGCGTATACTCGTGTCGACCATGGACTTGTAAGAAAAGCATCGACTTGAGAGCAAGGCACCTGACTTGAGCGATATCGCATCCTTGTATCGACTTCATCTTACCATATCCCGGAAAGTACTCTTGATACGCATATCCGTTACAACAAGATTGGTGGTGCTTGCTTGCTGTAATCCACTACATGCTGCCGTATCCAGTTGCCAGGACGACCCCTGTATCCAAGGATAGCTGAATCCATCATCCTCCTTCAAGTAGACTCGATGTGCCTGTACCAAGTCTTGCAGCATCGGCCGTCATGGTGCATTCGACAAGAAGAAAGAACGGCGTTGCCATTGACCAAATGAGCTGTTGGCAAGAGTACATTGTCCAACTCGGGCCAGTATAACCGATGCCTTGTCCATTGACGCGTGATGTCGTATACAATCGTTGTGAAAGTGTAGACGACCGATTGTGTGGAATGCCGTGTCAAAAGCAACCAAAAGAAAGGGCGCCTTGCTTTTAGCTTTACAAATCATTCCCACCACCATGTTTTCCCCCAGCCATATGCATACAGCATAGTGTTGTATTATAACCAAGCCCAAGTATTAATATATAAAATGCCTTTTCACCCCTATCTTCTTTATGAATACCATATAGGCACGATCTAATGCATATGCCCTTGTCCTTGCTGTGTACCTTTTTTACCACCACAGCTCCGCCAACAGGTCAATAGCTTTCAATTAAAATTGCCACACATTGACCTTCCCGAAAATTTTTCCCATCTTCGCATCGTTGACCATGACTCCTCCGCTACATTATACAACTTCTCACATCTCGATACGACGACCTTTTTGCTCGCTTCTTATGGAAATTTTATCATACAAGTAAGTTCTCAAATGAAACAAGACAAGCAAGCGTCAGTCTGTCCGAGTGGTCTAAGGAGCCAGACTTGAAATCTGGTGGGCTCTGCCCGCACAGGTTCGAACCCTGTGGCTGACGACATCTTTTTGTCTTCCTTTTGGATGTCAAATATTTTTTTTTTATTTCGGCTTGCAGCTGCGAAATCAGTTGGGCTCTTATTTTTTTTGCTTGTGTGGAAGTGTGCACGCGTGTCCCATCTTGAATTGCTGTTTCCAATGCTTTTATATACATATACAATGCTTCTATGATACCCATCATCAACTATTTAGTAGGATCCAGCACGATTACTGTTTTTGCATAATAATAAATAGTCACCAGGTCATTCATTCTGATCACGCGTTTAGGATAACAACTGCTAGTTTCCAAGGAGATGACAGGTTCGTGAGACTATACAAGGCATTTTGTAGTAGTATGAGCATCACACTTTGGAGTTACATACACACGTTGATATACTACAAGCTTATTGCTAGGCACTTCTGTTGGTACTACTAGTAACGCAAACGAAGTTCAGTAGGTGATTCCAATGACAACTCTGGATGCTGCATAGCAACATAATTGATGTGAAAGGGCTAGTTGATAAATCCTGATCCTTGATTTGGATAAAAGCGACATTGGGGCAATGGCTACAGTAACCATGTAACTGTAGCTCTAGTGATCTTGCAAGGGCGATCCGTTTCTCTATATCTCCCACCATCTACTAGCAAACAGCAGTCTTATGATATCCAAATCACAAAAGAGGATCATGTTCCACTACTTTATTGACAAGACTCAATCACAAAAAAGGGAGGCAAGTTACTCCATCGAATACAGCATTTGTTCAAGACACAATGGATCAATAAGACCTTTTCCTTTATCACAGCATTCACAAGTGGATACAATTGTACAATCCTAAAATCACCATACCATACGTCCTTTTATAATACAATGCATCTAACACTCTCACACAACGAGGTACAACGGAATTGATCCAATGGGGGAAAATACATTGATCCTTTGGGCGTGCAATTTGTAAAGATGAATTGATGGATGTGAGGTGGACCTTGATGCGTGTTGGCGAGTTTCATGCACGGCGTATCAAAACATGGGGTTGGATGGTGATGATGGCTGCACATGGTTGACAGGTTGCACAAAGGATGATGATAGTAGCTGCTGTGGAACAGGTGTAAAACACAATAATCAGGGGCATCAATCGTTCACGATGATAGAATCAAGGTCAAGTTGACAATGGACACGGAAGAGCAAAGGCTCTCTTTCCACACGTTGTATATACCCAATTCTTTTCATCCCATGCACCAAACCAATATCCAGATCCAAATCCATATTCATAAAAAAGTCGTTTGTATTGAAGCAAGTTGCTACACGTAAATAAAGCTGCAAGCCAACGTCTAAGACCATCCGGGTTCTAATCGTTGATAACACGTCAGTGAACGATGCTTTCTATGTTGTTTTGACCTTGATCTTACTTGATAGTTATGGGCCATTGCAAGTGAGTTGGCAATAGCATTACAAGAAAGATGGCCTTCACCTCGTAAAATGCTGTAGAAATCAAGAAGCCCGAAATGGAAAGCAACGGCTGGCTTTATGGGAGCGGAGGGGAAGTAATGCTGCATGATAAGGGATTCAGGGGCCGTCTTGCACGAGCAGAAGTTGAGTTCTCGCTGCTCGATTCCTATCACAAGTTATGAGGTGCTGACATCCAAAGAAAATGAAAGAACCTACCCAAACAACGAAATGCAAGTGATGGTCTTCTTGTGTGAGCCCGTACAACGATTGCACCTGTAGATTCATCGGGTCCATTCTCGTACAATGAAGCAACTTGATCCCGTGTCCACCAAAGGTTTTCCTTGCTCACGTTGTGGGAAGAGATATACGCATCTTTCAGCATATCGAGAACCTCGTCCCATCACTTGTTGCACTTTGTGCCTTGTGTTTGTCGCGATGGAGCTCCTTGGGCAGAGACAGGTTGATGGTTGACAGGATAAACCGCATTACCAGAGTCATAGTCATCGAAGGGTTATCATCATCAGCGACGTCTATAGAATATTGTTAACAGACGTAGAAACATCTAAAGAGCTATTTACCTTGTGGTTGTGGATTTGCGTGGGTTCTTCTAGGTCGAGGCATAATAGGATAATGTTGTAGCAGAGTGACAAGGATGTGAATGCTGTTTGAGACAATGGAGTATATCGCAACTGCTGCAATGAACGTTGTAACGTTTGATTGTGGTCGAGGATTGTACAAGAGATGGTGAAGTGTCAAGAGACGTGGGTGTTGTAGTGGGTGCACGCGCCATGGATTTGCCATTCAGTCAAAGACGCTCGGATCAACACCTGGAGGCTTGATATTGATGGGTTGAAGCAGGACAATCGTTCGCAGGTGGTAATTGTACTTGAATGGGGCAACAGATGAGAATGGGAGGAAGAGGTAAATAAGCTGAGAGTGGGAGATTCGGAAATTAAATTGATTTTGCTGATGCTTGGACGACGTTTCTTTGTTTGAGGGTTGTTCATTCAAAAGAACTCCGATCAAGAAAGTTGAATGATGGGAATGATGGGCTGGAGCAGGAGAATCGTTCACATGCATTGGATTGGTCAACAAAGGTGAATGGAAGGAATGGGCTATCAACCAGCAGTTTACAAATAACTAAGCAATTTGATCTTTCTCATATTGGATGATACTTCTTTGTTTGAGCGTTATTCAGTCAAATCCTCTTGGATCAAGAAAGTTAAATGATGGGCATGCTGGGCTGGAGCAAGATAATCGTTCGTATGCATTGGAATGGGCAACAAAAGTGAATGGGAGGAATGGGCTATCAACCAGCAGTTTACAAATAACTAATCAATTTGATCTTTCTCATATTGGATGATACTTCTGTGCTTGACCGTAGCTCAGTCAAATCCCCCGGGATCGAGAAACTTGAAAGATGGGAATGATGGGTTGGAGTAGGAGAATCGTTCGTATGCAGTGGATGAGGCAACAAAGGTGAATGGGAGGAAGTGGCTATTACCTGGCAAATTGTGAGCCATGTACAAGCAACATGCATTGACCCTTCCTTCTACCCAACAAGCTGAGTTACACAAACACGATCCTCTGCATAATTGGCTCTGCCAGGGACAACCTACTTGACAATGAACAACGACCTCTTTTCATAGGACATCACGCTTACAGCATATGTAAAACATAAAAGTGCCTGTATCTCCAAACTTTACAATCAAACGTGGGCTCTTTAATAGATCAACGTGCTCGTCGGGGTCAAAGGAATCTTGTGTCAAAGTATGAAGTTCATCGTGGCCAATCCCAGATTTCGCAATGTCGCTACCAGCCAAACTGGATCCGGGGCTCAACCTCTTTCGACGACGATCAAAAAATATTTTTTGGGCTGTTTGCGACATTGAACCTGAAACTTTCACACAAGGTGCTGTTGGCCAAGCCGAGCCCATTGCTCTAATAAAAACCCCACGTTTGATTGTAAAGTTTAGAGATACAGGCGTCTTTATGTTTGTAAGCGTGATGCTATATGAGAAGTGGTCTTTGTTTAATGTAAAGTAGCTAGACCCTGACAGAGCAAAAGATGCAGAGGGTCGTGTTGTGTAACATAGCTACGTTTGCATGAATGAAAGGGTCAATGTATAATTACTTTATAGATCATCTAGGAACAGGCATGTATTGCTAGCTAACGGTCACTTTTATGGAATCATCATTGTTGCGAGATCCACTACATGGGAACGATGCTCCTGCTCC